GGTGAGAATATATTAATTATGTTGACTTGTGGAAGAGAGATAATTGATGTTGGTATAATACATAATTGATGTGTGGAGTATTACTAATTCCAAATACGAATTTTCCTCAGCTCATTTGAATAATTAGTGCTGTGGTAGCTGAGCGTCATGAAGACAAGTTCCAATTCATTCAATCATCATATATTCATTATACATACATGCATAAGACTTCTTCTGCTATATATATATATATATATATATATATATATATATATATAGCTAATTTAATTAACTAATTTATTCCATTTGACCTCTACATACATATATGTGTTTAATAAACCCATATTAATTATAACTGATCATTGATTCTTTCATCATGCCTATTCCTTAATTCGGTTGTTATCATTTTTTATTTTGTTTAATAAGTCATCATATTTTCGAATATTATTAGTCTACCTTTTAATTTCTTCACCGGGTATATACTGACTACTCTATTTAATTTTATTTGGTCATAAATTGATGTATTAATACAACTCTTATCTGACTTTTCTTACACACAATCCAACCCAAATTCAAAATGTTTTTTAATGATTATATTTTAGTTCATCTGTCATCAGTTCCATAATATATTTTAGTTCATCTGTCATCACTCTCTTATATATATATATATATATATATATATATATATATATATTAATTATAAGGTGGCCTGGTCTTAATTAATTTTTGAATGAATATAGATGCATGGACGTGGTCCGCGACCAAACCTCTTTGTTGTGTGTGTTGACATTACATTATATTGGACTAGTAAACAAATTAGTAATATGAATTGACATTTCAAAAAAGAATCATCGTATATATACATCATATCAAACCTATTTAATTTTGAACGTAGATTTTAGTTAGTTTGCCTGGAAATAAATGTTTTGGATATGAACACTTAATTACAAAAGTAAAGGCTTTATTTATTAATTAACTGAAATTTAATTTGGTTGGAAATTAAATTAAATGGTTGTGTTACGTTACGTACGTTGTTGTCTAAATAACTCTAAACTAGTGGTTTAGTCATATATATTTAATTAACGTAGGACTTTGTCTGCACCTAACCATTAACCAACCACATGTAATTAACAAAACAAAAATGCTCATTAATATTGATGATGCGAATAAATACTCAAAAACTATCTGAAATAGATGATATATGACCTCTCCTTTTAGCTGATAGTATAATTTTGTTACAAGTTACAATTAAGACCAACTAAGTACTTCAAATGAATAGAATAGTATATAATATAATTAAGAATGTAAAAAAAAAAAAAGAAAAAAGAAATAAGTAATAAATGTGAGATCGAGTTGAAAAGATATAAAATGGAAACGCGTTGTATAAACAGAAGAAGAAGGAGATGAATGACTTAGTCAACCTGAGGAAGCAGAAATGTTGGACACAACGTATGTACACACAGTAATACTGTAATAGTAGTAGAGCTGGTTGGTAGACCGTAGATATTAATAACATATGCTCTAGATAGATGCCAAATTATATTATTATTTATAAAAAGGAAAAATACACGAAAAAGTAATTATTAGTAGAGAAAAGTAAAAATGTAGAGAAGCAGAAGCTGAAAAGTCAAAAAAAGCTTCGGTTGTACGCGTACAATGGTTTATTATATAAAAAAAAAATAAAGAAAAGGAAAAAAACATTGCCTAATTGTATTATTACATGGATGGTTGATTGATGCTGCTGAAAAGGTCTTTGCTCGATCAACCCAATTTAATTATTTAATTTACTCCTACTTGTTTTCTCCAACTTTCGACGAATGTGGGTTCACACACACACACACAACCAAGTTTGTTCTTGTGATCATTTTTTTGTCCATGTACCACATGTCTGTATTATTTATTTTCTTAATTCTTTATTATTAAAATTAGGAACTTAATAAATTTTAAATTTAAAAAAAAAAAAAATGAAATGGGGGGAGTTGGCAAAGTCAGTGTGATTACAAAGACCGTTGAATAAGAAGCAAATGATGATCATCGTCGTCATTGGACCTACCCAACCCAACAACTTTGTGTATACATATATCTTTCTTTTCCTCTCCCCATTCATTCTCACAATTTAATCAATCTTATCTTCTTCTTCTTCCTCCTCAATCTCTCTCTCTCTCTCTCTCTCTCTCTCTCTCTCTCTCTCTCTAATTATTATTTATCTACAGCAAATTAAAGCAAAGAGTTAATAATAATAATTAAGATTGGGGTTCGATCGATCGGTTGCAAGCAAGGTGGGCGGCTGGATAGCTAGCTAGCTATTAGATTGTTGATCATCATCATCATCATCATCATCATCAAAAGATGCCTGTAGAAGAACGGGCTTTCGCAGGTGGAAGTGAAAACCAGGAGGAAACACAGAGTGAAAGTAGTAGTAGCGATGAAAATAAGGATGCACAGAATACAGTATCATTTTACAAGCTATTCGTATTCGCGGATGGTTGGGATAAAATATTGATGTTTGTGGGGACACTTGGTGCTCTGGGCAACGGATTCAACCCACCTCTTATGGCATTACTATTTGGTGAACTTGCCGATGCTTTTGGTGCTACCCGCGAAGGGAAGATTCTCCCCGTCGTTTCCGAGGTATATTCATCTTCATCATCATTTCTTCTCTCCATACCCTCTTATGTGTTTGTTTTATGTATATTATATATATGTTTTAACTGCAGGTTGCTCTAAAGCTTGTCTATGTGGCCGTCGGTTGTGGTTTAGCTGCATTTCTCCGTAAGTACTACCTACCCTACCTCCCTCCCTACCTAATAATGTCTGTCTTATTAGCTGCTTTGGTCATCTATCATCATCATCATCGTTGGATTAATGTGTGATTTACAAGACAAGTAATGTAAAAATGGTATGCAGAGGTGGCTTGTTGGATGATCACCGGAGAGAGACAGGCGGCTCGAATTAGGACTCTGTATCTGAAAACAATATTGCAGCAAGATATAGCCTTCTTTGACAAGGAAGTACACACTGGTGAAGTCATTGGTAGAATGTCCGGTGACACTGTTCTTATTCAAGATGCCATGGGTGAGAAGGTTGGCAAGTTTCTTCAGTTGATGACTACTTTTGTTGGTGGTTTTGCAATTGCCTTCACTAAAGGATGGCTCCTCACCCTCGTCATGCTCTCTTCCATTCCTCCTTTGATGATCTCTGGTGGTATCATGGCCAGTGTTGTTTCTAAAATGGCCTCTCGTGGTCAAACCGCTTACGCCAAAGCTGCTGTCGTCGTTGAACAAACCATCGGCGCCATCAGAACCGTCAGTCTCTCCATCCATCTCTCTCTCTTTCTCGGTTGTGTTTTTATAAGTACGTAGGTCTAAAATATCTCGGTTGTGTTATATGTCCAGGTGGCCTCATTTACAGGAGAGAAGGAGGCTGTCTCTAACTATGCACAATCCCTGGAGTTGGCTTACAAATCAGCGGTGCACGAAGGGCTGGCCACTGGACTAGGTCTCGGTTCTGTTATGTTTATGATGTTCTGCAGTTACGCTTTGGCTGTTTGGTATGGTGCTAAGCTCATCCTCGAAAAGGATCATTCTGGGGGAGACACATTCACCGTAATTGTTGCCGTATTAACCGGTTCACTGTAAGCATCCTCTCTATATATATATATATATATATATATACACACACAATCATGTATAGAGATATACTTACAGAGCTCAGCTGACAGATATATATTCTCAACATATGACACAGGTCTCTAGGACAGGCATCTCCTTGCCTGACAGCATTTGCCGCTGGTAAAGCAGCAGCCTACAAGATGTTCGAGACCATAAACAGGACACCCGAGATAGATCCATTCGATAGCAGGGGAAAAATTTTGGCTGACATTTCTGGTGATATTGAACTCATTAATGTTCATTTCAGTTATCCTGCCAGACCAACTGAGGTTATATTCAGCGGCTTCTCTCTGTCCATCCCCCGTGGCACAACCGCCGCCTTGGTTGGCCAGAGTGGGAGCGGCAAGTCAACTGTCATCAGCTTGGTCGAGAGATTCTACGATCCAATGGAGGGTGAGGTTCTTATTGATGGAATTAATCTCAAAGAATTCCAACTCAAGTGGATTAGGTCCAAAATCGGTTTGGTGAGCCAAGAACCTGTGCTCTTCTTGGGCAGCATCAAGGACAACATTGCTTACGGAAAGGAAGGCGCAACTGATCAAGAGATCAGATCCGCAACTGAGCTAGCCAATGCTGCTAAATTTATCGATAAACTCCCGCAGGTTCTTTTCCCAATCAATTCCACGTGATTTCGAGTTTTATATATATTAGCAGCAAATTGATTGACTGTTTTTGAATTGTGATGCTTGCAGGGTGTAGATACTTCGGTTGGAGAACACGGGACTCAGCTTTCTGGTGGACAGAAGCAAAGAATTGCCATTGCCAGAGCAATTCTGAAAAACCCGAGAATTTTACTTTTAGACGAGGCTACAAGTGCACTTGATGCAGAATCCGAGAGAGTAGTCCAAGAGGCTCTCGACAGGATCATGGTTAACAGGACAACTGTCGTAGTTGCACACCGCTTGACCACAGTAAGAAATGCCGACACCATTGCAGTCATTCACAAGGGAAAGATGGTTGAAAAAGGTTTATTTCATCAAACACCTTACTTCACAATCTCATCTTTTCCTTATTCAAACTAAACCATGAGGCAACCATTTATGATTAAGTAATATTAACGAGGTTATACGGTTAACAGGTACGCATTCTCAACTGCTGGAGAATCCGGAAGGAGCATATTCTCAGCTTATACGGTTGCAAGAATCCCGTAAAAAGGAAGAGGAACCCATTGAGGATCCAGACAACGTGAGCTACAGTATGGAATATGGTAGGCAAGCTAGCCAAAGAGCGTCCCTTCTCAATTTAATGAGCAGGAGATCTTCAAGGCTAAGAAGTGGAAGTCACCGCTCAATGTCCATCACTTTTGACCTGTCTAGAGGCCTTAGTATTTCTAGAACTGAATATCAAGATCTAGAACTCGCTTCTGCTGATGAGCTGAACAAACATCCGAGTGTTCCAATGAGCCGACTCATCGCTCTCAATAAACCGGAGGCTGGTGTTTTAATAGCAGGAGCTCTTGCTGCAATCCTGAATGGAGCAATTGTTCCATTCTTTGGCATATTACTCTCTATTGTCATTAAAACTTTTTATGAGCCACCAGAGGATTTGAAACGGAACTCCAAGTTTTGGTCACTGATGTTTGTGGCTCTTGGTGGTTTGTCATTAGTTGCATATCCATTGAGGACATATCTTTTCGGTGTGGCTGGTTGTAGGCTCATAAAAAGGATAAGAATGATGTGTTTCCAGAAAGTGGTCACCATGGAAGTTGGTTGGTTTGACGAGCCTGAGAACTCGAGTGGGGTGATAGGGGCTAGGCTATCTGCTGATGCTGCTACAATTCGAGCTTTGGTTGGTGATGCACTGGCACAATTGGTTCAAGATCTTGCCTCTGCAGCAGTTGGACTGGTTATAGCTTTTATCGCAAGCTGGCAGCTGGCACTCATTGTCCTTGCCTTGTTGCCTCTCATAGCGTTGAATGGATTTGTGCAGCTCAAATTTATGACGGGATTCAGTGGAGATGCAAAGGTAGACTCATAATTAACAAATACAAAAATATGATAAGGGTAAGTTTGGGTAAATCGTTACTCATGTTTATTGTTTGTATAGGTGATGTATGAAGAAGCAAGTCAAGTTGCTAATGATGCTGTGGGAACAATAAGAACAGTGGCTTCTTATTGTGCAGAGGAGAAGGTGATGGAGATATACAGGAAGAAGTGTGAAGGGCCAGTTAAGATAGGTGTAAGACAAGGATTGATTAGTGCTACGGGTTTTGGTCTATCTTTAGCCTTGGTGTACTTCGCCTATGCCATAGCCTTCTACGCTGGAGGTCGCCTTGTTGATGCTGGAAAAACTACATTTCCAGACGTCTTTCGTGTAAGTACGCTACACACATATTTAACTGCATGTGAAGGGGTAGTAGTTGTTGTTCAGTCCAATAACTAATTTGTATTCGTTCGTGCGTGCAGGTATTCTTTGCTCTAACCATGGCAGCAGTGGCAATATCTCAATCAAGCACATTTGCCCCGGATTCAGGCAAGGCCAAGAGTGCAACTGCTTCAATATTTGGCATCCTAGACAGAAAATCGAACATTGATCCAAGTGATGAATCTGGCACGAAATTCGACAATCTCAAGGGAGAAATTGAACTAAAACACCTCAGCTTCAAGTATCCCACAAGACCTAACATTCGGATATTCCGTGACATCTCTTTGAGAATTCCCAGTGGCAAGGTATGTATGTATATATATTTTTCTTTTTCTTCAAACTGTAAAAGTGTTTTACTTTGGTCGAATTATTCTTCAGACGGTTGCTCTGGTGGGAGAGAGTGGAAGTGGGAAGTCAACGGTGATTGCTCTATTGCAAAGATTTTACGATCCAGATTCAGGGTTGATTACAATTGATGGGATTGATATTCAAAAGATCCAACTGAAATGGCTAAGGCAGCAGATGGGACTTGTGAGCCAAGAGCCAATCTTGTTTAGTGGATCAATCAGAGATAACATTGCTTATGGAAAGGGAGGGAATGCAACTGAGGCAGAAATCATATCTGCATCAGAGCTAGCAAATGCCCACAAATTCATCAGCGGATTGCAACAGGTATATTCTTTTTTATTCTCACTATACATATAATATTATAAATAAAAACATAAATTACAAGTACTCGAAACTGATAAAAGTTTAAAAAACGTGCAGGGGTATGATACGATGGTTGGGGAAAGAGGAGTTCAACTATCAGGAGGACAGAAACAGAGAATCGCCATAGCACGTGCGATTGTGAAAGCCCCAAAGATACTGTTATTGGACGAGGCGACAAGTGCACTGGATGCAGAATCGGAGAGAGTTGTTCAAGATGCACTTGACAGAGTCATGGTTAACAGGACAACTGTGGTTGTGGCTCATCGGTTATCAACAATCAGAGGAGCGGACCTTATCGGTGTGGTTAAGAATGGAGTTATCGCTGAGAAAGGGAAGCACGAAGCTCTAATCAATATCAAAGATGGTTGCTACGCATCCCTAGTGGCTCTTCACATGACTGGTTCAACTTGATCATCACCATCATCATCATCATATTAATTTATTTATTTATCTTGATTTTATTTTTGGGTTGAAAAACAAGGTCTTATTATTGAGTATAGTTAGATGAATAGTAATTATATATATATATATATTATGATGCAATAAAGAGCAAAGTAGCAGCAGCTAGTGATAATATTGCATAAGTAAAGTGTATATATATATATATATACATATATATGGACTGAAAAGGACTGAAAAGAAGGAACAGCAAGTCCAACTCCATTCTGGAGTTAATATATGTACGTGAACCATGCATCATGTGTCGCTACCAATCTCTTATTTTTTACAATCAAAACTTATTATTTCTTTGTTTGTTTTTCTTTCTATTCAAGATCAAGAAGCATGTCTCGCTGCCATTTTATATTTTTTTTAGTTTTAGCTTAACATTATTTACATTGCAGAATTGGGATCTATATATGTATCCGAGTTACTTGGTTTTGTTATTTTCCTTTGGCAGCTCTCTCTCTCTCTCTCTCTCTCTCTCTCTCTCTCTCTCTCTCTCTCTCTCTCTCTCTCTCTCTCTCTCTCTCTCTCTCTCTCTCTCTCTCTCTCTCTCTCTCTCTCTCTCTCTCTCTCTCTCTCTCTCTCTCTCTCTCTGTACAACAGTAGTTGAACAACTTTCCGATTTCGTATTTGTTGGCGCCAGATTTCCGACTATTGAAGATCGAGGAAATCCGCCAAGTTTTGGAATTAAAAGATTGGCAAAGATTTGTTTTCCATGTTTATTTTGGAATTTATTAGACTCCTATTTTATAATACTTCTATTAGGATTTAGATTTATTTCCATGTATTTTATTCTAGTTAGGTATCTTTTGTACATATCTAGAATAGAAGTAGAAATCAACTAGGATTCTATTACCTAGTTAAATAGATTTCTTAGGGCTCAAGTTAGGTCTTAGGGCTTATTTTCGTGGCTATATAAGCCTCCAAGACATACAAGAACCGTGCGCATTATTTGGAAGAAAAATCACTTCATAGCGTCGAAGGTTTGCTAAGGCGTTCTGCGGAGCAGGACTGTGCCATCGTTGCACTGTGCCATCGTTGCACTGTGCCATCGTTGTGTGTGCCAATATATACAGATCTGCTGTATAGATCTCAAGGGAGATCAGCCGCGTTTCTGAAGGGAGTTCAGGCCTGAAGGGAGTTCGAGGCACGCGGTGTGGAGCTGCTGTTGGAAGAGACACGGAGTTCAAGTTGTGTACAAGAACGGCATATTACATAAAGAGGGAGTCTTTAGTGTTTTTAATAAGTCCTATTAATGTACACTGTAAATCTGAACTAGTGAAATCGTGTTTGCAGGTCCACGTGGATGTAGGGCACATTTGTGTCTGAACCACATTAAATTCTTGTGTTTGTTTACTCGCTTTCAGTAGTTTATAACTGTGTTAACACAAGAATTGTAGTTATAACTGCATACTGTTCCCACAACAACTGTTACAACTTCGGTTAACAGATTTTCATAGGCATTTAAAATCAACAATTGACATCAAGAGCCGGTCACTAGATATACTTAGTGTCTGATTTTGGGAATTTGATTTATTTGCTTTACTTGTTGTAGGATGAGTATTCACAAGGAAGGCAGTTCAACTACACGTCCCCCATTGCTAGATGGAACGAACTATATGTATTGGAAAACCAAGATGAAGATGTTCATCAAATCAATGGATGAAGATTCATGGCGTACAGTTCTAACAGGGTGGACGAGACCAGTGGCCAAAACCAGAGAAGGTATTGAGTATGAAAAACACGAAGAAAACTGGAGCAAGAAAGAACAGACAGTGGCAAATACCAATTCAAAGGCTTTAAATGCTATATTTAATGCGGTTGACACCAACCAATTTAAATTGATATCTGGTTGTGAATGTGCCAAAAGGGCATGGGATATTCTTCAGACTGCGTATGAAGGAACAGCCTCAGTAAGACTGTCAAAACTCCAGATGCTTGCCACTCGCTTTGAAGATCTTAGAATGAACGAAGATGAGACCGTAGCGGACTTCAATTCGAAATTGTGCGACATTGCTAATGAAGCTCATGGCCTTGGAGAAACATATCCTGAAGAGAAACTTGTACGCAAAGTTCTAAGATCTCTTCCAGATCGATTTGCATACAAGATAACTGTAATTGAAGAGGCTAATAATGTTGATGAACTCCATCTTGACGAGCTCATAGGAAACTTGCAGACATTTGAGAACAAGCTGAGTATGAGTAGAATGGACAAAGAAAGAAATTTAGCTCTACAGTCAACCAGTGTTCCAACTTCTGTTGTTCCGACTACTGTTGTTTCCACTCCTGTTGTCCCAACAGTGTCTTCTGTTGAAGTAGAACTTATCAAATTAATGGCACGTATTGCTGAAAATTTTGATAAGATGGTCAAAGTAAATGAGAATCCCTCAAAGGCTGACACACGCCTCAAGAAAAGAAGAATTCAGTGTAAAGAATGTCAAGGATTTGGTCATACTCATTACGAGTGTACCAATAGACTAAAGAAGCGGGGAAAATCTATTACTACTGCCAAGAGTGATAACATGAATGACTCCAATGAGGAGGAAGACAAAAAGGATGGAAACCTTTTCTGTGGGACTAGCACGACTGTTCAACCAATAGCTAAAGCTACAGTGCCTGTGCAGACATCCGTCAGGTATGAACATTCTCTGTTTGATCACCTTGTTAGTCTAAACTCTTCTTTTAATACAGGTGAAACCAGCTCAGACGATGAAGAGGAGATTACTGCAGAAATGATTCAGCAACAACAAGATGAATTGCTCAAAACATGTCTTGCTGTAGATGAAATGAATAAGGCCTTGAAGACACAAGTTGCCGAGCTCGAGAAAGATAAAGAGGTACTTTTGTTTAAATTGAATACTGCTACAAAAGATGTTGAGAAACTAAAACAACAGTTATATGTAAAAAATTCTCAACCTCCTGCGAGTAAGAAAAACCATGTGTGTAAGTTTGACAAAAAGGTTGATTCTAAAAACACTTTTGTGAAGAAAACTGATTGTCCTAACAACTCGCATGTCTTAACAAACCAAAAGTTTTCTCGTAAAACTAATGGAAAAAGGTTTGTTCCAACTTGTCACTTTTGCCGTAAATTGGGTCACATAAGACCAAAATGTTTTTTAAGATGAAAGTTGATAAATAAGAGTTTGTCACAACATTTATCCAATTCCGCTGCGTTGTAACATGCTCCTAAGATGGGACACTCTGATATAAAACAAAAATGGGTAAAAAAAGATGACATTAATTGCTTTTCCGCTGCAACTACTCTTAATACTTGTGCTAGTAACTTGTGGTACTGTTCTAAGTATATAACAGGTAATCCGAAGCACTTGAAGAACTATCAGAAATGTGCAAGTGGACATGCAACTCTTGGTGATGGAACTAAGAAACAGGTAAGAGGTAAAAGAACTGTTAATCTTGGTAGAGATCTAGTTGAACAAAAGGTTGTGTCAATAGACTGTGTGTCAACAGATAATCAGTTTGCTAATTCTCTTACAAAACCTTTAGATTCCCCTCGATTTGATTCCTTGTGTAAATCGCTTGGAACTTGCTGTGTTCATAAATGAACAATGAAATGATAGTGTAGCCATCCTTCTGTTATGTCCATGTTACACTTGAAAGTTTGATAGGACATACTGAGTTACCATACATATCTTGTGGTAACATGTTACAGCCTTTGTTGATCCTTGTTTTACTTTGAAAGGTTTGATTGTTTATTCTTGCTATCTGAATTTGGGTCGATAATTTTTGTGGATTAATTTTTTGTTCCTGCGAGGACTCTAGATAGAAGAGAGCTGTCACCCTCTATCGGGAGTGATCAATGCCTATGACCTCATTCATCTCAAAGATCATACTTCTATAGGAAGAATTATGCCATTTGCATATGCATTCCCGACTTCTAATTAAAAGTTATGTGAATTCTTAAGAAGGTTGCCCTCATAATATTTGGTTGAACTACATATCAAGAGTCACCAAAAAAAAAAAAAAAAAAAAAAGAAAAAAGAAAAAAAGGAGGAGATGGATCTGCCTAATCTACGGATTGATATGATATTGAAAAAAAAAAAAAAATGGGGCAGAATAAAACAAGGGTGTGATTTCTTGGGATGTTGTTCAGGTATTTATTAGTGAAATTCTTCTTGAAGTTCACGATCGAATTGCCATGCTAATCGCATATGCATTCATAAACCCATTAAAATACCTAATTTATGATTTCTTGAGTATGGTCATGAGGCTATCGGTATATCGTGCATCCAAGAGCTTGTTGATAGCATTTTATCTAGTTTCTTTCAATGTTCTTTAAATTAATCCTTGAAAAGAATCTTCCTATTTGGCTAACTTGGTCTACTTGATTTCCTTCATTTTTCAAACTTGGTTCATGCTTGGGCTGATGTTCTTTAGCTTTTCGAAAAAATTTAAAATTCCAGATTTATGAGGATTTTCGAATTAAGGGGATCTAGATATTTTGTATTTTTTTGCAGCTTACCTTATTTGCTGACTGCGTGTCTTAACAGACATTTGTTCTGACTAGGACTCTAAGTCTATCTTTGGCACAGACTGATCAGAAAGGGGGAGTAGTAACAACCTCTGCCGTGTGACAGAAATAGTAACATCTGCCGTAACAACCTGCGTTGTGATTTCCTACGCTTTGAATATTTTTATTTGATATGTCATGCGATTAAGTTTATATTCTGACATTGCAGGAACATTTAGTTGGTTACGACATTTTTATGTCGAAACATTTAGTGTCCTAACAGTCTGTGTTACAGGGGAGTATATCTCTTCTGCAGGGGGAGTAGTTCTATTTTGCAAGGAGAGTTCTTGTTAAACATGGATTCTGACCAATCTATGCCAAAGGGGGAGATTGTTGGCGCCAGATTTCCGACTATTGAAGATCGAGGAAATCCGCCAAGTTTTGGAATTAAAAGATTGGCAAAGATTTATTTTCCATGTTTATTTTGGAATTTATTAGAGTCCTATTTTATAATACTTCTATTAGGACTTAGATTTATTTCCATGTATTTTATTCTAGTTAGGTATCTTTTGTACATATCTAGAATAGAAGTAGAAATCAACTAGGATTCTATTACCTAGTTAAATAGATTTCTTAGGGCTCAAGTTAGGTCTTAGGGCTTATTTTCGTGGCTATATAAGCCTCCAAGACATACAAGAACCGTGCGCATTATTTGGAAGAAAAATCACTTCATAGCGTCGAAGGTTTGCTAAGGCGTTCTGCGGAGCAGGACTGTGCCATCGTTGCACTGTGCCATCGTTGCACTGTGCCATCGTTGTGTGTGCCAATATATACAGATCTGCTGTATAGATCTCAAGGGAGATCAGCCGCGTTTCTGAAGGGAGTTCGAGGCACGCGATGTGGAGCTGCTGTTGGAAGAGACACGGAGTTCAAGATGTGTACAAGAACGGCATATTACATAAAGAGGGAGTCTTTAGTGTTTTTAATAAGTCCTATTAATGTACACTGTAAATCTGAACTAGTGAAATCGTGTTTGCAGGTCCACGTGGATGTAGGGCACATTTGTGTCTGAACCACATTAAATTATTGTGTTTGTTTACTCGCTTTCAGTAGTTTATAACTGTGTTAACACAAGAATTGTAGTTATAACTGCATACTGTTCCCACAACAACTGTTACAACTTCGGTTAACAGATTTTCATAGGCATTTAAAATCAACAGTATTGGGCCCAATACAAAAACCACTGAATATTTCCTATATGGGGCATCGTCATTATCTCGGCCCAATAGGAATGGATTTTGTGATTATAATGTCTCAAGTAAATATTATTTATGAATAAAATTCATCATCCTCAACAATTTAGGTAGGAGGAATAGGAAATGGATGTATGGGTCCGGATCTGATGAGTAACACTTGCACTAACTAAAAGCTAGCATTAAAAAAATGCCGGAATATTAGGCACTAACCAAAAAAGCATGCGCATTAAGAATTAAGAATATAATTAAGAAGAAGATGAATTAATACTAGTAATCGATTAGATTAGATTAGATTAGATTAGATTGAAAAAAGCTAGGTCATTGTTGGTTTGGTTGGTTAATAAATAATAACTAGCTAGTCCAGTGAGCAGTAATAAATAAACAAGTACACGTGTATGTACAATTAATACTAGTAATCGTATAAAGTTTGAGTTGGTGTTTGGTGGATGCACTTGCAACTTTAAAACTTATCCTCAAAACTTCATTTCATTTCATTGAATTTCATTGAATTTCATCTCATGATCTATCTATAATTAGAAGATGATGCATGCGGTCATGAAAATTGACATCCGAATTAATGCGAATACTATTTATGGACAAACCAATTATATATATAGATAATTGGTGTAAAAATACAATACAATACAATACAATACATATTAGCTGATCTAGTTAATTAGCTATGACAGTCTGGTTTCCATGTTATTGAAGCAATTTTATTAATTAAGAGAAGATTAATGAATTAATTAAGATGGTATCATCTTTACGTTGTCTTTACTTTAAAGTTTGAATGCAACAACACTAATATATATATATATATATATATATATATATAATTACCAACGCCGCATGATTCTTTCTTGATGTATTATGAGCAGAGCTGAATGCTTAAAGTGCATCATATATCAGTTCAGTTGAGAACTGCATCTGATGATCCAGTTTTTTATCATTTTATATTTTCATAAAGCTACCATACTTACTTATTACTATTTCATTTTCTCCATCTCTCTTTATTGATAATAACACCACCACCTTACCTTGTACTACTACTACTACTTTTGCCTATATATATATTATATTCATTTTCTTTCTTCTTCTACTTCCTTTTTCTGGTTTCTTCTGATCATAATATGATATCTTCTGCTGACGACTAAATCTCTATGTATGCTATGCTCTCTCCCTCTTCATTTCCTCATAATTAATTACTCTTATCATCATCTCTATCTCTTTCTCTGTCTTTATTATTTTTCTTTTTTTTTTTTTTTTTAACTTTGGATTTGCTTCTTAATTTTAAACATCAACAAATAATTATATATATATATATATATATATATATATATATATTAGTTTCTTCTTTGGATATATCTGCCTGTCCGTATTAATTGATCTGATCCTAATTATATATTTCCCTCCCAAAAAATATAATAAAAGAGACATATGACTGATTGATTATTAATGGACTTAATTATACACAGAAAGCTGTTGCAGTTGCTGCTGATATACCATGCCAAGTACAGACAACGCCACCATCATAATTAATGGAGATCATGACTCCTCACATCCCAGTAGTACAAATGCAGTCCCCTTTTACAAGCTCTTTCTCTTTGCTGATTCCATTGACAAGTTACTCATGATTGTCGGTTCATTCGGTGCTATCGGAAATGGCTTGTCCATACCTCTTATGACTCTCCTTTTTGGTCAACTCATTGATTCTTTCGGCCTAAATGCAGGCTCCGATGTCGTTAAATCTGTTTCAAAGGTAACTCTAACTCCATCGTCTCTCTAATTACCTACCTGCACTTTATGTTTTTCTCATGACCCTTTAATTTGTTTATCTTCCGTACCACATTTTAGGTAGCACTCAAGTTTGTGTATTTGGCCATAGGATGTGGTGTGGCCGCATTTCTTCGTAAGTACACCTAACCAACCAACCAACCAACCAACCAACCAGAAGATAATACACATTATACAAAATACTAGCTAGATTATATTATTGATCAATATTCAATAATAATAATAATATAAAAACTTGCAGAGGTGGCTTGTTGGATGATCACCGGTGAAAGGCAGGCTGCACGTATCAGGAGCCTTTATTTGAGAACAATTCTACGACAGGATGTTTCTTTCTTTGATAAGGAGACCAATACTGGAGAAGTCATTGGTAGAATGTCTGGCGATACTGTACTAATTCAAGATGCCATGGGCGAGAAGGTTTTTTTTACGGATTTTTAATAATAATAATAATAATCTGATGAATATACATAGACGTACGATTTGTGATCATTTATCTTGTACGTGCGTGCGTACGTGCAGGTTGGAAAGTTTATACAACTGGTAGCAACATTTGTGGGAGGATTTGTAGTGGCGTTTATGAAAGGATGGCTTCTTACGCTGGTTATGCTGTCATCCATTCCTTTGATGGTGATATCTGGTGCTATCATGTCTATTGTACTTTCCAAGATGGCATCTCGCGGCCAGAATGCCTATGCTAAGGCTTCTATTGTCGTCGAACAGACTATCGGCTCCATTAGAACTGTATGCACGCACAATGACTTAATTCAAATATAATTTGTATTTCCATCTTTACTCATCATTAATTACCTTTTGTTTCCCTCGCCTCGTCGAAAATAAAAAATGAATCATATATATATATATCCAGGTTGCCTCGTTTACTGGGGAAAAGCAGGCTGTGGCAGAGTACGAGAGGTCCCTTGTGAAGGCTTACAAGTCAGGTGTTGCTGAAGGGTTGGCCAGTGGTTTAGGTTTTGGATCAGTGATGTTCATTATATTCTGCAGTTATGCTCTGGCTATTTGGTTTGGTGCAAAGATGATCTTGGACAAGGGCTACACAGGTGGTGAAGTGCTCAATGTCATTATTGCAGTATTAACTGGTTCCATGTGAGATTTACTTGAATCAATTGCACAACATTATATTATATTATATTATATTGATCGATATATATGCTAAAAGGTTACCGTCTGTGATTAGGTCACTGGGACAAGCATCTCCTTGCATGACAGCATTTGCAGCAGGACAAGCTGCGGCTTTCAAGATGTTTGAAACTATTAATAGGAAACCTGAAATAGATGCATACGATAGCAGAGGGATAATACTCCAACAAGACATACGTGGGGATGTTGAACTAAGAGATGTTTTTTTTAGCTATCCAACCAGACCTAATCAGCATATATTCACTGGCTTCTCTCTCTTCATCCCTAGTGGCACTACCGCTGCTTTGGTTGGACAGAGTGGCAGCGGAAAATCCACTGTCATTAGTTTGATTGAGAGATTTTATGATCCTCAATCTGGTCAACTACTCATTGATGGAACCAATCTTAAAGATTTCCAGCTCAAGTGGATTAGGTCAAAGATCGGCCTCGTCAGCCAAGAACCTGTGCTTTTCACAGCAACCATTAAGGACAATATTTCTTACGGCAAATATGGTGCAACTACTGATGAAATTAGAGCCGCTGCAGAACTAGCAAATGCTGCTAAATTCATTGATAAACTCCCTCAGGTGAGTTCATTCACTCATTCATTCATTCATTCATTGAATTTCTTTAGTTTTGTGTGATTGGTGTGGTGTTTAATTCATCCTACATGCAGGGACTGGATAGTATGGTTGGTGAACATGGAACTCAGCTCTCCGGTGGACAGAAACAGAGAGTTGCCATAGCAAGAGCAATTCTAAAAGACCCTAGAATATTACTTCTAGATGAGGCTACAAGTGCACTTGATAACGAGTCTGAGAGGATTGTTCAAGAGGCATTAGACAGGATTATGGTCAACAGAACCACCATCATTGTCGCACATCGTTTGACCACAGTCAGGAATGCTCATATGATCGCCGTCATCCATCAAGGGAAAATGGTTGAAAAAGGTATTCCCTTTTACATTGAAACTAATTTCAATAATAATAACTAAAAGTTGTACGTACACTACTGCAGGCACCCATGAAGAACTACTCCAGGATCCTGAAGGGGCGTATTCCCAGCTGATACGCTTGCAAGAAGTAAACAAAGACACGGAACACGTTGATGACGAGGAAAAATCGGATAGCAAACAGTCAGGTCAAAGGATGTCTTTCATGCGATCCATTAGTAGAGGATCCTCCGAAATAGGAAGTAGCAGTCGCCGTCAGTCATTACCAACATCATTTGGTCTACCTGCACCCATCAACGCAACTGAAAATGCATACGTAACTTCCCTTGAAAAGTCTCCAAAAGTCCCCATTTTTCGCCTTGTCAGTCTAAATAAGCCCGAGGTGCCAGTGCTGATACTGGGAGCACTATCCGCCATTGTTAATGGTGCAATAATGCCAATTTTCGGTATACTAATCTCAAGTGTGATAAAAACCTTTTACGCGACACCACATATATTACGAAGGGATTCCAAATTCTGGTCCCTCATGTTTATGGTCCTTGGAGCAGTGTCTTTGATTGCCTTTCCAGCAAGAACGTATCTTTTTGGGGTGGCGGGGAACAAGCTGATCAGGAGAATTAGGTTAATGTGCTTTGAAAAGGTTGTGAACATGGAGGTTGGTTGGTTTGACGAGGGTGAACATTCGAGCGGTGTGATTGGAGCAAGGCTGTCTGCTGATGCTGCGAGTGTACGTGCACTAGTTGGGGATACACTAGCACAGATGGTTCAGGATATATCTGCAGCAATAGTGGGGCTTGCTATTGCTTTTGAAGCTAGTTGGCAGTTGGCACTTATCATTCTTGCTATGATACCCCTCATAGGACTGAGTGGATATGTGCAGATCATGTTCATGAAGGGATTCAGTGCAGATGCTAAGGTAACATCATGCATGTTTTGATAATTATAACAAGTGTTACAAGCGTTAGCTTCGTCTGAAAACGGTTGGTCCGGTTGCAGGTGATGTACGAGGAAGCAAGTCAAGTGGCTAACGATGCTGTTGGGAGTATAAGAACAGTGGCTTCGTTCTGTGCAGAGGAGAAGGTGATGGATATGTACAAGAAAAAGTGTCAAGGACCAAAGACAAATGGGATTAGACAAGGATTGATTAGTGGTGTAGGCTTTGGTTTATCTTTCTCTTTGCTGTTTCTTGTCTATGCTGCCAGCTTTTACGCAGGAGCTCGTCTTGTTCAGGCTGGCAAAATCACATTTACAGCTGTATTTCGTGTAAGTCACTCAGTTTTTACTACATACACTGTTTCTCATGGTACAATTTCAGAGGGAGAGCGTGGTTTGTTTGTCTTGTTTTCAGGTATTCTTTGCTCTAACAATGGCAGCAGTGGCAATCTCCCAATCGAGTTCGTTAGCTCCGGATTCAACCAAAGCTAAGAGCGCAGCTGCTTCTATATTTGCCATTCTTGACAGCAAGTCTAAGATTGACCCAAGTGATGATTCCGGGATGAAGCTTGAAAATGTCAAGGGGGATATCGAACTGAGACACGTCAGTTTCAAGTATCCAACTAGGCCTGATGTTCAGATTCTACGCGACCTCACTTTGACAATACGCAGCGGCAAGGTATGCATCCACGGCACGGTTCTCATTTAAATTTTATTTTCTTTTCTTTTTCGGTCAACAAAATTCAATGAACTAAAGAAATGTTGTCGATGTTTCAGACAGTTGCTTTAGTTGGGGAGAGTGGGAGCGGGAAATCAACAGTGATATCATTGCTGCAGAGATTCTACGATCCAGAATCAGGTCAAATAACAGTAGACGGAATAGAGATACATAAATTCCAGCTGAAATGGCTGAGGCAGCAGATGGGGCTTGTCAGCCAGGAGCCCGTTCTGTTCAATGACACAATCAGAGCAAACATTGCTTACGGAAAGGAAGGAAACGCAAGCGAAGCAGAGATCATAGAGGCAGCAGAGTTAGCCAACGCCCACAAATTCATAAGCGGGCTGGAAAAGGGATACGAGACGATGGTGGGGGAGAGAGGGGTACAACTGTCCGGTGGACAAAAACAGAGAGTCGCCATAGCAAGGGCCATGATAAAAAGTCCAAAGATACTACTGCTGGATGAGGCCACCAGTGCTTTGGATGCAGAGTCTGAGAGGATAGTTCAGGATGCACTCGATCGAGTTATGGTCAACCGGACTACAGTGGTTGTAGCTCACAGGTTATCCACAGTCAAAGGAGCACATGTTATTGCTGTTGTAAAAAACGGAGTTATCGTTGAGAAAGGGAGCCACGATACTCTCATCAACATCAGAGATGGCTTCTACGCATCACTAGTCTCCCTTCACACCACCGCTGCTTCATCTTAATTTCTACCATATAAAACACTCTTCTGAGCACCACCCCCTGATTCATTACTAGCAGTCTGTATTTTCAATCTTACTACTTTGTCAGACCATTTTTAATAACTTGGTACTGGAGAATTATTTTTCATGGTTACTAAAGAAAGAAAGAAATGATCTTCACAAATATCTCTCAACAGAATAAGTGCACTAGAGATTCAATCATCATCATCCTCGCTTTCATCACTATATGAAACCAAACCAAAATTACCTAGAGACGATTTTGACACATCAACCCCAGGTTTCTTGCCAATACCTGTTGCTGTTTCTTCCAAATCTGCTGCAGCTTCTACTTTTGCTTTCTTAGCTTGCGGCTTCACTTTTATTACCATCCCTAGGCTACGAGCCGGCCGATTCTTCTTTCCTACCGCTGATTTTTTATCCTGCAACTGCAAAAATTAAATAACCACAAACTTCATTTGTACTATTAATAAGAAAATGAGTACCGAACTCGCTCTAACACCAAAATCAACAAGATTTTGGATTTGCAACTTAATAACAGTCATATCACAGAAGCCCCCAATGTGGTCTATACTCTCTATAATAAACGCAGGCAACTATAAACACATGCAATTACATAGATACTCAGTTCACAAGTCCAGATATTATTTCTCTAATATTTGCTACCGAAGGATCATCAAAGAAAGTACAGACAATAGGACCAAAAATCCTGGAATGCAATTTCCGAGCTAAGAACATGTAATGGGAGAATGGTGTTGGATTATAACCATACAAAGTGTACATGTTTGCCTGTTCCCTTGCGAGGGTTTTATATCTTTTCTTATGTTTCAAAGTTTCCCATGGCATACATAATTCTTTAATTCACCTCCGCTGCATCTTCCTCTACCTCAATAATTTAACTGCCTTGATTATCGATGTTTCTGTAGCACCTTTAACAAGAGAGCAAATAGTTGATTTTGCAACATTACATGATTGCGCTCAAATTCATTTTACCCATACGTCATGCAAATTTTCTAAACCTATCAAGGATCCCCTTTTACTCTATGAAAGGAAGGACGACTTGATATTCTTCTGTGACTACAGTTTTTAAACTAATCGAGTCTATTTCAGAACACTTTTACTATTACGTTACTCTTTCAAAAGGATAGAGCATAATCACATCACACCTCCACTAATTCATACTGTATCTCCAATATCATAATTTAATTGTAAAAACAGAGTTTAGTACACGTCCCCACCTGCCATTGCACTCTTTGTTGACTTCTCTTGTTAAATACTATGGCTAATTTATTTCTCTGTACCATTAAGATAAATACGACACCCATACTGCTAAAATAACGATCTTCATCTCTGCAAACCTTAGGGCTTAAATTTTACTTGAACACGATGGCTTTCTAATAACAAAATGCCCCTGCTAAATTACTGGAAATCAAAGAAAAATGAAGAAAATTGTATATATAAATGCGCAATCACAAGTTGTGTTTGTGCAACCACCTGAACTTTTGGAAGTGAAGGTGTCTCCTTTAGCTCATGTACAACTTGAGACTGTGATTCAACTGCTGCCTAGAAACCACCAAGATGATACCTGATTTTATTTATGTGCCGAATTAATATAAACTGATCAGGTGGGAATTTATGGGAAATGCACCTGAAAAGTACGCAGCTCTTGCTCTTCTTCATCTGCCATTTGTCGCTCATATTGTCTCTTTGACTGTAATGAGTAATCAAAAGCCAAATTAAAAACATCAGCAAAACACAATTGTGGGGGAAATGGAGATTCAGCAACAGCAACAGCAACAGCAACATAGATTTTGGTTGAAGAATGAAGGTTGGTTTGGTGCAAGAAATTTTAAACCATTCTATTGCAATTGTGAAACATCAATAGGAGAAATAACCTCACCATCTCATATTTATCAAGAAACTCGGTCTCATCTTCATCCAGAGCTTTTGGTGGTCCTGCAAGATGAAGCGGCAATCTGATTTAACAAGGCACTATCAAAAGAAACAACTAGATGATAAAAGGGTCATGTAGAGCTTAGTGAACAATAAGATATTGCAATACAAAAGCCAAGGAAGACAATACATGCAGTTTCACCAAGTAAAAAAGCTATTATAGGAGAAAAGGGTGTGATCAATCTCAATCGGAATGATACTGTTTTGAAGTCCAAATCAACGTCCCAATTTGCAGAACATGAATGAACACTTACTGTGCTTGAAGCGTTCATTGAACTCAGCATCTTTCTTGTCCTTATTCTCCTGTAAAATCTGCAATTTTGCCAACATGTGCAGGCAGGCATAAATGACCAAATCAGGATTGTTTGGCATTCATAGTATTTCTCACATGTGTGTGTTATCTAATACAACTGGAAACCAACAAGGTGAATAGGAGGACTAAACTGAGAGAGAGAGAGAGAGAGAGAGAGAGAGAGAGAGAGAGAGAGAGAGAGAGAGAGAGAGAGAGAGAGAGAGAGAGAGAGAGAGAGAGAGAGATACCTCGTAAAGGGGCCTATCTCTCTGAGCAGTACCATCTTCGACTCGGGGTCCTCGGGTCCTCCGAGCTTCTTCCAACTGAAACCACTCATGAAGAAGAATTCCAGGAAAGAAATAAATAAATAAAGTAATATGAAAAATTATGGGAAACCTGATCTTCGGAAACGAAGGTCATCAGCCTTATCGGCGGCGGCGCCTCATTATCGGCCATTTCCCGTCTATCCGCCGACTGGGGTCGTGCAGGGCCTTTTGATTTGGGTTAATCAAAATGAGAATGTTCGTATCAAGATTCGTTCTTTTTTCTTTCTTTTTTTTCTTTTTTGAGAACGTATCAAGATTCGTTCTACCCTTTCCAGTACAGTACCATCGCGACTTGTTTCAAACCCTATTTTGTTTCCAATTGATCAAACACGTTAATATTATTTTATTTATTTATTTATTATTTGTTTTTAACCAATAAAAATTGCTTGAAGATCTCGCCTTTGTAACCTCTTTGTTTATATATCCAGTTAATGGTTGATTCATGATATCACATTACCAGCAGATTATTAATAGATTGATGTATAGTAGTAATTGACAATATATAACAATTACAAATTGCACATGTTTTAAAGAAGATATGAATCAGCCCCACATGCAATTGCAAATGCAACATTAAGAAAGTCTACTACTGCTCAATTTGCAAAATAACAACACTACAACATAGTTACAAATTTATTCTCAAACAAACAAACAAACCCACAAACTAGGATGTTAGATTCTAGTTGTTAACTCTCTCAGTGTAGAAACTTCAACACTTGCTCTGTTTTCCACATATAACTGCTCTCTCTCTCTTTGTTTCGCTTTTCAGGGGCATACCCCTAACCCACATTATTCATCACAACATTTTCCATTCTCTTTCTCACAACCTGCAAACGCAAAATATCATCATCATCATCATCATCAATCACCTTTATAGCAAGTCCATATATAGCAATATCATCATCCAATCCTAGTCTATAATATGATTAATAAATAGTCTCATTAGTATTTCAAGGTCGTCGTCCACACATGCACCACAAGCTATTAATATTCAAATCACTCATCTTGTCCTTTTGATGATTAGGGATTCTTTAAGATGCAATATAGAGCAGATGGTTGTTTCTTCGACCAGATGTGTATAAGGAACTGAGAAAGGGTTAACAAGGAAGGAACGGAACAAGTAGAAACAGGAGAGGCAAACAGCGGAATCCACATAAAAGGGCTCTTAGTTTCAATGAATTGCATTTTGGAAGCTTTGTGTTCATTTATCAACTGTCCAGACATTCTTAGACTCTTAAACAGTATTATTAACAAAAACAAACAATACAACGGGGTACTATTAAATGTTTCTGCAGAATACACGACTGGGAACATAAAGAAAATCTAACTAGTAATTCCAACATAAGTACTTTTCTAATCCAGCTTCACATGAAGATTGAAAAGGAGAAGAAAAATCATGCAGCTACACATTCTGTCTATTATTTGGATACCAAATAATGTCATTCCCATTACTAGCAGAACCAAATTTGAGGGAACTGAACAAGTATTCAAATTGCTTTACACTATGCTACATATAGGTCTGTGATGATACTACTAAGACTCTCCAATTGAGCTTGTTTAAATCATCTGTACTCCATACATGTAGCTATAACAAAAAACCCTGGACTGCGAAGACAGAAAACTGGTGCCATACTTTTCTAGTACTCTAAATTATGAATTTACATGACATTACTGGTACCTTACAAAAAATTGAGATTTGCAAAACTAACAAGAAGAAACGGACCAGCATCAAACATCAGCAGGTATCCATGCTTTCTTTTCTTAAAATAAAATAAAATAAAGATCAGGACAATCACCATGCAGAGGCACAAATCACAATGGACTTGGTGTTCATGGCTCTACTCTTTTTATCCTTCCAATTATGTCTAAGATGTTTTTCAATAAGAAATGCATTTCATGCCTTTACCACTTTTCGCATAAAAGACACTGCATATGCATCAAGTAACAATTCCTTTGTTAAAGCCAACTAAACTACTGCTTCTTACTGATAGTGTGACAATATTCGTGCAAGTTCAAGATATGATTACACACCTCTTCATTCTGTCTGAAGCATCTTGCAAGTTGCTCCATCTTGGAGAAGTTGAGTAATTGCATCTCTTAACTTAATATAATCATCAAGAGTATTGTACACTTGATGAGAAATCCGGACATATCCTGTTACACAACCATCCCCATCCATGGCTCCAATCTCCCCATCTATTGGCACCTGAAAGTGTATCGGTACTTCCACCCCAAAATGGTCTCTCAAGTGTGATCTCAAGTTCAAAGCATCATCATCACACAAGACTCCCAGTCTTGAAGGCAAGCCAATCATCACCATGCTCGGACACATCTCAGGAGGTGAACCAAGATTTGTTCCCCAAGCCTTGGCCAACATTTGGCCCATTTCAACCACTTTTTCATGGTTCCTCTTCCTAATTCCCTCAAGGCCTCCTTCAAACCTATTAGTGAATTCTAAAACTTCAGGAATAACAAGCTGAGAGCTGTAGTCTCTTGTCCCAATCCACGCACTCTCTATGGCAAGCCCATTTCCATATTCATGTGAAACAACAGGGTGGTGCAAATCAGGCGAAACCGGTGATTTTCGACAGTACAAAAATGCAACCGAAGGTGGACAGAAAAACCACTTATGCAAATTGCTGACATAAAAATCAGCCCCTATATCCTTGACATCAACATGAACGCTGCCAATAGCATGCGCTGCATCTACAAAAACACGTTCGACACCTTCCTCTCTACAAATATTAACCAGTTCACGAGCAGGAATCACGACACAAGGCATTGATGTTATATGATCGATTATAGCTAACCTTACTTTCTTACCATTGGCCCTACCTCTAGCCAAGCCTTTCCGAAACTCGGCTATGATTTCTTCATTGGAATTGACAGGGAAGGGCAAGTGAACCACTATGACAGAGCCGCCAGCCCGGGTAACATAGGCCTCAATGGACTTCTTAACAGCCTGAAAAGCGCAGTGGAGCATGACAACAGCATCGCCCTTCTGGAAACGTCCTTCAGCAAAGGCCCAGCCAACATGCTGAAGAACGATGGCAGCAGCAGTGGTGGCGTTGTCTACGATGGAGACCTCATCAACATGGTCGGCATTAATGAGATCCTTGATGATGGTGCGGGAATGGAGGATTTGGCGCTGGAGGTGATTGAAGAAGAAATCGTCAGGCTGGCGGAGGAAGCGTAGCTGCCAGATCTTCTGGGCGGCGATGATGGAGGCGGGACAGCTGCCAAAGCTGCCGTTGTTGATTCGGGCGATGCCGGATTGGTGGTGGGCAAACTCCTCGCGAATTTCGGAATCAGTAATGAAGGAGAGCTTGAGCTTTTTGGAGACGTGGTTGGTGTCGCCATTGACGGCGGGAGCACGAGGGTCTTCAACCCCGGGTGGAGGATCCATCATGTGCAGAAGTAGAAGAAAAAAATGGATGATTAGGGCTACTAGGGTTTGGTGCAGGTTTACCGTTCAGTATCTAATTTCATTATTGTATTATTATTATTATTATTTGGGGGAATAAACGTGTGATGATGATGATGATGATGATCTTTTTCTTTTCTTAATAATAATTTGTTGAGAAAAGAAAAGTGGGCTTTTTGCAGATAGATAATAGGCCTGGACCAATAATAAATAATATTGTTCTTGGGCTTAGAAAACTGGAGGATTTATCTCCAAAATTAAATTTATTATTAGTATTACCATAAAGAATAAAGAAAGTACGAGTGTACGACAGTTGTTGTTGGTCTGGTCTTCTTATCTTCCAGACTCGGATGCCAATCAATCTCTTGTTCCGTGAATTTCAGACCTCATCATCTCTCTACACTCTAGACTTTACGAACAACATATTACCAGTTATGGCAGTTGCACCCCCAGCTGCCAGCCGTCGCCCTTCCGTCGCCGCCCTTTATCCCAAATTCGCCCTCTCAGAAACCAGCAATTGGGTTGGTTTGGGTTTTGTAATTAAATCACCCAAATTGAAGGGTGTTGGAGGAAGAGCCAGAGTTACACCTTGTAGGAGATTCCGCAGCCCAGTAGTGGCGACGGCGGCATTGGGTGGTTTACTCGGGGGGATTTTTGGGACCGGCACAGACACCGGAGAATCTACAAGGCAGTTATATGCAACTACTGTATCACTCATCAATCAGATGGAGTCTGAAATTTCCTCTCTCTCCGATTCACAGTTGAGGGAAAGGACCTCCACCTTGCAACAACGCGCACTTCGCGGTGATTCCCTCCAATCCCTTTTACCTGTATGTCCATCTTCATCTTCAACCTTACCACCAACTTTTCTTTTTACTTGTTTCCTTCTTTTTGCAACTATAATAACTGTGATTTTTCTTGCAGGAAGCATTTTCCATAGTGAGAGAGGCTTCTAAAAGGGTTCTAGGCCTTCGTCCCTTTGATGTACAATTGATAGGTTGGTTCTCTATACTTACTCGTCTTATTGGTCGTCAATTCATGTGTTTTTTTTTTATCAGTTGAAATAATTTGGGGGTTGGAGGGATTTTTGGATTGATTTGCAAACTTTCTGCCTGCCACATACTAAAGTTTTTTTTTCTTTCCCTATCACTCATATGTATGTTGCGTAGGTGGTATGGTTCTTCATAAAGGAGAAATAGCTGAAATGAAAACAGGAGAAGGAAAGACACTTGTTGCTATATTGCCTGCTTTTCTAAATGCATTGGCTGGGAAAGGAGTCTACGTTGTTACCGTTAATGACTATTTGGCCCGACGAGACTGCGAATGGGTTGGTCAAGTTCCACGTTTTCTTGGATTGAAGGTTGGCTTAATTCAGCGTACGTCTTACACATGACTTATTTATATTTTCTGCAATTTTAATGATCTCTGATGAGGATAAGATGCGATGGATGTTATTATGCTTAGATTTTGCCAAAAGGAAAAAGTCCTACAAGTTTTGATCTTTATTACGACTCTGCAGAATGATAGTTCAAACTTATAACGTTTAGTTAATGATGACAGAAAATATGACAAGTGAACAAAGGAGGGAAAATTACCAGTGCGACATCACATATGTTACGAATAGCGAGCTGGGTTTTGATTACCTAAGAGATAATCTTGCCACGGAAAGTAATTATTTTGCTTTGTTTATCGTTATATGTTGGTACTTTCAGCATCCATGATGCATGCTGTTCTGAAATGTTTTTTTTTTTTAATCTTACAGAGCGTTGATGAACTTGTGTTGAGAGGTTTCAATTACTGTGTAATTGATGAGGTTGATTCTATTCTAATTGATGAAGCAAGGACTCCTCTCATCATATCAGGATCTGCAGAAAGACCAAGTGATCGTTACTATAAAGCTGCTAAGATAGCCACTGCATTTGAGCGAGATATACATTATACTGTAAGAATTCAACTAACTTGAGTAATTTTTTTGTCGTGTAATTATTTCGTCTTGTAATCAGTTTGTTTTTACGGGTAATATGACAAAATAAGCTATTTTGGTTTGAGTTGAGTGTGCTGTTATCCAAATACAAAAAGTTACCTTCTATGAACTGCAAAATTAAATATCTAGTGGGCAAGAAATATTTAAGTCTCTCCTGTATATATCTCGTTGTCATGTGTAAATTTGGGCATATACCTTGGTTAGGCTCCGTTTCTGTGGCACCCGGAGACAAGAGATAAAGACTGTTTAAACTAAAATGTTGAAACGTATGCAGGTTGATGAGAAACAAAAAACGGTTTTACTTGGAGAACAGGGTTATGCTGACGCTGAAGAAATTTTGGATGTAAAAGATTTATATGATCCAAGAGAGCAGTGGGCATCATACATATTAAATGCAATTAAAGCCAAAGAACTTTTTCTTAAGGATGTGAACTATATAATCAGAGGCAAGGAGGTTCTTATAGTGGACGAGTTCACTGGCCGAGTAATGCAGGTCAGACTCTATTCTGAATTTTGAGTGCACCTAGACTAAAAAAGGAAAGAAAGTGAATGAGTTCATTCGATTATATATTATTTCTGGCTGTAGAGTTGTCATATTGTCTCCATTTCTTTTCCTTTTTCATCGCAAAAAAATATTTTTTCCTTTACATTCAATCTCAACACAAAGGCGAAAAATTCTTTTCCTCGACTTAAAGTAGAGTTGATTACATTGGTCATAGGGGAGACGCTGGAGTGATGGACTTCACCAGGCAGTTGAAGCTAAAGAAGGACTGCCCATACAAAATGAAACTGTGACCTTGGCTTCAATTAGCTACCAGAACTTCTTTCTCCAGGTTTGTGGAGTCACACTTTGTGATTTATGTGTGTATGGTGAGGCACTCTTCTCTCACTAACGTAAATTTTTCTCACAATGTTTGATGTAGTTTCCAAAACTCTGTGGCATGACTGGCACTGCTGCTACTGAGACCGCAGAGTTTGAGAGCATATACAAACTCAAAGTTACAATTGTTCCAACAAACAAGCCCATGATGAGAAAGGTTTTTTTCTAGCCCTGCTTTTCCATCAACAAGTTGATCAATCTTCTTCTTGTGTTTTATTTTCTATTGTCCGGCGTTCTTTTGTGATTTATTTAACTTCTTTCATTATAATTAAGAGCTCCAAGTAACTTTTAATTTTTCCCACGCCCCAAGGATGAATCAGATGTAGTGTTCAAGGCTACTACAGGAAAGTGGCGGGCAGTTGTAGTGGAGATTTCTCGAATGAACAAAACAGGTCGGCCAGTTCTTGTTGGGACAACTAGTGTTGAGCAGAGTGATGCATTGTCTGAACAGCTTCGTGAAGCTGGAGTTCCGCATGAGGTTATAAAATCATTCAGTAATATACATTTGCATGCTTCTACTGTAATACAATGATGATGCAAAACTATGTTGTCTTTTTTCCTTGTTTGGGGGAATATCTTATTTGATTATGTATCTTTGAAGGTTCTGAATGCAAAACCGGAAAACGTGGAAAGAGAAGCTGAAATTGTGGCTCAGAGCGGTCGTCTTGGGGCAGTTACAATTGCAACAAACATGGCAGGACGTGGTACAGACATTATCCTTGGTGGTAATGCAGAATTTATGGCTAGGTTGAAGTTACGTGAGATGTTGATGCCAAGGTATCTTAGGCAACACTCAGATATAAATGAAATTTTTGTATTAGCCCTTATGGGATAAATCGGGCAGGTAGAGAGAAGTGTAGCCATCCTCTACTATAATGTTCTTTGTCTTATAGCTATAATCTCTAGATGTGATAAGGAGCTTTAACATGTAACACACTTGGGCAGTTATATGATTGATTAATTGATTAAACTGATGCAGAGTTGTAAGGCCTGCTGAAGGAGTTTTTGTTTCTGTAAAGAAACCTACTCCTAAGAAAACATGGAAGGTTTGGATTATTTAATATATATATCTGGATATCTTTCGAATGTAGCCTGTTTTGCATTGTCATAACATTGATGTCACTGAATCACACTCCAGGTAAATGAGAGCCTATTCCCATGCACACTGTCTAGAGGCAACTCCAAATTGGCTGAGGAAGCTGTAGAGTTGGCTGCCAAAATGTGGGGGCAAAGGTCATTAACTGAGCTTGAAGCAGAGGAACGGCTCTCATATTCTTGTGAAAAGGTGAGATTTGTTGAAATACCACGATCAACTGCATTTTCCCATGTAACATTTCATAACTAATAAATCTAAAACTTGAATGTTCTAGGGTCCTGTTCAAGATGAAGTCATTTCAAAGCTGCGCAGTGCATTTCTTGAAATTGTTAAAGAATATAAGGTTTACACAGAGGAAGAGAGGGAGAAGGTAAACTGTGCATACTTTATTCCTTAATGAAACTTTCCTCAGGTCGAAACATTATTGGACCCAAACAGTTATGTTTTCTTCCCCAATATGGTGATAGGTTGTGTCAGCTGGAGGACTTCATGTTGTGGGTACCGAACGTCATGAGTCACGCCGAATTGACAATCAGGTATAGCTTTAATATCTTCTTTGTGATCTGGCATGGTGATACGTTGCCTGATTTGTGATGAGTACCTGATCCTTTGTTTTGAAATTTTTAACTTGCGGTTATGCCTGCCTTCTTTTTCTTATACTTTAATTATATTTTTGTTCTGTTATCTACGTGAAGCTGCGTGGTCGTAGTGGCAGGCAAGGAGACCCTGGAAGTTCCCGATTTTTTCTTAGTCTTGAAGATAACATATTTCGCATATTCGGTGGAGATCGAATTCAGGTTCTCTTCAGCTCCAAACATTATTGCTGTTAGGATACAATTGTACAGAAGTTAATACTTTTGTGACATCCAGGGTTTGATGAAAGCTTTTAGAGTTGAAGACCTACCAATTGAATCCAAGATGCTGACAAAAGCACTAGATGAAGCTCAGAGGAAAGTGGAGAACTACTTTTTCGACATTAGAAAACAATTGTTTGAATATGATGAGGTTTTGAATAGCCAAAGAGATCGTGTGTACACAGAGAGGAGGCGAGCTTTGGAATCTGATGATCTCCAATCTCTCCTGATTGAATATGCTGAATTAACTATGGATGATATACTTGAGGTAAAAATCTGTTTGACTCGTACGTTCTTCATGCTTTGTATCCAACATCAGTAATGTTTCTATTCTCGTCTAAATAATAATAATGTATAGGCAAATATTGGCTCTGACACTCCTAGAGAAAGCTGGGACTTTGAGAAGCTTATTGGAAAACTTCAACAGTAAGTGGAATCCTTCACTCTTGCAATTATAAATATCTTGCTTTTGCTGGATATTTCAAGATTTTAATTCGAGCTTGTTCTTCTGTATAGGTATTGCTATCTTTTGGATGATTTGACCCCAGAGTTATTGGAAAGTAAATGCTCCAATGTTGAGGAATTAAGAGGTTACCTCCACCTTCGTGGACGTGAAGCATATCTGCAGAAACGGGTTAGTTTTATCTATAGTTTCATTCTTATTGAGGTCTGATCAAGTGAGTGCAATAAGTCATAGTAGCAGACAGGGGTTGATAGATATGCTATTTTCTCACCAAATAGCAGAGTAGGTAGAGGTTTGCCAAGAGTTGGGTTAATAAATAAATGATGTATTTTCTTATTCACTTGTTGACGGGTTATGTTCTTCCTTTTTACGTGCCAGGAAATAGTGGAGAAAGAGGCTCCAAATTTGATGAAAGAAGCGGAAAAGTTCCTCATATTGACGAATATTGACCGTTTATGGAAGGAACACTTGCAAGCTCTAAAATTTGTTCAGCAAGCAGTAGGTTTACGGGGGTATGCACAGAGGGATCCGCTTATTGAATACAAACTCGAGGGATACAATCTTTTTGTAGAGATGATGGCAAGAATAAGAAGGAATGTCATTTATTCTATTTACCAGGTATTATATTGTTGAATTGAATTGCTGCTGCAGCAGCTTACCATGTCTAGATTCTAACCATATATTTGTTCATCTGTGTATCAGTTCAAACCTGTCTTGATGAAGGAGCAGAACAACCTGGACGCCAATACAGTAAATTCTAAAATCCCCACTTCATCAGCTGTCAGTCAGCAGGCAAGCAAGTGACAACTTGTTGACCAGTCTGGAAAAGGAACAAAAATGCTTATATACTGTGTGCAATTAATGTAAAATAGATTGTGAATTAAGTACAAAGAGTTGCATGTTTTGACAGTTGTATCAATATTCAAATGTAAAGGGATTTGACTAAAAAATAACATCATCTTAGCATTTTTGTTGGTGAATGAATCAATCAATACACGGTGGCCTTCTAATGTGAGGATGATTTTTTTCTGTGAAGAATCCTTGTTTGCTGTAACGAATTAAACTGACGTTTGAAGATAGGGATACTACGCCGTTTTGTTTTACCTAAGTTCAACCCCGGATCTTTGAATGCGATAATATCCGAATTTTCCTTTCAATTCACATCTGTTTATCCCTATTTTATGAATTATTATTATTATTGAATTCATAACATTTGCTGCCTCTTTATTCAATTATGACAGCAAACATGAAATCTAGCAAGAATCATACAGGTACTGCAAGCGCAAGGCAAGAGAAAACAAGGCAAGATTAATTAGTAAAGAAAGAATCCCCTCTGTTTTGATGAATGAGCAAATTGACTTCAATATATAGGTACAATGCAAACAGAGAAAGGTGTTTTTACATTTCCTTACATAATCATGTTGTTGTGTGAAAGAAGAATGCCATGTATGATATATGAATTAATTACTCTCATCAGTATGTTACACAAATAAACAAGCAAATTAAAGAAAAAAATATAATAATTAAGAAAAGGTGTTTTTTTTTTCTTTTCTCAAAGACTGAGAATGTAGTAAGCTGTAGTTTAGTTTCAGTTGTTGCGGACTCTCTCTGTCATCTTGGAGAATCATTCTTCAAAACAGAGCACAGAACCTGTCTGGATATGTATGTCTCAAGTTCTCTGGAGACTTGAGTCAACTTCAAATCAAAATCACTTCGGTACCTATTGTGCTTTGGTGATGGCACAGAAGTAATAATAGCATGATGGTGCTGCGGCTTTGGAGAAGACGAAAGTCGTCTTCTTGGACTTGAAGAAAACTGTCCCCTCACAGCTACTCCTTTAGCAATCAAACCAAATCCTGCTGCTTCTCTATCTTTATTATCTGGTTTCATAAGTGGTCCACTTTTAATTTCCAGGGGCAGGGGCTTCAATGGATCACTGTCCACAATCGGCTTTTGTTTCAGAAGTTTTTCCCTTGCAAGTAGAGCTTTCTCCCTGCTCAGGTTTATTAGTTTCCATGGGTCAATGCTTGCACGGAAACCTTGCTTTTTGTTCGACACATCAGACAATGATGATTCTTCAGCTCCTTCTCCATCAATCCTTATCGCCAGCTTTTCTGGGTTCTGGAACATGTAAAGAAAAAAGAAAAAGGTTTATTGTTGTCATGCTGCAAAAATTGCGTCTCCAGATAAAGTTGCATTATTAACTGAGAAAATAGTATTCACCCCCATGTACCTTTCCATCTTTGCAAGCTATAATCCGCGATATAAATGTAGGCTTTTTTTCAGGTGAATCCCAGTCAGAGTAACCTTCGTCATCATTATCATCATCAGAAGATAAGTCTGAGTCTTCAAGGGATTCGATTTCCATGGACTGGTTCTCTTCTTTCATTGCTAAAATGTAGTCGTAAGTTGATATTCCCTGAAAAAGATGTGAACAAGAGAGAGAATATAACTATTTTCATCTCTTATGCCATCAATCATATTTTGTCTACACATCTCTCTCAATTTATAACACACCTTTCTGATGAGGAGTACATGAAAGAAAAAGAGTTGTCCCAATGCAGCTGTGCTGTATGTCGTTACCAAAACCAATACCACCTGCGGGACGAATAAACAGTTAAGATATAAGATGCATTTCATTTCCACACAATTGAGCGGGGTTTCGAGAGTATTACGGATAAGGCAGCAAGTAGTCCTCTTGGGAATTTTACATAGTGTCTTGTTATCAACTCCTCTTCTATTCCCTTGCTATCAGCAAAGCACCTTACAAATACTGCTACAGCAGTTCCTCCTTGTACAACTAGCTGAAGACATAACAACACACATTGATTTCCACCAGCTGTTGTTGTTGATAACGGAATATAAAGTAACACCACGGTAAATTATATAGATAAATTCTACTAACCATTATCAGCACAAAAATCATCAGAAGAATGAAGCTTGTGTAATTCTTTTTCCCAACGCAGTTATTCAGCCACTGAAACAAGTCAAAAATGAGAAGCTGGCATTCAAAACTCGAGGCTGACAGGAACAAGGATAAGATATTATTATTATGTCTTACTCTGCAGTGGTGATCAAATCCCTCAACACAACGGTTGCAGGTCCTGCAATGTTTGCTGTACCTGTTGACCTGAGGAGGAATTTGAGGAGTTTTTGGTTAGTAATAATAAATAGAGGGGATAAATTTGTGATGTTTTGTACCTCAAAATCACAGAGGGAGCAGAATGAGATGTCATTGTCATCCTGTTTGGGATTGGGAGCAAGAGAATCGTCCTCCTCGAGGATAAGGGGAAATGGGATCAGAAGAGGGAGCTCCATATGAACTTTATTATTCCATGGTTCATCCAGGACGTATTTCCTTCTTATGCAAGTCCTCAGAATCTTACGTTCAATCCTCTTGAAGAATCGCAACAAAATCCGGCTGAAAATGAATTTGTAATTAAGGTCTGAGAGCCCGATAGGAACATTGGGCTTCCTCTTCTTCTTCTTTCTAAATCTAAATCTGGTCCTGTCACCAGGATCAATGGCGGAACACCTAATGAACAGAAGAGCAACTGAAAGTGCCTGCACGAAGATAGACAATAACTATCATTGTTGTCGGTCTTCTATAGCAACAAATTAATCATGAATCATGAAAATGATGAGTGCACATAATATGTATTGGGTGGGGGATTTACCGCAAAAGAGAAGACAGTGTTGATGGTGATCTCTGCAATTCTGTGGCCGACGAAAAGGCCAAGGAAGCAATAGAAAGCAGCCACTAGGAAAAAGAAAACTGAGATACCCACAATCTGCGTAAATCAACAAACAAATATTAAAGACAAAAAGTTGTCAGGAACTCCAAGTAACCATTGGAATTGCTGAAATTGAAGCGCAATAGGAAGAAAGAAAGGAACTTTGTAGTAGTAGGTAGTACCTGTAAAGGGTGGAGGGGGCGTTGCCAGCCATGGCGCCTGGGGACGGCGGAGGATGAGGAGATGACGGACATGGAGGAGGAACAAACAACGGAGTTTCTGCAAAATTCAACGGAGTTTCTGCAAAATTGGAATGCAACTGCTTGCTTAAAGCTCCCAAATTATTTTTTTGAATCAGATAGATAGCTATCCAACGGTCGGATCCCAATTTTGAATTTCAAAGTTGAAACAAAGCATCACAACTCTACGGCCCGGCCCACCTCAACCGACATATTTCTGAGTTGGGCTATTTTTAGATTCCCACTTTTCACCCCAATTGTTTTGAAATACAACTTGCATTATTAAATTGGGATGATTTAGTATCTCCTTGGAGAAGTATTTGGGAATAACCATGTAAACATATTGAAATTAAAAATTAAAAATTATCAAATAATTATTATATATAAAATATATATGTATATAATAATAATAATAATAATAATAATAAAGAAACAATTTTTATTAAAAAAAATCAGTAAAATAATATATGCATGACAAAAATGTTGAATGCAATTGGGCGGAAATTGGGTGTGGTGTAGTAAATACTTTTAGTGGGATATGCCAAATAATGATTTGGGCGAATCCTAAATCAGCGAACCATGTATTGTATGTATTTCTTTAGTGCAAATCAAAATCGAAAAAGAATGAGGCCAATCACAAACAACCCAAATGGTGTGTAATGAACATGGGACGGCAAGTCAGACATTTAAAAGTTGACAAGAATTTAGGGAGTGGGAATAAATAATAAATAATAAATAATAATATATTTCACGTTCCATCAGTATGTATGTATGTATCATGTATGTGTATGTATATCGGAAGATTTGAAGAAGCAAGCAAGCACAATGAATGTCACGACATCATTAAGGCAACGAATATTTGCAAGACGAAAATTACTAAGTGCAAGACCTTACTTCATGCAAGACCAAAATATAAATAAATTTACTAAGATCAAGACTGGAAATTACAAATATAACCCCAATAATAATTTAGATATTATTAATTTAAATTAACATAATTGCTATTGCAAGACCAAAAAAAAAATACAAAAATTTTTTACTAACATCTTCTTCTTCACCCTCATTTTACACATTTTTTTCCACAAAAAATCTTCCATATTCTCCAAAATCCTTATCACATAAAACCCTCAAATCTTTACTAAAACTTGAAAAGAAGGACATTATGGATACACAAGACATAAATATGGAGGATTCTAAGGTCGAAGAACACAAAGAGTTAATAAATATTGTACTTTGTGATCGTTTTTCTCGTTTTTCGCACCTCATTTCACGTACAAAAAATTCGACATGTACAGGTCGAAATATCCGCTTAATATCGACACAGTAGTGTCGAAAATTTCAACATAATTCGACACTCCTTAACTGTCGAATTATATTGAAATTTTCGACATTCTGGTGTCGAATTATATTGAAAATTTCGACATTCTGGTGTCGAATTATATTGAAATTTTCGACGCTGGTGTGTCGATTTTTCAAAAATCGACACCAATGTGTCGAAAAATTTCCAAAAAATCGACAAGTACAGGTCGTTTTTTGTAAAACCGCAACTCCTTCAACAATAGTGCTACAATCGAACCCTAGAATCATTAACTATGTTCTAAAATGACTTGAATTCATTATTCTAACAATAAAATCATGTTTATCACATTTATTTCTCAAAAAAAATTAATTCAAAAAGTAATTTCCTTGTTTTTCGTGAGATTGTTGTGGCGGGGTTGGGGCAACAACGGACTTCAACGGCGACGGGGAGGTGGTGGACTTCAACGGCGACGGCGACGGCGACGGAGCGATGGGGCGACGGTTGAGTGCTGCAATTGATTTTCTTGTTTTCTTCTTCCCTTCTTCCTCCTCGTTTTTCAATTCTCTATTCAATTTCTTTTTTCTTTCTTTTTTTATTAATTTTTCTTTTTTAAACTGGTCTTGCAAAAGGAAATTAATAAAATAATTTTTATTTTGTTTGTATTTTATTAAGGTTATTATAGTCTTTTTATACTGAATTTAATAAAAAAAATTAATTTGGTCTTGCACTAAGTAATTTTCGTCTTGCAAATAGTCGCTGCCCATCATTAAAGGTCAAAAACAAAAAAAAAAACAAGTAATGCGCCGGCTTCACGCGTCCCTTGCACTATTAGTATTATTATCATATTATGTCACCTCTCCACTCTAATTATTTTTCTATGTCAATACATGAATTCACTCACTCATAGTTGAAAACTAATTTCAGTGAATCATTTACATTTTCACAACTATCTAAATACAATTAGTTGATGATGATGTTTTCCAACCATGACTAGGTCAAATCTTTGGGATCACATATTCACATTGCCAGTGTAGTGGACCATAATCTTATATAATAACAATTTTCTGTAATGGATTTGAAACAGATGATGGAACTTTGACCGCTGACTTGTTCATTAAAAATTTAATTCATGGCAATGTTAATTATATATATATGGAAGGGGTTGCTGGAACCAATTACCAGTGTGCATGAATGGATCTTCTACTTGTTCATACATAAACTGATAAACACACACATCAACAGATATAATGATGAGGGTGATGAGTATGGTATTATATTGTCGCTGTTTGGTGTTAATGATGATGATTTCGATGGTGTGTTGCGGAAAGAGCTCAATTTCGTCGCTAATTAGCAGGCAGGTCTTTGATTCCATGTTCCTCCACAAGGACAACATTGCCTGCCCTGCTAAAGATTTCTACACTTACGATTCTTTGTTGCAAGCATCCACCTGCTTCCCAAGATTCGGCAACACCGGGAGTTTGACCACCAGGAAGCGTGAAATCGCTGCATTTCTTGCCCAGGTGTCCCACGAGACCACCGGTGGATGGCCCACTGCACCCGACGGGCCCTACTCATGGGGCCTCTGCTTCAAAGAGGAGGTCTCCCCTCAGACCAATTACTGCGACTCCACCAACACTCAGTGGCCTTGCTCTCCCGGTGTCTCTTACAAAGGCAGAGGCCCCATTCAACTCTCCTGGTATTCAATTACTACTACTACTACTACTACTGCTACTTCAACAACACACACACGAGACACACTCTCAAGTCCCAAGTCCCAAGTCCCAAGTCCCAAGTCCCAAGTCCAAATTAATTAATAATAAAATAAATAAAAATGATTTGATTTGCAGGAACTACAACTATGGACCTGCAGGACGTGCCTTGGGATTTGACGGCCTTGGAAACCCGGAATTAGTATCCAACAATTCGGTCATCTCATGGAAAACAGCTCTCTGGTTTTGGATGACGGAGCAGAAGCCCAAGCCCTCTTGCCATAACGTCATGGTTGGACGCTACATCCCCACTAAGCAGGATTTGGCTGCCAATCGGACTGCTCCAGCTGGCTTTGGTCTCGTCACCAACATCATCAACGGTGGCCTCGAATGTGGTATTCCCACTGATGCACGTGTCTCAGATCGCATTGGATACTTCCAACGATATGCCAACATCTTCAATGTTCACACCGGACCTAACTTGGATTGCCAGTATCAGAAACACTTCTGAATTATTATTATTATTACCACTTATTACTAATAATAATATTAATCATGTTTCAACACCACTCTGTTTGTTTGTCTTCTTTCCAGCTTCAATAGCTCACTCACCCGCATCTTCAGTAACCGCCAGAAAACTAATGCCAACCATTTTGTTAAACTTATGCCTTTGTACTAACTATAACCAACTCCTTTGACAATTACATCTACTCATGCACACCAGCCCAGCTCTCAAAATCGTAACATTGAGATACTGGGCCAACACAACTCTATCTCAATTTAGACTGACAAGCTCACATCATCAAGGAGGTGAAAAAACGTTGATAATGCCAACATTAAATAACTTTTGAAGAAAACAAAAGGATTTTCATCTTACTATTAACTCAAATCCTCTGCTACTTGGTTATTTGGTACACGGGTTGGAATATAGTTCAAACATTAAATCGAATGTAGATTCTATTCAATCCCCAAAGGAGTTCAACTGCATTTTAACTCAACAAATGGAAGGAAAAAATAATAATTACTCTCCACTTCCGCTACTGATTCTACAAACATTCTAACTCACGCTAAAATTCGGATGCAAATGATACTTCACCTATATGTGTATTGTGACAAATAATTTGTTACCTCCGCGGCAACGTCATATGCACCCTCCACGCATCTTCCCAAAGCGACACCAGATACATAGTTACCCCCAAGAAAGAGACCATTATAACCACCATTGCTCAGAGCACTTCGGGCATTCTCCAACACATCCAAGTGACCGACTGTGAATTGTGGAATAGCTTGCGGCCACAAACGTACCCCCAGCGAAAGTGGATCTGGTGCATTAGAATTTATAAGCATCTTCCTCAGGTCACGATCCACCGATTCCACAAGTTGGCCTTCCGTCTGATCACAAAATGAGTAGTCACGAAGCAAAAAATAAGCAAAAAATTAAAGAGACAGGTGTCAATACAGAAAGTGAAAACTATGCTTCAATTGAGTTGCTAGTGGTATATTCAGTAGATATTGAGCCATAAACTTAAGTAAATTAGACGCAATGAACCAAACGACAAGCCTCGTTGAAATTTACTGCATTTCCTTTCAGGGGATCAATTAACTCGGCCTAAAAAAACCAAAATAACAGGCAAACAGTAGTTAAAAGATTACATTATACCTTTGACGTAATCCCAGTATTGGTAGCTCCTCCTATGTAGTTCAAAAGGAGAACTCTACCAGATGGGGCACGGTTAGGAAACAGTGATGAGCTGTATATGGTTCCTGCAGGATCAAATGAAACAATGAAGAAAGGACTTCTGCATTTAGTAAAAGCGATATCCAAGGATATAACAAGAAGGTCCATAATTCTAGTTGAATTCAGATATAACTGAAATTCTTAATTATAGTTAACATATTAATCATAGCGGCATTACCTAAAGTTTCAACCCCTTGGGAGCGGGGATGCAACTGCCCAAACCCCTGCAGCTCACCATCAATCAAACGATCTTTACGTATTGCTTCTTTTGGATAGGAAATGGTGACTGCAGCAACAGGTGGATAATAGAATTTGGATAACGAGTCTGCTGCAACTGCCTGCAAACAATTGGACAGGAAATAGCATACGATTATGTAGCACAGCCTCTTTAGGATGTGATTAAGAAAGATGCGGTTCCAATCCAATAGAATCACGTAGATAAATTCATGTTTAAGATGATTATTTTGAATCAATGTCTTGTGCTTAAAGATTGTAAAGGCATATAAGAAAAGTTGATAGACAAACACCCACAAAGTGTACAAACCAGTACACTGTAATCAGATGTTACACAGCAATTCTATGCTTATTTAGGGTGTATTTTATAGATCCTATCCATCATAGAAGCGGACATTTCCATCTGGTTTCATCCGATCCTCTATTAATAATAGTTCACCACTTCCGAAAAACACAAGTACACAACAAAATCCCTTCTTAAATAGAGTTAAACTTGGAACAAGCTCTAATCATCATTTCCTATTACTATGGTACAGAAGATAACAGATGAATAAATTGAGCTTCCTGCTTGTGATTTTGTTAGAGATGAAGATATTACTGAAAAGTTTGCGCAAATCCAAGGTATGACCTTGGTACATTAGTCCATGACGATCTACTGTCAGAAAGGCAAGGGTCTTCCATGGGTAAGAGGATCTGGCAGCAGGAATATTTATGAACATATTCCAAGATATTTTAATTCAAAGATTACTAAGAGAAAACTTATATTAACGTTCGACTTCATGCCATTTCTCTAATCATAAGTGGACCAAAAAGAAGCCAAGAGTACATATAAAGAAACATACCGAGAGCGGGCGTAATATTGTGCTTGCCACATAAGAAGGAATAGTCATCACAACACTTTTACACTGCAGCGACGCCATCCCGTTGGGGGTTTCATATGTCAAGGAATATCTTCCGTTGTCCAATCTAGTGATAGTCTTGAGTCTCCATGACAACTTGACTTTGTTTCCTAAGCTAGAATATGGGACACCAATGTCACAGACAAATATGGAACTAGTAAGTACTCCCTTCCAGCCCACAATATTTGCTTCTTCCCAAAAGAAGACTTTTTATGCATCTGTACTGTGACCTTAACAAGGATAATTAAGTTACATTGTTGCCCTTTTTTGCAGCTACTACTTGAATTCGACCTTTTTACGGAAATTGAGAAAAACTGCAGTATTCTAGACCTTTTTCAACCAGATGAAGCATATACCAGAGGATTTTCATAAAAAAACATAAAAAATCCACGTCTAATTTTCCAATATATATCATAAATACCTCGACGAAATTGCATTAGGCAGAGTTGCCAGGCCCTTTCTGAATGATCCAACTGTTTGGCCTTTTGGTTTGGGTAAGCGCCTGGGGATGTACTCAATCAAATTTCTGAAAAATCTGCTAAATTAACAGAAAGAATGTAACAAACACAAACACAAGTATGTCATTACGGATCTCTAGGTTCCTTGGGAGTACTAGATTTCTCTTGGATTGCTTTAAAGCTTCCACCAATAATGCTACCACCATTTTGCTCCAGCTTCCACACTTTCCCAAATGCTGCTTTCATGCTCAGTTTTGATGGATCTCCAGCATAAACACCTATATGAGAAGAAAAGTCAGACTAAAAAAGACAGATCATATTGGATATACTACAGATTATCAACAGAATGTAGGGATATTTCACACGTGTGTCTGCTAGAGCATGTCATATTTGAAGTGATTAAGAGAAAAATAAGAGAGGAGTACCAGAGCAAAATGGCTCTATTAAACGCTCAAAAACTTCACTACCGAGATTACGCCTGACAAACTCTTCAACCGATTCCTCGCGACCCTGTTACTTGAGAAAAAAACGAAAGATGAGAAGAAACGTAGTATAATGCACATCGAAAACAACAATAATAAGAAGAAGAAGAAGAAGAAGAAGAAGAAGAATTAAAGAGGGGGCACAAACTGGAGGGGGTGGGCGAAGACCAAGTGCACCAAAACCAGCTCTGAGTTTTCCAGGAAAGCTCATCAAGTCAAAGAATGGCAAGTCGGTGAGCTTGGAGGGGACTGGCCTCAGCTTACCATTCCACAATACAAAACGAGGCGCATTTGGGTCTCCCAACACCAATTCTTCCTTCAAACCACTGTCCACCTGCCGAATGAATGAAGAAAAAAATTGGGAAAAGAGAAACCAAAAATAAATAACGAGGAGCGAAACGCACCGCCATTGTGAGCATGGGATCGGAAGGCTGGAAGCTGTTGGGACCTTCTTCCCAAAGATAGCCATCCCTTTCAACGGTGGTGATGTTTCCTCCGACACGGTCTCTAGCCTCCGTCACCATGACATTGGAGTTACCGTGCTTCGTGGCAAGGGCCTGGGCGATACACAGACCGCTGATGCCAGCCCCGACAATCAAGCAGTCGAGCACTGATTGCTGGTTGTCGCTTTCCGAAGAAGGGGAAACAGCGGCGGGACCCTCAGCAACGGAGCATCTGATTCTCCGAACATGGCGAGGGATTGTGAATTGGGTGAATTGGGTGAATTGGGTGAATGAAGAAGAAGATATAGAGGATGGAGGCTTGAAGGAATTGAAAGATGGGAAATGGGTGTGGACGCCACTGAAACTACCCATTGCCGGAAAACTAATAGGTGGAAACTGGTGTCGCCGGCGATTGATAGATGTTTTCTGAACGGGAGGGTTTGTTATCTCCACGTGGAGGGACAGTAATACTAGTTTGGATTCATCATCATCATCATCATCATCCCCCGTATACTATCCGGGTATATATTATAGGAAACAATGCACTTCGCCCCCTAGAAATTTCTAGTTTTCGCTCTTTGCCCCCTACAAATTCAAAAATGAGACTTTCCCCCTTCGATATTTCGTTATAGTTGCACTTTGCCCCAAATATTACTTTCCGGCGGATTTTTCACCAGTTTTCTCATGTCTCTGTCAATTTAAAGGGCATTTTAATCTTTTCAAGGTTTCCTCCCAAATATTATTTATCGCTGAAAAAAAACCCAACCCATTAGACAACACATTACCTTATTTCATAACACAAAAAAGGGTATTTTCTCTCAAACACAATTACGGTGATGGTCACCAAATCGTAAGAATCTTCAGTTTCTTTTTCGATTACCACCTATTACGGTGATTCTTTCCCATATAGATTTAAAAAGTATGAGTTGGAAACAGAGAGAAGAAACACACAAAGAGAACAGAGGTAATGCACAAAAACATTGATTTTCCATGATTTCCCTCATCTAACAAAATGAAAAGAAGGTCAAAATTCAAACACCCAACAACCGTAGCTCCAACAACTGAATTTTACACACAAAGAATGAAACTCCCAAAAAATCTTACCTTTGTTAAAAAGCTTTTGCCTTTGAAGAGAAAAACGAAGCACTGATTTTGGAGCTCAACTGTGTAATCGTGGGTATAAAGAATCAACATATTGGGGATTTGGGTTCAAATTATGTATATACCTTGAAAAGACGAAAATACCCTTTAAATTGACAGAAACATGAGAAAACAGGTGAAAAATCCGCCGGAAAGTTACATTTGGGGCAAAGTGCAACTATAACTAAATTTCGAAGGGGGAAGTCTAATTTTTTAATTTCTAGGGGGCAAAGTACGAAAACTATAAATTTTGAGGGGCGAAGTACATTTTGTCCTATATTACATGACAAAAAACTAAAAATAAGTTTTTACTTGGATATTAAAAAATAAAATCTGATTTTATAACTTTTCTCTATTTAAAAATTAAAATTAAAATAATCCTTGGGCAATGTTTGGAAACGGTTTTATTTTGTTTTTATTGATTCCCCAAAACAAAATTATATTTATTACACTTCTCGAATAATTTTCTCAAAACTATATCAAAAATTTCTCTCTCCTTCGGACATGATGTGACTGCTACAGTAAAATGATTTGACTGCTACAGTGAAAACTGTCTTTACTAAAAATCAAATAAACATCACTTCATCTTTCAATTTTTTTTTCTAAAATACATTTTCAAACATCTTTAAACATGATTTGACTGCTACAGTGTATTTTGTCTCCTTCCAAAATATAAACAAACATTACTTTTATTCTCAAATTCATCCCCCAAAACATATTTTCTCAAAATGAAATCAAAATAAGTTTCAAAATGCTTCCAAACATAGCCCTGGTATTTAATTTAATTAAGGGGCGCCTACACTAAAATTTACTAAATCTCACACGTAAATTAAAAAAACATTCAATCTCTACTCAAAATTTCTCTAACTTCTCTCTAAAATGATTTTATCCAAGTCAGTCAAAATTCATTTTTTTTACGTGAATAATCATAAAAAACGAGTTCCGTTTTATTTAATATGTATTCAATTTCATTAAGCATTTTTAATTATTCAAATTCATATGAGTTCGATTTTTTTCCTCGAATTCCAACTTTATTTTAGTTTGAACATGTGAAGATTTTTGTCAAATTCGAATTTGGAATGCTAAGGATATTTTTAGTGTGTGATTTTGTGAAAAAATTAGGGAAAAAAAAGAAGCATGGGGAATGAGAAAAAAAGATTCTAGAGAGAGAAATATTATTAGTTATATGCATGATTTGGTAAAAATAGCGTGGGATTTAGCATTTCAGTTTAATTTAATCATTCATCAAATAAAATAGGCCCATCTTTTTGACGAATGGATTACAATGGCCCATGGGCCTGTAGTTGAGCGACTAGCGTACACATAATTACACCAATTACCCTTTCAGCAATTCATATATCGGTCACGAGTTCTGGGTGATCGATCGATCGTCTTTCCCGCCTCATTTTCTCTCCTCCGGATCTGAAACTAAAATTGCTTCTGAATCGCACACCATTGACGGATAAATTCGGCGCTACTGTAAGAAACCAGAACCTTCTTCGTCTCTATTATCTCATCTTCTAATATCTGTGTGCTGTGTGCATGTATCAATTATTTGCTTTCTCATTTTTCTGCATTTATCTTTGTTCTAACCCCCTGTTTGCTATACTTTAATTTGAAATTTCCCAACACAATCCGGACCTGAACATATTATTACAGCCCAAGTTGCTCAGAATTCATTTTTTTCTGGGGTTCAATTTTATTATCTGCCCAAAATTGGCTCGAACATGCCTTCTCACAAGTACCAGAATCATGTGTATTTACACTCATATTTGTACTGCGATAGGTTTTTATTTACATCTGTTTATGGAACATCGTTTTATTGTCCTGCAAACATCTAGGAGCCACCAGGAAGCTGATTTTCAGATTCCCGTCACTTGTACTTCAGATCCAGCAAATTCTGTTGATGCTGTGAAAATGGATATTGATGGACAGACTAATCTTCCAGAGGTGAGTAATACATGCAAAGCCCTAATCCCTCATAAAATATTCATTGTTTTTTTAAGCAATGTTTGCAAATCATGATTATTTGTTTCCCTCAATGGAAAGACTCGTATCTTAATTTTCTGAAAGCATTAAATTCAGTTAAGGGCATATGTGTGCTTTTACTTTATTTTTTTTTTCTTTCAAAATTTTGTATGGTCAGATCGGTAGCTCTTTTACCAGTTTATATACATAATTATGAAGCTGAATGTCTGATCGGGTCTTTTATAATTTACACATGATAGGGAAATATGAGTGAGTGTCGGAGTTTTAGTAGCAATTACAGATGCTGCAGTCAATCCAGGAAGATCTCTATAGGAGTTCTTATTGATTCTATGTCCAAGGCAGAAACAAAAAATGAAAAGGAATCAGTGAAACAAATTCCAGAAAATGGAACTTCTAGCAAAGGGAATTCCGTCAAAGATCGTGAAGGACATACTCCGCTTGTGGAAAAACATGTAACTGTTGTGCAGAAGGATAGCTCCCCTTGGGTTTCCACTAGATCTTTCAACCCAAAAATATCATCTTCAGTTGCAGCTCATGATACAGAACATACTCCAAGTTTTCCGGCCACCAGCAGGAAACGTCCAATATCAAAGCGATCAGAGAAAGCATCTGCAGCCCATTCTCTCAAGTCTTTTGCATGTAAGACCGGCTTAGTATCTGATAAGTGCAGGAACAAGAATTTTGGTAAAGCTACTTATTCATTTGAGGTTGGCAAGGTTAATAATCTAGAGCATGTAGAGAATCTTGGATTTTCAACTGAACCGGGAGTTCTATTAGAAAAGGAACCGGTAGAGGATAAAGATAGGAAAACCGAAACTGGGGGCCGTGAAACTTTGAGAATGAAGCTCTGGGAGGTCTTAGGAAATGTTTCTCCATCAGAAAGGCACTGTCCCAGCTCTCAGTCTGTCGAGTTGTATCCGGAGAGGGATAGAAAGCAAAGTCCTACTGAAAAGAGAAACCCAAACTCGGACACAATTGAAAGTGATTCTGAAAAGCATACTTTCAAGAGACCAGTGACTCGTTCTTTGACCCGGAAGAATTCTTCGACTAAAAAGCAACATAGCAAAATTGAAGCCACAAAAACTACCTGCCACAGAAAAGAGGGTTCAGAAAAGAGAATATTCTCATTTAGAGGAGAGGGGTCTGGCAGATTATATTCTAATTTGAATGATGGTTCGTTGCCTTCCAAGAGAAACAAGAGTGTGAGAGCAAGTTCTGAAGTCAAGACCTATCAGTGTCATCCGTTTGAAAATGCAGAGGAGAGACAGCAATCAGTAAAAAAAATCAGATCAATACCAGTTGTTGATAAAATTCCTATAAATGAAGTTCTCAATGCTAACAGTTCTAATGAAAGGAGAACTGATGTCTTTGTTGAGCCAAAAAGTGGTAGTAAGAATAGCAATCCTTATGTGTCTCCTGTTAATGTGATGACTGAGCAGCAGAAGGATGTTGAGCAGCCAATTGATGTTGAAATTTCAAATATGAAGAAGAATCAGCAACAGCGCATATCTGAGTCTTTGTTGAAGAACAAAAGGAATTCTATACACAATCCTTCAACTCCCCCTTTTGAGGTTACATCACATGTCTGTTTATCTAAAAGTAAGCAGAGAGAACTTCGAGATCAGAGTCCTGCAGAAAAAATATTTAACACAAAAGGCATACAAAGCTTCAAAAGTTTATTGAGTTCCAACTCAGCTGAACACAGGTCAAATGTTCAAGTGGAATCTTCCGTATCCTCGATATTTCAGTGACAAATAATTTAGACACTCTTCATAACATATGTTCTTACATGGTTATATACATTTTGCTCTTCCTTATTGAATTTTAAGGGAGGTAAATTTGAGATAAATGATAGTCTCCTTATGAAACCAAGCTTTATCGTGGAAGAAGATAGTGAAAGCCAGATGTTCAAATCGTCTACAGATGCAACGGATTCTGACAGCTCAGAAGATGATTCGGAGATGAAAGGTATTATATACACTTGAAGTAGTACGACACATAATTTATTTGTGCTCTATTTATTTACTTTATCATCTAGAGAAGCAAATCTGTATTATTGCGCACCTAAACAAGATATATGATTGTGCTTCAAATATTCATGATGCTGCTCTTACTAGCACTTCGATCAATTATGTAATCACTGACCTGACACCAGACTTAATTTGCTCATATATATGTTTTTGTGGTGAATATCAATCAAAACTCAAGGTTAGACTATGTACTGTTTCATATGAATGTCATACTAAATTAAAATGTTTGTATCAGTAGGTAGACATGATTGACTTGTATTAGGAATCAATTAAAATGTATGATTTCTTACACAATCAGATTTTTGAATGGGCTCAATCAAAATGGCATTTCTCTGCTACTATGAATCATGAATTATGATATGGTCTGATAGTGAAGAAAATACTTACAAACTTGATGTGAAGTGAAGATATTCATGTTTGCACAAACTTTCTGTTCATGCGACATACAAAGCGTATCTGTAAAAAATGGCACGTTGGTTATTTGAGATGCGCTAGGTTGTGAGGTGCAACATCACAGATTCTGGCAATCTTCTTTTACTTGAAACATGTTAATTTCATGCTGTGGATCTGCAGGTTGCATGGAATCAGGACAATTATCTCCTGAAATTTGTGTTGCTGAGAAAATTCTACTTGGTAGAGACAAAAGTCTAGGCAACAAAAAAGATGTCGAAGTAACTGGATGTGGTCCTCTGTCAGAGTCGTTAGCAGGTCAATCATTTCTATGACAAAAACTTTTACTCCTTCCTATAGTAGTTTTCCTTCTTGAAATTATGCTGTTTCTTCTTCGACTCTTCTTCGACTGGTTTAATTTTCTTTCTGCCTTTGTACAATTTAACAGAAACCCAGGTCAGTAGCCAGCTTCAAATGTACTTGAAGCAGAATCATGAGGATGGCTTGGCCAGGTACTGTTGAATCCGTTGAGTAGAAACAATAATTTAGGAATTCGAAATTTCACCAAGCATTTTATTTTTGTATTCACTTGCTTTCTCAAAATTTTCAGAGCTGTAGCACTATTTGCTATAGCTTTAGATTGTGTGAAGAACAAACTGAAGTCAATTAGTAGCAAAAGATCGGCTGAAATTTTGCGGGATGCTGGTGAGGAAATATTTTTGCTATTGCAGAATGCTGAATCTCATATCAAAACGGATTTGTAAGTATTTAAATAATGATGGATTACGTATCCGAGAGATATTCCTTTTGACCGTGATACTTGAAAATTTCAGGCGAAAGTTGACCAATCTTAGTCAAGTAAAAAGGAAACAGCTGGAAACTAGACTTCAAGGTGTGTGTTCCTAGAAACTTAGCTTGATAACATGACAGTAATAATCTTTTTTTGGCCAATCTATAATATTTTAGACGTATCCTCATGAATGTATTCCTTTTGCAACTTGGCATCTCAACTACACATGTTTTGACTTTGCCCTTGTGAAATTGTTGTATTTTGCTAGCCAAATTTTGCACGACGCCTCACGTTGCCACATCACTGTAAAAGTTAAAAACAAATGTAACTTATCTCTTTATCTATTACCTGTTTACAGAACTTCAATATAATTAATAGTTATTTGTATTTAATCTAATTAACATTTTATGGAAAATAACAGTTATCTTGATAATTTAAGTTGAAGAACAAAATATATTTATTTACAATTGTCATAACTAAAATATATATTAACAGTGATTTTTTAAGTTTATTTTTAACTTCCTTATTGGATTATAAACTACTGTTTTTAATTTACTTTATAAATTTTAAATTGAAATAAATTATGGTTAGAAATGTTCTGTGGAAAACAAATATCAGTCTGCAACATAGTTCCATGAACATGTAGCTTTTTCTTCAATGCATTAGGAGGCTATTTACAGTACGTTCTCTTCATATTCATCTATGGAGATCTTGACTTTTTTAATAACTCTATGTTTTGGGTTGGTACTTGATGAACATGTGGTAATTTTGTTTCGGATTTCTAATGTTTTCAGAACAACAAGAGCAGTTGGCTGGAATACGTAGAAGATTTGCAGAAGAGGTCGACCGACACCTTAAGGACTATGATGGCGTGGTTGAAGATCTAGAAGAGCATGAGATCGAGGTTAAAAGATCTGTGGAGAGACAAAGTATGAAAAATCTAAACTCCTATTAAGTATCTTCTCTAATTTTAGTGATAACCTTTCTAAGTTAGTGTTATGCTTTTCAGCTTAGTTTTATGCTGTTAAGATCTTGAAGTTTGATCTTAAAAACACTGCCTGTTCCTTGTCGTAACTAAAACTGAAGGAGTCATAAAATATGATATTATTGTTTTAATTGCTGCATTTTCTGTTGAAGCATTACCCTTGAGTTGAATAAGAGAAAAGCTAGGAGAGATAGCCATTGCATATGTTAACCGTACTTGCATAGCTGCAATAAAGCTTAACACCGATAAATTCTGACCTATACTGATTCATGGTGGATATTCTCAGGATCAGCTCACAAAAATATTCTACTGCAAGTGGAGCAAGATGTTCAGTTTAAACTTGATGCAGCAGAAAACAGAGTCATGGCTATCCAGGAAGTGAGTTTCTTCTATTTAAATTTTGGAACACATCAAGTTTTTTGGTTCTATGATTCAGAAGCTGTGTATCTTCAATGATAAATCGTTTAACAAGCAGCATTAGAGTAAATTAAGTAATATGACACACGCACATTAGTTGATTCCCCCCATATCTGATACGAAAAGTTGGAAATCTGGAATTTTCTCTTAGTCGCTACACAAGAGAAGGAACCAACAGAAAAACAAAGAAGACAAATGATACTAGCAGGCTATCTTTTCTTTGCAGATTATTTATTCGTTAATCATGATTACTTATAAACCATGGGACTTTACCCCAAGATGAAGGGAAAAATAGTAACAGGGTGCCTTAGTTGAGAACTTTTTATTGTTTTGCAGTTGGCTAAGGAGAAGATGCTTCAACTGAAACTTGTGGTAGCTGAGTTCGTAAAACATGGTGCGCTTTGTTGACAATATTTTCACGGATGGTGCAACGTGTCCATATGTTTCCGTAACTTGTAAATGATGCCTTGAATTTCTCAATTATGATTAGAGAATGAGACTGCGACTCCCTAAGTGACTTTCAATATTCATTTGCTGAGAGCCAAATTTTTTGTGTATGCGCCGAGCGTCTTCATCATCAAATGTGTATGTTGATAGTGGATGATCTGCACTAGATACAATATTTTTTACAATTGGGCTGTCTTTACTGTAGTTAGGTGTGTTGTGGTGACTAAAGGATGTATCTCCAGATTATATCTAACATCTTCGGTATTGAGTTTCCTTGTGTGACTTATTGCCTCTTGCAGGCATCAGTAGTGATTTTTTTATTTTTTTATTTTTGAATTATACTTCAAAAGTATTCTGATTTTTTGTCGGAGAATAATTTTGGAATTTCTAAAATTTTCCACAAAACATATTTATAATATTAATATTGTCATTGATATTATGAATTTTATATTAGGTGGAAATCAACACAAAAGTCTTATCAAAATTATATTTTTAAATTCAAAGCATATTAAAAAAATTCAAACATGTTACATAATTATAATTCAATTTGTCCGATTATTTCAATTATTACTCAGTTAGGCTATAATCGTATTCAGGATGGGATTCTTCTAGAATAGACTCAGGTAAGTGGGTAATTTGGAAACTTGAGGACGTTGTCGGGAAGTGTCTGCGTCTGATACTAGTGTCATCGAAGAACAAGATTAAGACTTGCTGCTAAAATATACTTGGATCTGAAAGCAATGTAATGGAAACAGGTGTGTACTATTGCATCTGTTTAACGAAAATGGAAATGAAAGCAATGTAATTAATGCATTTACATCTCACGTAAGTTTCTACAATTTCACCCACAAGAAAATATACTCAGAATCATATATATTTATATATATTTATTCCTCTGTATCACTAAATTAAATTGAACTTGTTGACAAGATTTTGCCACTAGCTTCTTCAGCAAACTGATAATTCTCATAAACTTGGAGCAGAATCTCCCTACAGGGAACAACAGCCCTAAGCTTGATGCAAGCAAGGAAAGCACCTGAAAGCTTGCGGTGTAGGCTATAAGCCTCCTCGGGTGGCGGTGTGAGCCTATGCCTGAGCATTGTAGCACCAAGGTTTGATATGCTTTGAGTAATGTTGGTAGATCCAAAATCGTACCCTCCACGTTTTGAAAATGGTAGCCCCACAACAAAACCCGCCTGGACATGAGCCTCTAACATAATATCAGATTCCGTTCCTGTAAGAAATCCAAGTCTTCTTGACATCTCAATCACTGCTTCTCTGTCATTATTTGCACAAGCAAGCACCTGTCATTCAATAATGTCAGTCGCCAAGTCATTTGGAAGATTATTACTGAAAGCAAACTCCAATCAACAAATTTGACGAAACAGTGTCTACATCAAAAAGGAAGGATATTTTACAACTCAACTAAGAAATGAAGGTAATTGCAGGTATCCATAACACATACTCCCAAAAGAATGTTATTAAGCTTCCACAGTAATTAAATGTCCATGTAGTTGCTAAGGATGTATGAGATGATGTGACAATCTGCTAAGGAAGTCATTCACCATGTGAAAACTTCTTCAGATTAACCACCAGTTAGCAGATATTTGTAATGAAAACACATTAATATTTAATCTTGGCTCCTGCATCTAAAAGTAAATGGTTAGAAAATAGAATGTATCTTACCATTCTTATATAATCGTCTACAAAATGTTTTGGGTAGTCCCTAGCAGCTCCAAAGTCTATAAGATTGATCGATTTTTCCGCCTCATCATATAAAAAGTTACTCCAGTTCGGATCAGTCTGCTTGAGCAAGGAAAAAGGAAAAGTATAAACATAACATAAGAAATGAGAATAATAAGTGAAGTTCAAATACTTTATTAAACTAAAAAATGAAGTCAGGTTATAATGTCATATACTGCTATAGTTACAAAAAGATAGGGGGGGAAACAAATAGGTACAGTCATATCATTTACCCTGGAGATTAATAAATACTAATGCAACTATACAGCAGAAAAGCATAACTTAATGAAAAATACTTTATATTTTAACTGATGCATTCCAGAACTTTTAACAAAAAAACCGTATCATAAGACATCTGTGTAATATAGAGACCATGCCTGCATGAAACGGAAGACAAATAACTCCATCAAAGTAAGCTCCAGTAACTTTTTTCCAACATAATTGCGAGTCTCTTGACTCAATAATGCCACCTTATCAATTGGAATGCCTGCAATTAGTCATAATACATGATCAACTTATATAGAATGGAAAAAAAAAGGATCAATCCACACATATTACACTGTTGGGAACTACAATTTACTATAGGAGAAGCAAAAGTATTGAAACTGAATTATATCACAACTTCCTTTTCAACAAGATAAGTTTTTATTTATTCTAAATACAATCCGGAATTGATATATCACTAAACCAAAAAAAATATTTTAATTTGAATCGTACAAACATTTCCCCTGCATTTTCCTTCAAAATCAACAAATAAAATTTATTTTCAACTGTAGCATACTAAATCCAAGGTAGAAACACAGGGTAAGGGCATGGAGGGAAAAGAAAAAAATATTATCCCTTTTCTATTACAGCTAAATTATTTTTACTTATTATTCTAACATTATTGGAGGGAAAAGAAAAAAAAACAAGATATAGTGAGGCAAATACCAGGAACCAGTTCTGTAGATAGGACTCTTTTACTAGATATATTATCCACCACGAATGGAACATAAAAGCCCTTTGTATTAGTCAGGAGACTGCGAAACCTTTTCTGATTTTTGGCCTCCAATTCATAGTCACATTCACGAGAAAGTTCCTCTTTCGCAACCTGAGAAAGAAGTCAGGAAGGTGTCACAATCACACATGGCATCACAGATCTGGTGTATCTACATTTTCTGTAACTGTAAAAACATGGAATGAATTTTTACAGGCCAGATCGTAAAAGTTGCAGTCAGAAAGGTGCATAAAGTTTAAAGTTCGAGACAACTTCAGACCCACTAAGAAATAATTTATATCAGAATTTGAAGAAGCCAGAGGACAAAATATTTGAAATGAGATCAAAGCTTCCGACTCATGATTGATAATTGCTAAGCATACAACTGTGAAAGGCAAGTATTGTGAGGTTTATTCCAACTATCTTGGGACACAACTGTTGACAGAACTCTTGACGTTCTTTAGATTAATTACTTTCTAGACCTTCTACATGGTCTTACAATATTATTTATTGAAGCAACAATACTTCATAATAGTTCATGTAACCCCAATTTACAGCTGACAATATTTTGGAAATTGTCTTAGACTAGAAACCTATTATATTGGATATTTTTTGTTTATCTACGTTAGTCTGTATGTCTTATGGAAGAATTCTTTCTTTAGTAGTCTTTTCCCATCTCTATATCAGAGAGTGGGTTCATTCGATATTGTAACTCTGTAGCACAAATACAGGTTCCATCTGGAGACACATAAGACCACATGTTAATAGTAGATATCAGCACATACAACATGCACCCAATGCAAATAACATTCCTGCAAATTCAAGCATTGATTCCTCAACCAAAGCTGAATTACCTGTACTATTTCACTTAGTATACTTCCATAAGTGCATGCCACAAAGTAACTTAAGGTCTAGGATCAACAGACAAACCAAAACCATTATTTTAGTTTGCATTTCATATTATTATATATTTGCAACCAACATCTTTGTCGCCAAAAACTGGAAAGTCACATCTAGTGAACTTGCAACAGATCACAAATTCCAGCATTCTGGGTATCTAGTCATCACTCAATTAAAGTTTCCAATACCTTCTCTTTCTTTTTTCTCTTGTTTTCTCACAATAAATCTTTTTTGCCAATACCTTCTCTTTTATTCCAATACCTTCTTTCTTTTTTTAGCATTCTACAGAAAACTAAGAAACTGAGAGAATCTCCTGGCTAAAGATTTTACAACACAGGAACTTCGTCGGCATCAAAATGCAAATTTTAGTAGTGTAAGCCAAAGTAGATATTCAATGACATAAAAGTGGCAGTTCTATTTAAGCTGATTCAAGCATATCAGTTCCAGAAGCGTGATCGAGCCAACAGAAACAAGAAAGAGTTAAGCAAACCAAAAATCAAATCACGGAGACAAGTAAGGCTGCAACAAAGCAAACAACACCAATTATTGAAGGAAAAGAACAGACTCGAGCTTGTTAAACCAGGGTCCTCATAATGTTGCAGGCAGAACACAAATTTCAATACAAGAAGACACATGCTTACTCTTAATGAGGCCCAAGAATTATCTATTGTAATATGCATCAGAAATCTTCATAAAAGTAAGCAAAATACTGGAACGCAAAAACTCTACCTTCATTGCACTATCGAGGTACATTTTTTCTGGTAACAAGTTTGTATAAGTTAAAAGCAGTTTAACATTATCAATGTCACTTTCAATGCTATCTGCAACTCCTGGATACTGAATTTTGATTGCAACCTCCAAACCTTCCTTCGTGACAGCACGATGGACCTAAAGTTATTTTAGAAGAATCAGGATTCAGGAGATGAAACACAACAGCGGCAGATGAATAAGATCCAGTGAAACGTTTTGATGAATAATAAGATGCACAGATGAACAGATACGGATATATATTTTGCCTGAAAAGACAACGAGTTCAGATATGTGTGAAACACAAAGAAATGCCTCCGGTTTTGGTACTTACTATTGTAATCAAATAACACCATCATCTGTCATCTAAGTTGTGCTAAAACTGAGCTCGAGTACTTCTTATCAAACTATATACAGATCCATTGCACAATATTTCTTTCCAATTCACCCATGTTCAGATATAGCTAATTAACAGCAAAAATAGGGAAATATTGAATGAATTGATTGCACAAACTGAAATCACACAACGGGAATCAAATATAAGCATAAATTACATCGCTGAACTTCATTACCTGCCCTATACTTGCTGCAGCCATTGGCTCATAGTCAAAACTCGTCAAATTTGATGACCAGTTGGAACCCAATTCAGCATCCAAAACCTGATTGAGCTGATTCCTTGGCATCCGATCAGCACCCTGACGGACAATGTCTAAAGCTGCTAATATCTGAAATGGCATATGAGTTATTACGGTTAATCAGAAACCATAAAATTATAGTTTGTAAGGATATGGAAATGTTGGTTAAAAAAATTCGAAGATTGAATGTGGTCATGGAAGTTAGAACTTCTAAAAACAAAAAACATTGCCCTCATCTGCATGCCTATCATTTGCTCTTCTACAATGGTAATATGGTTGGCAATCTAATTAAATTTCATCATCAGAAAAAAAAATCTCACTCTCACAAGCCCATAAGAAAACCACAACGTAAAGATCTCATAACATATGAAATTTTGTCAAATGATCCATGCACATAAACCATCATCATTAAAATGTTGCCAGTTGCCACAACTAAATCAACCAGCGCATGAATAAAGCCTTTTTTTCTAATCTAGAACTTTAAACATCTTGCAACTCTATTCTACAAGTACGATTCACAAAATCTGATCATTCAACACTAGTTCTTTTTTCTAAAGTAGAACTATATCCCAGCATGACTTCTTGTTCGAACAAGCTTCTATATTTATTTGGTTACACTGTAAAACATCATTCTAGTAAAAATTTAAATGAATTCAAATCAAGTCAAGAAGGAGATCTGGCAAGTTGAGAGAACTGATGCACCATGTATGTGCAGCAAAGTATAGCCATAAACTGCCAGAACAATTATCTTCGAAAAATAATTGGGGCCATACTTTTATTATAAGAAATGAGACGGAGAATGTTCGGGCATGCATACAATTATATAACATGCAAGAACTCGTAATCTAAATGAATATGCAGTTACATACTGGAGCAGGTACGAGAGATTCATCCTGGATGCTCAACATTTGGCCTAATTTGAGAGCTGCTCCACGCATTCTGCATAATGCAAGAGCTAAACGTTCTGCATTTCTCTCAGACAAGTATGGGGAAAGGGCATGTTGGTTGTTTTCTGAGTTAGGCGTACCAAACAAGACCCTCTTTGTAGACTCCTGAAGTGTCCCCCAAGCAAGACCAGCTCCAAGTCCAGCAAACCTTCAATCATACTTGAAATAATAAAACTAAACTCATGCTAATATCATTTTCTCTTGAGATTCAACAGTTAGCTGTAGCTTATGAAGATGAAAGCGTAAGTTTGAGAATACAATGTACAATACTAAAACGTGAAAGAATTTATGGTCCCGAATTCGTATTATACAGAGATGTTATCTGAAATGTTGTAACACTTGAGACAACATGCAGCGGAAATATAAAGATAAAAAGACAATACTCAGAATTAAAAATGTTCACAAGTAAAGACTTGTGAACTTGCCCTTTACAGGACGGAAAAATATATTAAAATCAGTATTCCAAGAATACAAACAGAAGAGGTGCGAAAACTTCTTCCTTATGAATGAATCTTTTTCAAGATCATTCTTACAATCAAACCTAGATACTAAAAGAAAAATATTAAAAATTCTAGATTTCAAAGAATGTACTCATACGGAGTACGTAAAGAACTTATGAATGAATCACTATCTTGATCATTCTTACAACCAAGTCTAGAAACATATATACTAAACAATCTAGACTACAAAGAATGTACTTATGAGAAGTACGTAAATAATGTACTCATGAGGAGTACGTAAAGAATGTACTCATGAGGAGTACAAACGACCGATTCTAAAACCACTCTAAAACACTCATGTATTCTTTTCAGCTCTCGGTTTTTATTTCGTAGAATCGATAATCTTCCATGAGTATTGAAGTCGGTATTTATAGGCATTCCAAGCATCCACTCCTCAGCCCATGATCTGCAAGAAAACCAACTACAAGAGCACTCAAGAACATGGGTTAGTGGGTTAGTTGGGTAGTAAAATAATATTCACAATTTAACCCACTAAGCACTACTTAGCCCACTAAGCCATATACTTAACCCACTAAGCCCTATACTTAACCCACTAAGCACTACTTGTTCCATAACTAAAATTTAGTTAGAAAAATAAGAAAGTTAAAAACAATGTGGAAATAATCCACGTATTTCAAACTCCCCCTTTTTAACTTTCTGATCAAAACTAAATTTTAGCTTAACTCCCCCTGAATCATTGTTTGAACTCCCCCTGAATTTGACAACCAACATTAATATAAAAATTCAGAGGAAAAAATAAAAACAGAACAAAACCAAATATTGTTCATAAAAATATCAGCTGCTGCTCCTCCATCACTGAACAAAACAAAACAGAACAATATCCAAAGTCTCCTCAGTATCAGCTGCTGCTCTTCCATCACTAGCACTGGATCCACTGCTTTCCTCTGCTCCTTCTTCATTAACTCCTTGCTTTCTGCCTCTGGCATCCAAAAGATGAGAAGTCCCCTGCTTCAGCTTCATGACTAGCTTTTTCTCCCCCTTTTTGATCAGAAAGAGTTTTTCGAAGCATTTCCACCATGGACTGGTGATAGGTAATCTGAGCTAGAGAGTGAGTAAGCTGTTGTAACAAGAGATCTCTAGGAACAGAAACAAGAATGTCAGGGATGTTGTCAACATGAGGAGCAACACCTTCAGTACAAGGATTATTTTGACCTGATTCAGTTGAGAGAAAAATTATCTCCATTCCAGGGAAGATCTTGGACATGAGGAGCTTTGAGAAACTTTTGAGAAACAGTTATCATGCCAAGTGGAGTGTGAAGATATTATGATTCATCTTGACCCAAATTTTGAGAAAACAGAATGGAGTAGATGAGAGAAGGATACGAAAGATGAGTGGAGGATGAAATTTTCTGGGCAAGATGACCTAAATTATTAAAGAAAAGTTTGCCAAAATCAACTTGTAATCCCATCCCCAATTTGTACATGAGTACTGCATGAGGTTTAGTAACCACAGAGACATTTTTGGATGGAATCCAATTCATCACTGTGAGTCTGAACAAGACAGAATAAAATGCAGTGAGTTGAGAAACTTTGAATTTTCTGGGGTGAGCAGGCCAACATTTTAAACGATTGCCAGAAAGAGTCTTACAAACCTCAGTAAAATCACCATAATTATCCTCATCAATCACAGTAGGAGTTTGTAAATGAGAGCTGATAATTTTGGGCGAGAAAAAATGGAATTTCGCACAAAAACTTTGCCAAAGTTTGGAGTATTTTTTCTTTTTTTTTAAAACAAAGAGGTTTGTAAATTGGCATAAAATTCCTTCACAACAGAAGGATCATAAGGACAGGCAATCTCAACTAGACTAAGGATTTTTCTTTGATCAAGAAAATCAGTAATCCTATGTCTATCAAACTCATCCTTGGAAATTTTCTTCTCCTCAATGAATTGGCAATTCATGATTTGAGGACTCAAATTTGAATCAGATTCAAAATAAAAGTTTGTACTGAAAGCATTGTTTACCTCAATAAAAGAGTTGACAGATCCTTCCCATCCAAGTTTAGCTCTTCTTCCTCAGAAGATTCCTCTTCTTCTGAGTCTTCAAGTTCATCTGGGATGCATGCTGGCTCAGGTGATGCAACACGTGGGGCAGCATCTTCCTGCATCTGAGAGAATTCCTCAGACGAGTCACTGTTTGACTCTGAGGGTGGCAATTTTTTGCGAAATGAGACAAGGGGAACTTCCCAGCTATCATCACTTTTCTCTTCTTCTTCAGCCTGGGAAGGGGATGCATCCACTTGAACAGCTGCCTCTGCCAGAGTTTCCAGAGGATCTTCATTTGGAGCTGAGGGTGTAGGAAGTGAGGTTTCTTCTGTGGTGGCAAAGTCCTCGGCATCAACAGTGGTGATATCTACATGCTCAGCAAAGGACATCCCAGAAAGGTCTGGCATTTCTTCATCTTGATAAGGAGCAGCATCCTCAGCAACATTTTGAGAAGCATTGTCTGAGACAGTAGGTGCAGCAGCATTTTCAGGAACATGTGCAACAACATCTTCGGAAACAGGATGTTGATAGGGAGTTGCTGCCATGTTGGACTGAAATGTCTCCCCCTGAGTTGATGCTGGTGGAGGTGAGTCTTTGGAAGATGACTCAGTGGAGCTTGAGGAGAGAGCTTGGGCTTGGTTCTGCAAAAGTAGGATCTCATTCTTCACCATCAGTTTCTTCATCAACCAAATGAAGGCCTCTTGGTGGGTTTGGCCTAACTGGAGTGCGACCGACTCTGCTGCCTCTTCTTCTACCTCTGCCGCCTCTGCTGGGAGAATGTCTTCCCCTTCGGCGTTGTATTGTAATCCAGTAGCATTCAGATCTGGGAAGGGATTCATGCGCTTGGACCGGCGTGTTAGAAATCTTCCTGCATTGGAAGAGAGACCCACGTTCTGGAAGTTTTCTGGGTCAATCGGATTCAGCTTCAAGATTGACAGGATGAACGATGATGGCCAGACTTGGGTCTGCTGGTTCAGGTGCTGCAGCATCGTTGTGGACATCACCAACGGCGGCTGGAAGAGGATTTCTAGGAGGAGATGCCATGATACAGTAGATAAAAATTTCTTCTTGTGCTTTTGATTTTTGAGTGTGAATTTTCGAAAAAGAAGCACGAAATTTATAAGCCCTAATTTGCAGAAAAAACAAATTGAAGTGGAGAAAGTGAAGAAGTGGTGTGCGTTTTTCTTGGAGAAAGTGTGATTAAGGAGAATAAATGTTTATGTGGCAGTTTAAAACAAAACGTGACACATGGAACAATAAGGAGTGGACTTAGTGGAAGATAAAAGACTAACCCATGTACCCCATGACCCATATAAATAGTGATAATTCAATAATAAATAAAATAATAATAAAAATAGTAGCACTCACGAAATTTTCACAAAAATAAGAAACACATTTATTAATGATTAATAGTATGAGAAAAAAATTGGCTAACAGGCATAGATTTTATTATATATATATCTATTTTTTTTTTTTTTTTTTTTTTTTATTATTATTATTATTTTTTTTTAAACTCTTATTTTCAAGTCAAACAATTCACATGGAACATGATCAAGTGTTCAGTTTGAAGGTTCCTCAGTTACTAAGATATGACTATCGAAATAGAGGAGTTTGACTTATGTGAGTGGAATTATTTCCCAAATGTTTACATGAAGCATAATCACGTTTCAAGGTGAAAGACTTCCAGTTACTTATTTAGAAAAATAATTCATCACAGTGAAGTCATTATTTAAAGAAGCTAAGCTTCAGTAAATTATGTTGCAGCTTAAGATGTTTGATGCGGTGCTGCAACATATTTCAGGACATGTTTATTGGGTACACATCCCGAGAGTTTTTCTGAGTTTAGAAAACCTCTCATAATCTAATGCCTTTGTAAAGATGTCAGCTAGCTGATCTTCTGTAGGAATGTATTTTAAGCACACTATATTTTTCTCAACTATATCACGAATAAAATGATGTTTAATATCTATGTGTTTAGTTCGTGAGTGTTGAACAGGATTTTTTGAAATGTCAATAGCACTTGAATTATCACAATATATGGTCAGGGTATCACTGGTTAACCCATAATCCCCCAACATTTGTTTCATCCAAATTAGTTGACCACAACACCCTCCAGCAGCTACATATTCTGATTCAGCTGTTGAAAGAGATACACAGTTTTGCTTTCTACTAAACCAAGAAACTAGATTATTCCCCAGAAAGAAACATGCACCTGAGGTGCTTTTTCTGTCACTAATATCCCCAGCCCAATCAGAATCACTAAAGCCTATCAAGTTTGTATTTGTGTCTTTGAAAAACTGAATCCCTAAGTCTACTGTACCTGCAACATACCTAATAATCCTCTTCACAGCTTTAAGATGAGTGACCTTGGGATTAGCTTGATATCTGGCACACACACAAACACTAAACATAATGTCAGGCCTGCTTGCTGTTAGATACATAAGGCTTCCAATCATGCTTCTGTAGAGAGTGCTGTCGACATCTTCTGCAACATCATCCTTAGACAGTTTTTGGCTGGAACCCATTGGAGTTTTCATGTGCTTGGCTGATTCCAACTCAAACCTTTTGACCAGATTGAGAGCATACTTCTTCTGATTCACAAACATTCCTTCACCTGTCTGTTTGATTTGGAGTCCTAAGAAGTAATTCAACTCCCCTACCATACTCATTTCAAAAGTGTGAGACATAGAATCTACAAAAGACTGCAAAAGGTTAGCACAAGTAGAGCCAAAAACAATGTCATCAACATATATCTGAACAATAATGATATGATTATTAGTTCTTCTAACAAACAAGGTTCTGTCTGCCTCCCCTCTTTTGAACTGTATTTCAAGTAAGAAGTCAGTGAGTCTTTGATACCAAGCTCTAGGAGCTTGTTTAAGACCATACAGTGTCTTCTTAAGCTTGAAAACATGATTAGGTTTGGCAGAATCTTCAAAACCCTTTGGCTGTTCTACATATGCTTCTTCATTTAAAACTCCATTCAGAAATGCACTTTTGATATCCATCTGATACAGTTTGATTTTAAGAAAGCAGGCTATAGCAAGAAGTAATCTAATAGATTCAATTCTAGCTACTGGAGCAAAAGTCTCATCAAAGTCTATACCCTCAATTTGAGTGTATCCTTGTGCTACTAACCTAGCCTTGTTTCTAACAACTGTACCTTTTTCATCAGTTTTGTTTTTGAAGATCCACTTAGTTCCTATCACATTTACATGGCTTGGTCTGGGAACTAAGTACCAAACATCATTTCTGATGAATTGATTCAGTTCTTCATGCATTGCATTGATCCAGAATTCATCCTTCAGAGCTTCTGCAATATTCCTTGGTTCAACTGAAGACACAAAGCAAGTAGTTCCAGTTAGTGTACATTCAGAAGATAAATTTGCAAATCTTACCATATCTCTGTAATTCACTCTCTCTTTTCTTCTGGTCCTTATCCCATCAAAGATATCTCCTACAACTTGAGTCGATGGGTGATTTTTCTGGATTCTGCTTGATGGTTCCTTTCTGCAGACATCATGAGTTGGCTGCAATTCAGCTTCTGTGCTCTCTGTAGGAAGTATTGAGTCAGATGTGGTAACACTTGGCTCAACACCCTCTTCTCTTGATACTGGACTGTTTATATCTTGAGCATCTGTGGCAGTAGTGTCTCCTCCGGTTGTTTCTCCTTCAGCAATCAGGTCATCAACTCCATCTTCAGCTGTTTTACTGCGGAGATCAGCAAAATCATCAAATACCACATTTACAGATTCAATAATGGTTCGAGTTCTTAAGTTATATACTCTATAAGCATGACTGTTATTAGAGTATCCCATAAATAAACTCAAATCACTCTTGGAATCAAATTTAGCTAGATGATCTCTATCATTGAGGACATAGCAAACACATCCAAACACATGCATGTATTCTAGACCAGATTTTTCTCTTAAAAAATACATCAAAGTATATCTTGAAAAATCATCAACACACACAAATACATATTTTTTACCACCTAGGCTTTCTACCTCTATAGGACCCATAAGATCCATATGTACAAGTTCAAAACAAATGGTGGTACCAACGGGTTGTAAAACTTTGTGTGGTACTCTAGTTTGCTTTCCCTTCTGGCACATTCCACATATAGGGATGTCCTTGATCTTGAGATCTGGAATTCCTCTTATGGAATTGTACTTGTTGAGCAGCTTCAGATTTTTGAAGTTTGTGTGCCCTAGCTTCTGGTGCCACAGCTCTACTTCACTTACTCTTGAGCTCTTGCATGAGATGGTGTCACATGTTTGATAACAATTATCCATTGATCTGGAACCTGTCACTACACAATGATTTTGATTATTAAACACAGAACAACAGTATTTATCAAATTGAACACGTAGATAGTCATCACACAATAGACTAATACTGATGAGATTTGACCCCAATCCTTCAACATGTAAGACATTTGAAAGTTTTGGAAGTCCATCAATACTGAGTGTTCCACTTCCAAGCACTTTGCCTTTAGCTCCTTCTCCATAGGTTACACGTCCACCATTTAGTGTATGGTAGTTTGATAGAAACTCTTTAGTTCCGGCCATGTGCCTAGAACATCCTCTATCAAAGTACCATGAACCTGAAATGTTAGCATTTAAAGAAGTGTATACTGTTTTGCACATAAGTTTACCTTTGGGAGTCCATATTCTACACTCCTTTTTGGTAAATTCTACCTTTTTCTTGGAGGTGTTCCCTGGAGTGTTGTGACTCATCCTGTACAACATTTTGTCACTACTGAGTTTTTCACAAAATGGACGAATATGTCCTGGTGAGAAACAATAATGACAAATGTATCCCCTTATTCTGGACTCTGAAGTGGTGACTGTGAAATTCCTGGATTCCTTGCCATCTGAACTCTTCTCTTTGACAAAGACAACTTCTTTCTTCTTCATTGGCTTGTGTTTCTTCACTTGTTTCTTGAACCCTAGACCTTCCTTTTTGCTGTACTTTTCCAGTGACACAATCTCTTCGAGTTTAGTTGTGCCGGTATTCATCCTCTTGATTGCTAGAGTTGCTTCTTTGAGTTCATCTTTCACCTTTGCCAGTTCAAGATCCTTCTTGGTGATACCAACCTCCAAATGAATGATTGTTTCTTTGAGAGAAGGATTTTCCTTGTTGACTGCATCTAGAGCATGAGTCTTCTTCTCCAAGTCACTGAACAATTTCTTGTACAATTCTTCCTCATCACTAACTGCTTCATTATTGGATTCTGCTGCATTCAAAGAAATAGAGTTTAAACATGTATAATGATCAGTATTTAACTCAGAAATTTCAGTTACTAAAGGTGTTTCAGAAGGTGTTGCAGCATCCAGAGGAACTCCTTGTGATTCTGTTTCAGAAGTATTTCCAGTGATATATCTGACAGAGAGAGCTTGTTTAGTGGGTTGCTGCTCCTCTGTCTGTTCAGGTTTCTCTTCCTCCTCATCGCTGACAGCACAAATCAGACTCATTCCTCTTCTTCTCAAGGTATTTGCACATTCATTAGCATAATGTCCAAATCCTGAACATGCCCTGCATTTAATATGATCCAAGTTAGGTGGTTCAGGATTTGAACGAATAAATGAAGAATTTTTTAAAGTGTTTTGAGAAGATGTTTGAGGAAATGTTCTCTGTGGAATAGATCTGTTCCGAGGTTGAGTTTGACGATTTTGTGGAGAGCCATCTGGAAATAACTGTCGAGGTTTGATTCCACTTCGTCTGTATGCCGTATTGAATTTTTGAATCTGAAATGCCACATTGTTGAGACATTCATCTGCATCATCATCATATTCCGTAGAAACTTCTTCCTTTTCTAGTTCTGCCTGGAGTGCATTTGATAGATCGTCTGCTGTCCACCGTAATTCTGGTGTTGGAAATACATCCGCATATGTGATAGTTGGTGGCTTCCATCCAGTAAGAATAGATCTCCAGGCTTTCTCATCAATGGCTTTGATGTACGCCCCTTTCCAGTAGGTGTAGTTTGTGCCATCAAGTACAGGAGGTCGCATAGAAGCAGTCATCTGAGTATCCATCACGAATTCGTTTCTGAAAAAATAGGAACAAACACTTAGTATACGTCAAGTGTTGGCTCTTGATGCCAATTGAAAGAATTTATGGTCCCGAATTCGTATTATACAGAGATGTTATCTGAAATGTTGTAACACTTGAGACAACATGCAGCGGAAATATAAAGATAAAAAGACAATACTCAGAATTAAAAATGTTCACAAGTAAAGACTTGTGAACTTGCCCTTTACAGGACGGAAAAATATATTAAAATCAGTATTCCAAGAATACAAACAGAAGAGGTGCGAAAACTTCTTCCTTATGAATGAATCTTTTTCAAGATCATTCTTACAATCAAACCTAGATACTAAAAGAAAAATATTAAAAATTCTAGATTTCAAAGAATGTACTCATACGGAGTACGTAAAGAACTTATGAATGAATCACTATCTTGATCATTCTTACAACCAAGTCTAGAAACATATATACTAAACAATCTAGACTACAAAGAATGTACTTATGAGAAGTACGTAAATAATGTACTCATGAGGAGTACGTAAAGAATGTACTCATGAGGAGTACAAACGACCGATTCTAAAACCACTCTAAAACACTCATGTATTCTTTTCAGCTCTCGGTTTTTATTTCGTAGAATCGATAATCTTCCATGAGTATTGAAGTCGGTATTTATAGGCATTCCAAGCATCCACTCCTCAGCCCATGATCTGCAAGAAAACCAACTACAAGAGCACTCAAGAACATGGGTTAGTGGGTTAGTTGGGTAGTTAAAATAATATTCACAATTTAACCCACTAAGCACTACTTAGCCCACTAAGCCATATACTTAACCCACTAAGCCCTATACTTAACCCACTAAGCACTACTTGTTCCATAACTAAAATTTAGTTAGAAAAATAAGAAAGTTAAAAACAATGTGGAAATAATCCACGTATTTCAAAACGGAATCCAACCATTAAGTGAACTGCACTAGTGAAAACATAGGTCAGAACAACAGAAATGACGGGTTAAAATAGGTAATTGCTACAGTCCAAAAAGGCATCTACAGAAACTTCATTGAAAGATTGATATTCATCTGACAAATAAAATAGGCTTCGTATTTTGACATCACTCATTTTGTTTTCTTCAAACACTCGTAAAGCATAAATTCATTACATTGTACCCTACAACAACATATCAGATACTAAGTGAATAAGTTACAACAGCTATACTTCATTGAGACTATCATGAATCATATATTCTCACCCCGTTTACTGAAGTAATTAAGTGTACTTTTTGCAACAGAATTGCATAAACATGCCAGTTGATAATATACGCTAATAGCAGTGAGTGGAAGTATGGATTAACTTACCCCATGGCTCTGGAGAAAGGAGTAGAAGGGACTTTCCTTTCCCTAAGCCTCCTCTGCTTCAAGGGAGTGACAGCACCGTTCACTGCAGTAGTATTTGAGGTCGATGGAGCAGCAGACTGGAGACATACGTCCACGGAAGTTTCGGGAATGACAGCACCGTCAACTATAGTGGCATTCGAGGTCGAGAGAGCACCAGGTGGGGGATATACATCCACGGAAGTTTGGGAATCTGGATCCATGGAAGAACCAATATTTAGAAGCACAGTTGCATCTGCACCAGGCGTCGGTGGGGGATGAGAATTGGAAGCGGGAACATGATCCTTAAAGAAGATGACACTGTCGGTGACAGTATGTCTGTGAGCATTATCAATCTGACGGAGTTTTCCTTTGGTGAGACCGACAACATCGGAGACGGAGAGGACGGCGGCCTTGATTGCGGTTTCCAATGGAAAGGTGTTGGAGCGGCTGATGCCCTCCTTAGCCACCAGAGATAACCCATCCAACACTCTCACAATGTCCCTTAAAGATACCATCTAAAATAATAACTTGTATTGAGATCCAATTAAATTTTCTCATTAGAAATTCTCGAGCAAAAAAAAAAAAGAAAAAAAACACTAGTAATCACAGATCCAATTGCATTATGATCAATGTAGTCAAAATCGAGATCTAAATCTTAAAATCGTAAGATTTTAAGATTTTACACACTCAAAAGGAGTAAGATCGCACTAAAATCGCAAGTGCCTTAAAATCGTGTGAAATCGCGTTCAAAATCGTTAAAATCGTTAAAAACTCGATTTTAGTGCGATTTTGGCGATTTTGGTTTTTGACAAGAATTGGGCTGAAATTTTGGATTTTTGCCTCATAAATTCAGTTTCATAACTAAAAAAAATTTAGCCACTTACCAAATAATCCAGAATATATAAAGCCCAGCCCTAATTTTCCCTAAAATAACAATCTATCACCACGAGAAGAAAATACTTCTCTTCTGCTAAAAAAAACATCCAGCGGCCGTGAGTGTCTGTTTCAGTTATCACCTAACACAATTTACGTTAGACTATGTTTGATTAATGTTAAAACATGGTTTGCTAATGTTGGGATGTTTTATATTTGTTAGGACATATTTTATGTATATTATGACTTCTTTTATTTGTGTCACGGATGTTTTCTAAGTAGTAAGTACTAAGTATATTTATTTTGCAATACATGTAAAATCTTACGATTTTAAGATCCGATTTTACGTTTCTGATTTTACTACCCCTCTCCGATTTCACTTAAAATCCCGATTTTGACTACCTTGATTATGATATCAAAATAGGAGCCTGCTTTTATCTAGTTTGATTTTCTACTAGTTCACCAAGTGCATACATGAGAAGAGTCTAACAGCACATTTTCTCGATTAGGCCAAAAACAATTTGTGTGCTATCGTAAGTTAAATAGTTGAAAAAATCAGAATAAATCTAATCATACAAAATATTAGACACAAACCATTTCTAATACCACGATTTGATTGTGTTCGTGGGCAGTGACACATTTTGCGACAATTTTCTGTTTCTAGCATATGGTAATCTACAACGAGATTAAATCCCCAGAAATAGCAGACTACATGATACCGCCATTAAACCTGTAAGAAGCCCTATCTTAATCACTTAGCGGCAAAATCCTCAGATATAATTGAAACGGAGCAAAACTTATTCTCAATCACGTAAACCAAAATGAAAACATTAACCTAGAAGGAAGTGGAAATTGGGCAGCATTGCAAGCCCTAAAATTATTACTTTCTTAATGAAGAACTACTTTAGATTCAGCGAGGTTTTCACTATTAATTTCACAACAAAAAAATTGGAATTACAAAAGAAATGAAATTAGAGAAATTCGAAGAGGAGGAAACCGATGAAGAAGAGGAAACTAACCGGAGAGAATCGCCGGAAATGCTCACCTGCCACTGTATTGGAAAAGTGAGGGGGCATTTTTCGGTTAAATTGAAGTGCGAATTTGCAAATTACCCCCTAAACTTTAAGGGGTGTTCCGCAAGTTACCCTTGATACTAACTAGTTTTGCACTTTAACCCCTAAACTTTAAAGAAGCCAAATCAAACACCCCACGCAGAAATTAAGTATTTTTTGTCGTCAAAACAGCAGAATGAAATACCTTTTTGAGTGATGAAAGCTCGGATTTTGCTGTTGAGAACGATGACCGAAGGATAACGGGTTTAGGAATTAAGAATCGACATATAAAATGTTCAAAATTGAGAGCAAGCAAATATTTATGTGGGAAATTTGTAAACAACTCCTATTATTTAATACAATAGCAAAATAACCCCACAACAAAATTATCCCAAAAAAGACGGTGCTATGAATAATTATGATAGAGTTCAAGGATGTCCAAGCAATTACCTAATGAACATTGTGTTGGGCTAAATAACTAACACGCAATTGCATGTATCGCAGTAGTAAAAGTGGACTCGTGAGAGTCGGATGTCTATCCGACAGGGAATACTCAAATTACCTAATCCTAAGTACCGAATTCTATCAATTATAATTTTTATCCAGCCTACGCAAGGTTGTCAAATTTAATCAATTAAATAATTAAACTAATTATGAAAGCAAATAAACACGAAAGAATATCAATAAAAACGGATCTAGTATTTTATCTTCCCCTATACGATAATTCATCACCCAATTAAACCTCTATTATGCAAGTTACGATTCATGATTACTAACTCGAGACACTAAATTACTCATAACCCGTTGTCGCGTGTATTATGAGTATATTATTCATAAACGGTTCACTATATGTCTATGCAAACCAAATATGAATAAAGCATTATCTAACAAGTCTCGTAAACGGCTACCTAATGTGATATATGTATGTCTACGACACCACATGCAATTGATACACTCATCCGGTGAAAACTACTCGAAAGTTCTTCTATCCATGTTCTAATTACTAAAACGATATGTCGGTTCAATTCTAATAATAACACACAACAACATAAATTAACTAGATTAATGCACTAAATAAGACCAAATAGAAGAAATAATCATGGAATTAAACTTGCATAATATTAGAAAAATAGGTTCAAATCACCACATAGGGTTCTAATAAAATCATAGATTAAAAACTTAGCAACTCATGTTCTCTACGAAAAACATCATAAAAATATAAAAAGACATAGATTCAGAAAAAAGATAGATAAAAGAAGAATTATGATGAAGATTCGTCAGGTCTTCGTCTTCGATTCCCCGTTCTCTTGCTTCTCTTGTTCTAAACTTGTGTAAAAAAATCGATCATAATTGTGTGCTTGAATTGGTTTATATTGGGTGAGAAACTTGGAGAAGAAGGTAGTTTTCTTATGCAATTAGAATTCATTTACTGCGCCTCTACGTCTTCTCGGACGGCCGTCTGGATTTGCAGTTCAAATTCTAGACGGCCGTCTCAATTCCAGAGACTTTGTTCTCTCATGAAAATATTCGGACGGCCGTCTGGGCCTTTATTCTCATATTTTTGACTTCTTCACTTTTCGCCCTTATTTTTTCCTAAATTGCAGTTTTGACCATCTATTTATCCAATTCTTAAATTTGTACCTAAAACACAATAAATCAATACTTTAAGCACCAATTATCAATAAAATACACAAAAAACTCCAATTTAAAGATATGATTAATGTAAAAATATACACTCAACACATAGCGTACAATATCCATAAATAACTTGAATTTTACCAGTTTATACATTGTACTTACTTGATGAACAAAGCGTACTATATTCATGAACAACCCTCACTTTACCAGTTTATACATTGTACTTACTTGATGAACTAAGTGTACTATATGCATGAATAACCCGAACTTTACCAATTTAAACATGGTACTTACTTTTCCCCTGCATTTTCCTTCAAAATCAACAAATAAAATTTATTTTCAACTGTAACATACTAAATCCAAGGTAGAAACACAAGGTAAGGGCATGGATGCTATTATCCCTTCTCAATTACAGCTAAATTATTTTTACTTATTATTCTAATATTATTGGAGGAAAAGAAAAACAAGACATAGTGAAGTAAAAATACCAGGAACCAGTTCAATAGATAGGACTATTTTACTAGATATATTATCCACTACAAATGGAACATAAAAGCCCTTTGTATTAGTCAGGATACTGCGAAACCTTTTCTGATTTTTGGCCTCCAATTCATAGTCACATTCACGAGAAAGTTCCTCTTTCGCAACCTGAGAAGAAGTCAGGAAGGTGTCACAATCACACTAAGAAATAATTTATATCAGAATTTGAAGACATAATATTTGAAATGAGATCATGATTGATTGCTAAGCAACTGTGAAAGGCAAGTATTGTGAGGTTTATTCCAACTATCTTGGGACACAACTGTTGACAGAACTCTTGACGTTCTTTAGATTAATTGCTTTCTAGACCTACTACATGGTCTTACAATATTATTTATTGAAGCAACAGTACTTCATAACAGTTCATTTAACCTCAATTTATAGCTAACAATATTTTGAAAATTGTAATAGACTAGAAACCTATTCTATTGGGTAATTTTTGTTTATCTACGTTAGTAGATTTATGTATGGCTTATGGAAGAAGTCCTTCTTTAGTAGTAAAACTGTTTTTGGCTGCTGTTTAAATCCTAGTTTGTTTTCACTTTTTCCATTCTAACAATGAGTATTAGCACAAATACAAGTTCCATCTGGAGACACATAAAACCATATGTTAACAGTAGATATCAGCACATACAACATGCACCAAATGCAAATAAAAATACTGCAAATTCAAGCATTGATTCCTCAACCAAAGTTAAATTACCTGTACTGTTTCACTTGGTATACTTCCATAAGTGCATGTCACAAGGTAACTTAAGGTCTAGGATCAACAGACAAACCAAAACCATTATTTTAGTTTGCATTTCATATTATTATATATTTGCAACCAACATCTTTGTCGCCAAAAACTGGAATAACTTTCACATCTAGTGAACTTGCAGCAGATCACAAATTCCAGCATTGTGGGTATCTAGTCATGACTTAAGTGTCCTATACTTGCTGCAACCATTGGCTCATAGTCAAAACTCGTCAAATTTGATGACCAGTTGAAATCCAATTCAGCATCCAAAACCTGATTGAGCTGATTCCTTGGCATCCGATTTGCACCTTGGACAATGTCTAAAGCTGCTAATATCTAAAATGGCATATGAGTTATAGAAACCATAAAATTATAGTTTGTAAGGATCTGGAAATGTTGGTTAAAAAAATTCGAAGATTGAATGTGGTCATGGAGGTTAGAAATTCTAAAAACAAAAAACATTGCCCTCATTTGCATACCCATCATTTGCTCTATTTCAACGTAATATTGTTGACACTCTAATTAAATTTCATCATCAGAAAGAAAAAAAATCTCACTCTCACAAGCCCATACGAAAACCACAACTTAAAGATCTCATAACATATGAAATTTTGTCAAGTGATCCATGCACATAAACCATCACAATTAAAATGTTGCCAGTTGCAACTACTAAATCAACCAGCGCATGAATAAAGCCTTGTTTCTAATCTAGAACTTTAAACATCTTGCAACTCTATTTTACAAGTACGATTCACAAAATCTGATCATTCAACGCTTGTTATTTTTTCTAATGTAGAACTTTATCACAGCATGACTTCTTGTTCGAACAAACTTCTATATTTATTTGGTTACACTGTAAAACATCATTCTAGTAAAAATTTAAATGAAGCCAAGTCAAGTCAAGAAGGAGATTTGGCAAGTGGAAACAACTGATGCACCATGTATGTGCAGCAAAGTATAGCCATAAACTACCAAAATCCAAGTCCAGCAAACCTTCAATCACACTTCAAATAATAAAACATGCTAATATCATTTTTTCTTGAGATTCAACAGTTAGCTGTAGTTTATCGAAAATGAAAGCGTAAGTTTGAGAATACAATGTACAATACTAAAACGGAATCCAGCCATTAAGTGATTGCACTAGTGAAAACATAGGTCAGAACAACAGAAATGACGAGTTAAAAGAGGTAATTGCTACAGTCCAAAAAAACACCTACATAAACTACATTGAAAGATTGATATTCATCTGACAAATAAAATAGGCCTCGTAGTTTGACATCACTCATTTTGTTTTCTTCAATCAATCGTAAAACATAAATTCATTACTCGTAAAGGTCGAGAGAGCATCAGGCGGGGGATATACATCCATGGAAGTTTGGGAATCTGGATCCATGGAAGAACAAATATTTAGAAGCACAATTGCATCTGCACCAGGCGTCGGTGGGGGATGAGAATTGGGAGCGAGAACATGATCCGTAAAGAAGATGACAGTGTCGTTGCCAGTATCTCTGTGAACATTATCAATCTGACGGAGCTTTCCTTTGGTGAGTCCGGCAACGTCGACGACGGAGAGGACGGCGGCCTTGATTGCGGTTTCCAATGGAACGGTGTTGGAGCGGCTGATGCCCTCCTTAGCCACCAGAGATAACCCATCCAACACTTTCGCAATGTCCCTTAAAGATACCATCGATTTCTATGTCAAACTTATAGCTAACCCTGATTCATTGAAATTTCAATCGATCAGCCCCCAAAAAAATTCAAAATGGGATGGAACTCCGGAATACCCTACTCTGTTTGTATGAGTTAATCACGTAACGTGCCATTCTTTGTCCTCATACAATACAAACGGAACCAGCTTGTCTCTTGCCGCTGCGTTGGCAATGTTGTGCCCAAAACTTTCTAATATTCCAAACACAGATTATTACCAATACAAAGCAATGTTGTAAGCAGATCGAACCGGCCGGTCCGATCGGTTCAACCGCGACCCATAGCTGATCCGGTCCGGTTCAACACCCAAAACCATGAAAAATGAAAACCGGAGTCGATCTGCTCGAAACCGGAAAGGGCCCGGTCGAACCACTCAAAACCGGTGAAAAACTCGCGCAAAACCGGCAAAAACCCGGTCAAACCCGGTTTCAAAACAAAAGGCCAAAAACAAAAACTGAAATGCTAAATCCCGCATTAATTTTATCAAATCATGCACATAACTAAAAATATTTCTATCTCTAAAATCTTCTCTTCTTTTCGATTTTCGATTTTTCGATTTTATTTCTTTTTTTTTTCTTCTTTTCTTTCTTTCTGTAACTTTTTTTTCGTTTAAACAACAATATTGTTGCAATTGACAGTAATATTAACTGTATTACTGTTAAACACAGTAAAATTAATTAAACTACAGTTTAACACAGTAATATTGTTATATTAATCTCTAGCACAGTAATATTAACACAACAAAACTCATTATTATTGTGTAATAGAGTAATATTACTATGTTCCGTTCAACACATGTAAACATAATAAAAAACCAAAAGAATTAATATTACTGTGAGTGACAGTAATATTACTATATCAACAGTAATATTACGGTCAACCACAATAATATTACAATAATAGACATTAATATTATTACGTTACTCCGTGAATAACTCAAACAAACAAAAAATTCAAACAAAATAATAATATTGATGTGGTTGACAGCAATATTACTATAACAACAGTAATATTACCGTCAACCACAGTAATATTATTGTGTTTACAGTAATATTACAATAATAGACAGTAATATTATTACGTTAATTCGTGAATAACTCAAACAAAACAAAAAACCCAAAAAAATAATAATATTGATGTTGTTGACAGTAATATTATTGTGTTTACAGTTATTTTACTGTCAACGATAGTAATATAATTACGTTGACTTGTCAACAAATCAAAAAAATAAAAATAAAAAACAACAAAAAATAAAAAATAATAATATTACATTAATTTACTGTCAACGGCAGCACAATTACATAAATGTCTTGTCAACGGCAGTACAATTACGTTAATTAACTGTCATTACAATATAATTACGTTAATTTACTGTCAGTGGCAGCACAATTACGGTCAACGTTTAGCGGCGGACGTAAAAAAAACAAACAAAATAAAATAAATAAAATAAAAATAAACTAAAAAAAGTCAACGCCGGAGACCGCCGGAAACCGGCGAAAAAAATCCGGAAGAAAAAAAAAGAAAAAAAAAAAAAACAAAGTCAATGCCGGAAACCGGCAAAAAAATCCGAAAGAAAGAAAAAAAAATTGAAAAGTCAATGCCGTAATCCGGCGGCAAATTTGTTTTTTTTGAAAAAAAAAATTTGGGTCAAAATTGAATAATTTGTGAAATTTGGGGTCAAATTGAGATTAAATTGAGTTAATGATGAAATTGGAGCATATTAAAGTATGCTAAAAAAAATCAAAATTGAATTTTTGTGGTCAAAATTGGATTTTGTGGACAAAATTGATTAAATTGGGTTTACAATTAAGAATTTGATAAAAAGGGTTGTGGATAATATTGACATATGTATGAATGTTTCCTTTATTTATAATAAATATTAAAGGGATGAGCTTATTAGTGAAAGAGATATATCCCATAAACCTAGAATAATAAAAATATTTGGTTGGGGACTTATGCACAAAAACCCTATTATTTGTTATACTGCAGCTGTGACATATCTTAATTTATTATTTATGTTTAGAAAATCACTAATATAATTTATTATAATATTTGTGAGATATTTTAATTTATTATTTATGTTTAGAAAATTGTTATTTTATGCGGAAGTTTTAATTTTGTGAAAAATACATATTTAAAAAACAATCAACTCAAAATTATATATAAAAAATTAATTAAGTAAATAAATAAATAAAAAATCTGGGTCGAACTCGTTGAACCGATCCAACCGTGACTCGAATCCCTAGTCGGTTTCTGTCCGGTTCGGTTCCGACAACATTGATACAAAGTATCACAAACCTAATTTCATTCCTAAATTATTCGAGTATTGAGGGCTTCTTCTGTTATATACGGAAGATGTGATTAGATTTTTTTATTTATTAGTTAGTTAGTTAATATGTTTTTTAGGGAAAATTTGCTAGACACTCCCTATTTTGGACTTATAAAGGTAGAGATTTTAGTTGCTAGATGAATATATGTATAGGTCCTTTGACTCAAAAAAATAATATAAATAAAAGAAAATAATTAGTGTATTGACATAATCACTCTCAATTAATAAGAAAACAAATCTCATATATCTTCTCTCTCCAATCTCACGTTTCTCTCATCCTATATTTAATCTCTCATCTCTTTCTCTCCATCTGCATCTGATGTCTTTCTCCCTCTCTCGAGCTTCTCTGTTTTTTTTTTCTTTTTCTTTACTTTTTTTATGAAGAAATATTATAGAGAAGGAAAAAATAGAGATCTTTAGATTATGAGATGATTTGTTGGTGGAAGAATTAAAGAGGACAACAAAAATTCAGAAATTGAAAATCATAGCCAAAATTCACATTGTGTCTCCCGTATGTAGAACATTCCTATCGTTTTTGTTGTTAGCAATTTCCGTTTGCATGTTGGTTTAACTTCATTTGTTGTTTGAAGAATTGCGTTTGATGTTGAGATTCGATTCCTCTGTTTTACAATTTGCAAGGTATTTGTTGTATGCAAATTGTTCCATAAACAATTTTTTGGTTGATGTTTTTTTAACGATGTTGATATTTTTATTTTTTTTTAGTTTGTTGTTTGCATTCAGCGGAGTCATATGTAGTTTATTGCTTCCAATTCAATAATGCAAGTTTTGCTGAATGTTTTTCTTTAGTTTGTTGTTTGCATTTGGCGAAGTCATAGGTAATTTTTGTTTGCAATTCAATAATAGAAATTATGGATTTTGTTTTTTTAGTTTGTTATTTGTATTTGGCGAAATCATAGGTATTTTGTTGTTTGCAATTTAATAATATGAAATCTAATTTTCAGTTTGCTATTTGCAGTTCGAGGAGTTATAGGCGTCGTAGTTCCCGAATTATATGTTATGAATTAATTTATTTGTTTTAGTTAATATTTGAAAGATAGATATTTGGAAATTTGTTTTGATAAAGAGATTTTGGGGATTTGATTTTATTTGATTTAATGAAGTGTATTTTTGTCATAATAAATATTATTAATTTATTAAAACATAAAAGTTTGACTTGGATTTACACACATAAATTATAATATAGAGGGACCTATAGCAAATTGCCCCATGTTTTTATTCATTACATTAGATCTTCTATTAAATCTATTAAACTAGTATTTTTTTCTTAAATCTATTAAATTCTGATTTTTCATTTGATTTGTGATTTGGGCTAAATTGGCCAGACCCAAACTCCAAAAGCCCATTATCTCCCCATCTCTCTCCAGTCCAAGCCCACTAACCAACCCCCTCTCAATCTCCGGCCCAAGCCCACCAACCAGCTCCCTCTCTCACCGAACACGCCTAGATAAAAGAATAAGCATAAATGAATGAAGGGGGACAAAAAAGCTCAGATATTATTTCTTGAGCCAACGAGAAAAAAAAGCTTGTTTCTCTCCATATGCAAAATTTACACACATACTACAGAGAAATAAACACACACATCAGAAATTACACACACATATACTCAGGAGAATGTACATACAAATATGGCTTAATTTTACTTTGCACCCTCAAAATACAATAAATCATTCATTTTCACCCTCTATTGAATAATAAAGGCATTTTTTTTTTGGTAAATTGTTATTTTCTTCAATCTCCAATCTAATTTCGTGAGCAAGAGTGCGAAAAAAATAAAAATCACACCAAATTATTAAAAAAATATATATTTTCTTACAAATTAAAATAAAATTAACTTTTATCACTAAAATATTCTATTGATGGATCTTTAATTGTAACTGGTGAAAATATTAGGTAAAAAAATTTGGAATAAAATATAATTTTCAGATAACTTGATAACGAAATAGCTTAAGGATTTTTTTTTATAAGAAATATAATTCTTAAATTTGTTGATGGAATAGTATTTTTATCCTTGCACTTTATAATTTCGAAATGATTCATGGATAAAAAAAAAATTTGATTAGGAGTGCATTATGCATGATTTATTGTGTTTCGAAAGTGCAAAGTGCTAATCAATTTATTTAGAGGGTGCAAAGTGCCAAAATGGTATAATTCAATGGAGCAAGGTGGAATTAAGCCTACAAATACACACAAGATATGTCCAAAATGGCCTCATCATTTTGTAACACTTCTAATTTAACAGAATTAAAAATAGTTTAATACAAAAAATGTGTGCTATATTATGATATTTTTTATTAACTAATTTTTGTCAACATCTCTTTTTGAATATTTATTTTTAATGTGGATAAATATTTATGTTTAGAAACTTACTTATTGGATATGCATGGTTCGTTGTAATACTAAATAAAATAAATTTAGTAATTCCAGAATACAGTACTTTTGAAATAAGTATATAAATATAAAAATAAAATTTCACGATCTTTTTATAACCTTTTTTCCCATTATTTATTTTTATTTTATTTTTTGAATGGTATTAAAAACTCATTTATAATATTTAAATGCATGTTTGGGATCAAATGAAAGATTTGTGGATTGCTCTTGTAGCATCGAGCCGAAACTTTCACAGCCCATTTGGATTTGGGCTTGAACGGATTTTAAAACCTTGGATCTTTTTTCTTGACAAAAAAACCTTCGATCTTTAACAACGCGCTCCACGGCGGCGTTCAACTCATCCTTTTTCCGACTGAAATCCAGTAAGCTTTTTTTCTCAATCAATTTCTCTTTACTCTCTTTTCAAGTATAATTGGTTTATGCACAATTACCCCAAAATATTCATTTTAAATCAGTCAAATTTTAGAAAAATAAAGGGATTTTATGCTATTGCAGACACACACAGAACATAAATTGAAAGTATGAAGGCCAAGAATTTTCGAAAAAGAAGTATAGAGGTCGAAGAGGAAGACGAAGACCATGAAATGAGGTGCTCTTCTTCCTCTATCCTTCAATTCTGTCTGTCTATCCCCTTGTGTGTGTGTGTGTGTATATATATGTTTGCTGATATAGCGCATTAAATTAGATTGACTTTGGCCTTGGAGGAGGTCAAATTCCTCCAGAGACAGAGAGGGAAAAAATCTGGGATATCCGCTTTACTATCACCTGCGCCACCTGCCTCTGCCGGGGGGAGCGCCACCGATGGCAGTGGTTTGATTCGTACCGTTAATGATAAGACTGAAGGTGATGCTGAGAAGGACGACCTGGTTTTGCAGGACACCTTTGCTCAAGAAACTGCTGTCATGGTCGAGGACCCCAATATGTATCTATCATATACTCCTTGTTTTTTGCTTTTCATGTTTTTGTCCAACTTAACATCTCAGTGTCTTGATATGCGTTATACAGATAGAATGCTTTGTTGTTTCAATATTTCTGACATAAGTATTGAGTCTAACTCTTTCTACTGTAAGCATTTGAGCTGATTTTATTGAATGAGTTCCATTTGTAGAGCATTTTGTGTTATATTTTGAAGTTTGTTCTGAAATATTAATTAAAAGACAGCAAGAAAATTCAAATTCCATGTCCCTTTTTGTTTTGGAAACAATTATTAGAGAAGCTTTAGTGACTTTAATATATATGAAAAGAACAATGTGTAGTATCAAGGAGATATATAGTTTTCAGTTAAAAATGCTAAACTGTATAGTTTCTTGTGAATTAGCCCGTCTTTAATTTTTTCTCAATTTTGATGGGCAGGTTGAGATATGTAGAACAAGAACTGGCTAGGAAAAGGGGCAAGAATGTTGATGTAGAAAATCAAGTCGAGAACGATATTAAGCGTGCAGCGGATGAGTTGTACAAAATTCCAGAGCATCTGAAAGTGAGTGACTCACATTTTTGTGTGTTCTATTACCGTGTTTTTGCTTTTCTTTATATCTTTAGCACATTTGCATCACTATATATACATACACCCGCAACTGCAGCAAGAGAATGTTGAAGATGATAATAATATTCTAGTTACATGGCTAGTCTTTATTATCGAGTACATTAATCGGAAATTGTCTCTATAGATATAGCTGCACGCTTTTGCATCTCTGAAAAATTGCAGTCATGGTAAAATCTTGGACTATATAATCATCAGGAACTCCCAAGCATACGGATTTTCTATAGTATAAACCGAAATAGAAAATGGAAGGCTTGTTATTCAACAGCATAACATAACTTGTATGTTTGTATCAACCAATCCCAGTAACTATCTAGACCTATTCGAATTTATAATAACTAAATGAAATAGATTACCGAAAGAGATTTCGAATGCTAACCATATAATTTCGATATTTATAGTGGGTTGTGACTCAATAGAAGGTATCTATACAAGCAATTCGACCATTTCTTTTTGGAATCAATGATAAGAGACTTGAAGTGATTAAGTTCGATTGTTTTTTTTTTTTTTTTTTTGGAATCAAGTCTAAACTCAACTCATTGATCATGGACTTCTTGTTCTTGACTTGAGGATCATTTAGCAGTTTGTCCAGTCTATCGTCGGTGTCCTGCTTTTATGTCGTTTCTGGGGTTAGCTTGAGAATGCAGTACAAAAAAGTAGGAAAGCTCTAGGTGGCTGGGTGGTGTCCAAGGAGCTTTTGAGAGCAGAGAGTTGACATGGTAGAGCGGAGATTGGGCTAATTTGGATAAGTGAGGTTAGATAGGTAGTGGTGATGGCTGGTTGTGAATTGGAAATAGCAGACTGATTATGTTTGTAAAGAATGGTCATGTGAAGCATAGTCTGGTGGCAATAAACAAGTGCACGTAGTTACCAAAGGTAAAAGGACGATTGAAAGAGGTCAAATTTTTACCTAGTATGAAAGCGACCTTGCAATCTGAGTTGTTCTCGATCAAATTATATTACTTCTAATTATATTTCTTTGATTTGTAGTACTTCTACTGCTCTTTATTTGGCTCGTACTTTCTTCTGGCTCTGAGTTTGTAGTGGTCATTTTCATTTTTACGTTGACTTTAAGTTTTATATGCCATTTTGTTTCCCCTATTAAGGTTATGACGATCTCAAAATACTCATAAAGTAATGGTTAATCATTTAATCTTCCCTGCACCAGCTGCTGAAGGAATAATTACTTTAAGTGATGATGATTGTATTACAACCTCCCCTTTCTTATGTTTATCAGGTGAAGAGGCGAAGCTCAGATGAAAACTCCACTCAGTGGACTACAGGGATTGCAGAAATTCAGCTTCCCATAGAGTATGATAGTTTTATTGTGGCTACTCAATGTTTCTCAGTCACCACCTGGTGAATGTTGGGACAACTTCTTTCTCGTATGTCTTCGCTGCCCTTAGAAAAAAAAAGGGAGACAGCTGGAGATATATGAGCGCTAAATTTACCAACATATCAGAGAAACCTTCAAAAGACAGTGTGTTCCAAAACTTGATAATTTAGACACCTTTTCCTGAAAATGCCTGGCTTTCTGGTTTTCTGCAAGTTAATCAGAAAGTTAGACTCATTTTTGTCCTGGATTTTTGCTCCTAAAACGATATGTCAATCTTATTGGTTCCGAGAGAAGGTTTTTTTTTATTATTATTTTATATATATTTATCATTTTAGAAGTGCTCCGAGATATTTAATTACGGAAAGAAAAATGTTGACCTTACGGTATTGTTTAGTGAAGTGGTTGTTGAAATGGAGTACTTGTTTATCATTATCACTGATCTGCAGATACAAACTAAGAAATATCGAGGAAACAGAGGCTGCGAAAAAGCTCTTGCAGGAGAAGAGGCTTGTGGGTCGTGCGATAGCAGAATCTAGCATTCCGTCTAGTTTTAGTGCAGACTTTTCTCAACGTGGAAAGGACCATGCTGAAAAACTTAGAAAAGGTGATTTTAATTTTCTTTACATCACTCACCATGCTAGGACAAATCCCAGAGCAGTTATATGAGTAATATTTACCCTTGTCTTTACTCACTATTAATTGGAAACTCTTTCTAAATTTGAATACGGTATATGATATTTTCTCGATGGTCTTCTCCTCCCATTTATGGTTGCTTGTGAGTAGATGAACAAGCATGCCTGGCTGGCATGAGCAATCAGAAGCCAAATGTGGCATTGGATTATGAATTACTTAAACAAACAGAGCCCAATTTGGCACTTGCTCTTGTGATTGACTGTTTGTTTTTGGCACGATCATATGTCAGATAATCCGCAGCAGCAGCAGCAGCAGCTTCAAAAGGACAAGGGTGCAAATGATAATGGTGTGGAATCTAGAAAGCCTGATTCAGTTGCAGATGGTGCAACACGGAGGCAAGCTGCCACTGATGAGATCATGCTCAACCGCTTCCGCAAACGAGAAAGACAGCGTCTCATACGCAGATAATGGAGAGAAACCTTCAAAACTAAACTACGGATTTATTCAATGTCATTGGTAACGTGAATTGTTGAGAAAAGTGTGTATGCAATTTTAATATAATGACCCATATCCGCGGCAACCACAAGTTGAATATCAGCAGCATGTTGTTGAAAACAATATTGGGGTTGTTTTTTTCCTTGTAATCAGTTTTGCCGTTTTAAGTTGTTCGACTAGGATAACACCCTTGTAATATTTTGAATTTAGTTCTTGGACGACGAACAATCAAATTATCACTATATTTATTCCTTTTTCTACTTCTTCTTCCAAGTGCAGGATTTCCTTATTAAGATTTATAAATAAAATTTGAAAAATAATAATTTTTTTTCCCTTTGTTTTTTTGGTTTTGGAAATTATTACTGTAAAATAGGTAAAAGTAGAAGAAAAAAGGAAGAGTTTTCAACGGGTCAAATTAATTGGAGCAATAACATATTTAAATAAAAAATTGAAGCAAAATTGTCAATATCACAACATGGGGGGCAAATAAAAAATGATTATTCCATTCCATGTAAATGCGTGCCGCAGTGCGCTACCAATAATTGATGGATATAAAAAATATTCTGAATTCAGCAATAGGCAAACCAGGAACAGGAACAGAAATGGCCGCAGCAAGTAGGAGGATCTGCTTTTTGTTAATCCTTGTACTTTTAGACCCCATCTTCACGTTTCAGCTCAAGGTAATTGATTGATTGCTTTGTTTTCATACTTTGATCTTCCGATATTCCAATTCATTCATTCATTCATTTTGGGGGCTTCTTATATATATATATATATATATATATATATATATATATATATATATATATATATATATATATATATATATATATATATATATATATGTGAATTATGATTATTGCCTCCAATCGGTGCCGACCACTAGCTAGGCCAGATTTGCTGCATTAGTAGAACCAGAACATACGTGCTTCTTCTGATCTCTCTCCTTCTCTACTACTTCTTCTTTAATAGTCATAAGTGAAACAAAGTATCAGTTACTTCAACTATTTCCGCTCTAGGCTGGAACATTCCTAAATTCTTTGTTGATATAAAAAAGTATTCACAATTACACCAAACCAAATCCCTCTACAGGTCATTGCAGGGAAACCTGATGTTCAGCTCAAACTTGACAATAAGATTCTTCAGGTACTTGTCCACAAACAGTTCAAAATATTTATTCTCATCATTTTATAGTCACATTGACTGCAAAATTCCATGCAGGAATCCCTCATTAAATTAATTAATGATAATCCTCAAGCTGGATGGAAAGCTTCTATGAACCTTCGATTTGCCAACTATTCTGTAAGTTTCTTGATTAAGATATCCTACAAAGATTTGGTAACATAAATAATGACATACAAACATATATTTTTTTTCTGGTAATAATTTGACCCCAGGTTGGCCAATTTATGCACCTTCTTGGAGTTAAAAAAATGCCCGAGGGTGATTTGAAGGGGATCCCGGTCGTTACTCACGAAAAAGGTCTGGACTTGCCAAAAAAATTTGATGCAAGAACAGCTTGGCCTCAATGTAGCACAATCGGAAAAATTCTTGGTCAGCTACTTATCTTTATTGATTTATGTTTCCATCAGAGACGTGCTAATGTTTTTTTTTTTATTCTTTTTGGGCCTTCTTTATCTAATTTGGGTTCATGGTACGTATCACGAATCAAAGATCAGGTAATTTTCTTCTCCTGTCTGACAACCATGCCTCATTTATTGTTACATGGTTATGCAGATTACCACCTGAATCACATTTGTATTTACTAGGGACATTGTGGTTCTTGTTGGGCTTTTGGTGCGGTTGAGGCTCTCTCCGACCGATTCTGTGTTCATTTTCAAATGGTTATTGATGAATCTCAAATTTCCATTCTTCTGTAATAAGTTAATAGCAATAATATCTAATTATGTATGTATTTATTTATTCTCTGTTTTGTAGAATATTTCTCTATCAGTCAATGATCTCTTAGCATGCTGCGGCTTTATGTGTGGTGAGGGTTGTGATGGAGGTTATCCTATATCAGCATGGCGATACTTTGTCCATACTGGTGTTGTGACTGAAGAGGTAGCGCTATCTGTTGGGAGAAACATGATTCTTATTGTTTAGAGATCACAAATTAATAACTGCATCTTATTTCTTATATGCATGCGATAAAGATGGGTATTCATTACGTAACATAGCATATGCCAAACATTTAATGAAGATTTTCTCTGGCAGTGCGATCCTTACTTTGATAATAGTGGATGCTCGCATCCTGGTTGTGAGCCTGCATATCCCACCCCTAAGTGCGAGAAGAGATGCAATAAACAAAACCTTCTCTGGAAGGACACAAAACACTTTGGTGTCAGTGCATATAGAATCAGTTCTGATCCATACAGTATAATGGCAGAAATTTTCACGAATGGACCAGTTGAGGTCTCTTTCACAGTCTATGAGGTAAAAGAAAGGAATATAAGATTAAAGTAAAGCATAAAATTATGATTCATGTTCTTCGGGATTTCATTGCAGCTTACTTTTTCTAAAAGGCACCTTATATATCTCAAAATTTCATTGTTATATTCCTGACAACAGCGTTGCTTGCTATGTTTTCTTTCATTCCAGGATTTTGCTCATTACAAGTCTGGAGTCTACAAACACGTAACAGGTGATGAGATGGGAGGTCATGCCGTTAAGCTTATAGGCTGGGGGACTAGTGATGATGGGGAAGACTATTGGGTAATTAATTACATAACACACACCTCTTTAAGATATTTAACGTTCAAAAAATTGTTGAAATAATTGCCTTTGGCTATCGTTCATGCAGCTTTTAGCAAATCAGTGGAATAAAAGCTGGGGTGATGTAAGTTCTCTGTTAAACTATGTATTTAAGAAGATATATATATATATATATATATCCTAATTTCTTGGTCTTTGCTTTTGAGTTGTATTATTGAATATGAAAAGTATTGATATAGAAATGATGGGATGACAGGATGGATACTTCATGATCAGAAGAGGAACAAATGAGTGTGGCATTGAAGAAGATGTTGTTGCAGGATTACCTTCTTCAAAAAATTTGATCGTTGGCCACCATGTGGATTTATCACATTATGCCTCAATTTAAGATCGGAACTGAAATGGGCATGCAAGAATGTGTGTTTTTTAGTTTGTCCTAAAACTAACAAGTTATCGGAACTGAAATGGGCATGCAAGAATGTGTGTTTTTTAGTTTGTCCTAAAAATAACATGTTTATGGAGGAACGGGTGTTTCATCAGTATTTGGTGCATGCGTATTCTTCTTTTTATTATTGAAATAATTCACGACTTCCGTTTTGTTTTCTTCTTCTCTCACTCTCTCTTTTTCGTTTTCCTGTTCTATGAAGTATGAATACTAGTAGTTGCTGTGATGTATGCATTATATGCATTGATTAGTCTGCCAAGTACAGGACCTGGACACAAAATAACAAACAGAGGATTACAATAGGCTTATAATACTGGATCAACAAACAAATATTCGAATTCTTTTTTGCCATTTAACATATTTCAGAAACCAAGGTTTCTTTAAACAAGCGATAAAGTTATGCACGATAATCTGAGCCTGCTCGCTCATTTCAGTGAAACTGTCCTTTCTTTATCATATCATCAAATCTGTGAGTGGTTTTATTTATCATATTACGATATTAGATACATATTGATCAAATTTAGGGCAAAAATAATACAGTTGATCTTATGAGTTCTTCCGCGTTGAAATAGCAGTCTATTTTTTTATTTTTTTTTGGATGAAGAGACGAATACGATGTGATTTTATGGAGAGAATAGTGACGAACAAAATTCGGCCCACCTGCAATTCATCCCCATGAAGCCCGCCCAACCCAGCAATTTAATTCCATGGGCTAGGCATCAGTTTTGCTCTTTTTTATTTTCCTTGTAATTTTCTTAAAATTCCTTCTTACTTTTGAATGAATAATGATAGCTCGCATAATCATCGAAAATATGGTTGACAAACTCATATAATTTATGGTTCGATTTATCAATTTCATTTTGAGTTTTCAACTTTCTGATTTGAATCTTAGCATCTAAATTTGTGACAAAATCAAATCAATATATTTTGTTATAAAATACACAAGACAAAATTGAATTGTTGAACTGTAAAATCTTAATATAAATTTAAATAATGTAAAGTAGAACCTTGATAAATTAATAATCTTCATTACATAATATTTTTTCTCGATTCTATTTGGTGAAAACGTATTAAATTATTAACCCGATAATTTAATAATTCGTAATTAATAGAATTTTCCTAGTATTTATAGAGGTACATGTATTTGGGATGAGAATTTTTGGAAAAAAGAAAAATGAAAAGGTACATGTATTTGGGATGAGAATTTTTGGAAAAAAGAAAAATGAAAAGAAAAATAAAAGAAAAAGAAAAGAAAGGTGAATTGAATTGAAAGGATATTCCCTATCGCTTAAGAAATGAGGGTTTGTGGAGGTGGCAGTTGCTGTGCGACAAGTAGATAGTATTGTAGTAATAGTAGCAGCGCACGGTTTTCACGTTGGTATGAAAAATAGCAGATGCTCATAGGATGGGATGGGACCAACAAGAAGAATAAGAGGAGGCGACCGATGCTGATTGCTGAACTTGGACGAAACCAAGTTAACAAACTTGATTTTTGTTTAAGGTATGTATGTATGTATGCCCAAATCATGTTACCAGATGAATTTCCCTCTGCCCTTGTTTTTATTATTCACAATCCAACTCTAAATTAGGCATATACAATCGTCAAATCTCGTCGGTCAATTGCCGGTGTTGTATATAAGTAAGAAAATTAAGGAGGAGGGTGGGTCAATCCTGAATTTGATTGATGGTAAGCAGCAGCACCATGATGTCGACTATACCAAAGGAACCAGAACAAGTAATCAAACAGAGAGATGGATCCGTGCTTGGTAAGAAGACCATTCTCAAGAGCGACCATTTTCCTGGCTGCCACAACAAACGCTTGGTTCCCCATGTTGACGGTGCCCCCAATTACCGCAAGGTTTCTTCTTCTTCCTTTTCTTCGTCTCTTTTGAAATTTTGCCTATTTATATTCTCTTTATCCCTCATTTCTCTAGGCAAACTCCCTGCCCGTTCATGGTGTTGCTATTCCAACTACTGATGGCATCCGAAATGTTCTCAAGCACATTGGGGCTCACATGAATGGGGAGCAAATTCGTGTTCTCTGGATCAACCTTCGCGAGGAACCGGTACTTCTTCACATTTAATCCTCCACTCGTAGCGGCACTCCATTTTTTTTGGATAGGCTGTTGTGGCTATTGTTAGAGTCATTTGGTTCCTTAATCTTTTCTAATATTACAACCTTTTCTACTCTCTCTAATATTGGCGCATAGGAGTTAGTAGGCTGGGGAGGAGATTTTAACCCTCAATTTTTATAATTATACATAATACATATCTTACGTAATATGCATGCAAACATACAGAAACGTAATTTGAACCGCACATCTGTACCTACCTATATAAACAAAGACGTGTTGGAAAGTTTTGGCTTCGTCTTTCCTTTCTTTTGATGTTACCAAATAATTAAAATCCTAAATTAGATAACAGATTATTGAGGGAAAAACACAGTTTTATGAATACAGAGATTACATTTGTCTATTTATGATGAAATCTTTATCAAGAGATAAAATGTTGATATTCCTCCATATATTTGAACAATCAGGGGAAATACTTTTATTCTTTTTGTATGTGATATTGTCACCATTCAACTTTAAGTATTTAAACATTTGAAAAAGCGTGTATTAGGTTTAAGTACTGAGTGTTAGGTTTTCAAGTATTTAATTACTTTTTTGAATTTGAAAGTATTGATTCACAAGGATTTAAGCTTTTTCTTGCTTTCTTCTGTTGTCTGTAACGGTATAGAAGGACCTGGTTTGGCGACAAATTGAGTAGCAGGAAGTTACTTTTTTCCTTTTCCATAGTCTCTCCTCTACGACTTTATCAACTTTCTGGTAATTAATATATAGCATGTTGCATAAGTTGAACGTTACGTTATTATGATATTTCATTTACAAATACGGCAGTTGTAAATTATTGCCATGAGGTAACAAGTTACAATGTCATTGGTGGAAGGAATCTAAAATTAAAACTTGAGTTGCGGAGGAGCCGGAACACAGTTATAGGATGAGTGATATTTATTTTGTTGTTTTGAGCTGTTTGATCGAATAATTTAATTTTTTGTTGAAGAGCGAGTGTGAAAATAGACTACTTAAAGATTTTGTTTCTAAGCATGAGAATGATGTCTTGGATAATTAATTCTCGCTTATTTATCAAGTTGGTTGCATCTTTTGCTTGCTAAAACTTGAATGTTAGCTGTGTTGTTGCGATGTTCATAAAAGACTTGCTGGAGATTTTCATTTTATTTATTATTTCCTGTGTAAATGAAACAGGTGGTGTACATTAACAGTCGGCCTTTTGTTTTGCGCGACGTGGAGCAGCCCTTTTCGAATCTTGAATATACGGTGTGTAATTCCTTGAAATTTGCCTTCGTCTCTTTACTTGAATATTATCTTCAGCAATGCAGGGTGGAGTGGCATTAGACTCCTTCTCTTCCTATATATGGATGGAAGTGTTAATGTATAATATTTCCTGAATTATTGGAATGGTTATTATATTTATAAAATAGGGATGTGGCTGTAAATTTTGATTCTTCTTTCCTTATTGTATTCCTGGTATACCATTTCCGTTCTTCCTCTCTCTTCTTAGCCATTCTTTCTCCGCCGGTTCATATTACTGCTTGTCAAGAGCTTCATAGTCTTTTACAAATATATCACCCGTGCTTTGAGTAGTCTTTTACAAATATATCACCCGTGCTTTGAGTTCTATGTAGGGAAAGATGTTCGTGAGACTAACTAGTAATTCATTCTTCACATACAACCAGCCATCTATTTTAAAAAAAAAAAGTTGGCCGCCCTGTACAATAACTTAACCCAAGGGAATTGAATCTATATGTTAGCTATGCGATCTCACGTTTTCACCATGTCATCCTTAAACTGCCATGAATAAATAAATTTCCACTTGCTGCCTCGTTCCAAGATGAGATCCTTAAGCTTAACTGGCTGTATTTTAAGTTTTGGATTTTGTCCTCTTCTGTGTTCATATAATTTGCTTCAAGTTTGGTTTGAAGTTTTCATAGTCAATCTCTTCATCAGTATTTGTTTTCAAATAAAAGTAGGGTATTAACAGGGTCAGGGTAGAGCAAATGGAAGATCGACTGAAAGAAGATATCCTCATAGAAGCGGCTAGGTCTGTATTCCTTTACTTATTGTAATTTAGATTTGTTAGTCATAATTAACTTTTTGTTCTTATGGTCACTGCTCATTCTGGTATAACGTCAATTTCACAACATCTGAATCAACAGATATGGAAATAAAATCCTTGTAACTGATGAACTACCAGATGGTCAGATGGTGGATCAGTGGGAACCAGTTTCACATGATTCCGTCAAAACACCTCTTGAGGTATGTACACTTGGTGAAAAAGTTGAAGAGATGTGAAGTAGTTCCTTATAATATTCTATATTCTCTCCAAGCTAGGTATACGAAGAATTGACGCATCACTACCTTGTTGACTACGAACGTGTTCCTGTAACGGATGAAAAGTCTCCTAAAGAGCAGGACTTCGATATTCTGGTTAGTCAACATTATTGCCCATAGAATCATCTATTACATATGCATGTGAGAAATTAGATCTTATTGTCTGATATCGATCATGGCACTTTCCCACAAAGTCATTTGTCTCAAACAGTGCTCAGAAGTCAGTACATGTAATTGAGCTTAAACCCACATGCAATTGCAACTGAAATCAAAAGTAAGATCAATTGCAAAAGGTGGATCAAAATGGTTATAAGCTTTTAACCTCATATTTGCAAGCTGGCATGTTTTCATTTTATGTGGTCATACAACTACTGCATGTGTCAAGTACAAATGTCGGACCTGTTTGTTTGGGACACATATCGATTCTACCATCTCATTACTCCCGATTCTACACTATTCATAGCAACTTGTTCGTGACAAAAATTAAATTTACTTGAGATCTGACCTAGTAGAGAGGCAAAAAGGAATTCAAGTCATACTTATTTCAAATTCATAATTTACAAGTATTCTGAATTCATGTCTTCACATATGTAATGTACAGAGATCATGAAAATTTCCACAGAGCTTGTCAAAATATGGCAAGTATCTTGGTCCTAATAACGGCAAGAGCCAAAATAAAGTTTGGCAAGTGGACTGTCACCGGAGGCAGTGGCTGATCCATCCTTAAGGAAGGGCGGACTCCAGCCCACTCTCAATCCAAAATTCACAGACTATATAATAGCCCATTTATTTATTTAGCACCCAATTCATATCATTAGCCTAATGCACCCGGAGTCCAAACTGAATTAGCCTGATATGCTTGTTACTTTTCTTTTCCTTTTTTTTTTTCTATGAATAATTCTAAAAAGAAGAAAAAGGGGGGGCACTGCCCCCGAACCACCATAAATATTTAGCCTACCCTGTTACCGTGTCCTGGTTCAACCACTAATTAGGTGTTCCAAGTTTTAAAACTTGCAACGGATGTAAGAAAAAGTGAATGGTAACTTTGCTGGATAAGATATAGCAAATAAGTATGAATTGACTAGAAAAGCCACATTTAAATTACTAGTGACAGCAGTGGTGTTTCTCAAGATCCAAAAAGTTGAAGATGATTCAAGAGAGTGAATGATACTTTTCTGGATAAGGTGCTACAAAATAATAACATCCCACACATGCATTTAGGAAAGATATGCCAACCCAACTATCACAATAAATAACATTTACCAAATACCATGACCATGTAGCAATTTCATTTTAAATTTAAAAATAAAATGGCTGTTAATAGTTCTTTCTTGTATATTTGGATTGCTTTAACAGCCATTGTTTCAGGGTTTACTGTTCTAAACTACAGATTTGAGAAATTTATATACCATGAATGCATTTTACACTGTTTGGATTTTGTCAATATGATACTGAAGTTGGTCTATTAACACATCTGGAAATTCAATGCTACACTTTTTCCTACATCCTTTACTTTTAGGTTCACAAAATATCTAAAGCTAACGTAAGGACAGAGATTATATTTAATTGCCAAATGGGGCGTGGAAGAACGACCACAGGGATGGTGATTGCGACACTGATTTATATTCATCGCATTGGAGCTTCAGGTGATGCATTGTGCACAATTTAGAATCTTATTTTTCTACATCATCTTTACTTGGCGAGAATAGTTGATGTTATAAATGGAGTCATTCACTTAGTTAATTATCTCCCTTCCATTAGTCTCCCTTGCATGTCCTGTTTCCTATTGGTAAGAGTCTATCTCGATGATTACAAGTAGGAAAGATTTGGTTATAAACTAGCAGGCAATGTGCACATTTTGACACCATTGTGGAAGATAATATTTCTCTAGTAATTACAAGACTAGAAGTACATGTCACTTGCTCGATGGAGCCAAATAAAATAACATGATACAACGTAGTCTAAATTTATAAATTACTGATTGCTGTAACTATATTTTGGATCTAATAACTTAAACTAGGGGGCAAATGAGTTGACCTGGTTTGTCAAGAGTTCGAGCTCAAACGCATTTTTAGTTGTTCATGGGCTCACAAGCCGCTTGTGAGCTTTTCATTTTTTTTAATTAATATATATTACTAATATCCATTAATAAAAAATATAAAAAATATATATAAAACTTAAAGTTAAGCTCGAAGAGCTTGTGGGCTTTTCATTTTATACTTTTAAATTGTTATTATCTATATAAATAATATATATTCATAAGAAGTATGACCTCGAGCTCGAGCTCTCGTGACATCCCTAGTTAAACACATCAATGTAATATCTGCAACTAAGTCAATTGTGTATAGGAGAGTAAAAAAATGTCACATAGGAAGGAATAGCACTAAAATGTTCATGGGGTTAAAAGTCTTTTATGAAGGTTTTGAATGTTATGGTTCCATCTATTTTTGCCAAATACCTTGTGGATCTTGAGAATAAGGTAGTTTTTGTATGTCCTATTTCTAGAATTAGATAAACTCCTCAGGATAAGCCATTATTTGTTCTTTGTCACAGGTCCTACAAATTTCACTGAGCTCCACTATCGAATTCCCCCACCCCCTGCTACTTCACTCCATCTCTACATTAATTACCAGCTCATGATAATGACTTTGACACCATCTAGCACACTTAGAACTTAACTGCTTACTGAGGGGCATGGGGCATGAAAATGCCACCGGCAGGCCCAATGGCATATTGTTTTAACCAACTTTAGGTAACCATGTTTGAATGGACAAAAGGATGTTGTGGATGTACATCAGTGGGAGTGGGATGAGTTGATTAAGTCTAACTATATCTTGTTGAGATTTGTGACACGGATGATGACAATAAAGATTAGAACCTGGAATGTGGTGAAAATAGTCTTGAGTTAATGGATGCAGGCATGTCATGAGCACAATTATGGATACAATATGTTCCTTTACATGGAAAACGATGAGTCATTTCCAAGAAAATAGCAATTTTTCGTCATTGAGTTATGGTATGTGAGGTATGATATAGTTGTGGGCCTGGGGTATTGGCTGCATGGGTAAGGCTTTGTACAATAAAGAGTTTGAGCAAATAGGTACTTGGGTACAAAGTTAATAAATTCCACTCAATTTCTGACTGAAATAGTTCTGATTCTAATAATTTGATAATACCATCAGCTTATTACTGCCAGTGTATAACTTATTTATGATTTATCCATGGAACACAAGTTCTAATTTGATTGATATCATGATATATTTTGTCTAAATTGTCTGTCAGTAAAAATCCTACTTTGAGCTGGGATTAGTAAATAAAGATACAAGGTGGAAATTAGACCTTTCAATATTCTGAAAAAAGACTTAAAACATTTTGTGGTTCAGAGATATAACAATGAAGATTGAGTTCTTGTGGGAGATGTGATTGATAATTTTCTGTTCAAGTTTGTCATTTATAGTAGGAGTTCCATTGTAGAGAGTGCTTCAATAATTTTCTCTCTTCTTATATCTTTTATCACAGTACAAGATGGAAGCAGTGTGTTCTGATATATTCATTTGTAGGTATTCCAAGAACCAGTTCTATGGGTAAAATTTCTGATTGCAGTTCTAGCATCACGTTCGATTTACCAAATTCAGAGGAATCTATACGCAGAGGAGAATATTCAGTCATTAGAAGTCTTATTCGAGTTTTGGAGGTACAGATAATAGCTTGTTCATACTTACATAGTTGGGCAAACTAAAGGATTTTTTTGGAACCTATTTTGACTAATGATGTGCCTTAAGGGTGGCGTTGAAGGCAAAAGACAGGTTGATAAAGTTATAGACAAATGTGCATCTATGCAGGTACTGTCTCAGTATTTTCCTTGTGATGTTGCGTTCAGTTATAACTGGAGCAAATATCTGAGATAATTTAATAATTCCTGGTACAATAGACGCTATCCTGAATTGTTAGTTTGGTGGTTTTTATTACAGAATCTACGTGAAGCTATTGCTTCTTATCGAAGTAGTATTCTGTGTCAAGCTGATGAAATGAAGAGGGAAGCATCTCTTTCCTTTTTTGTGGAGTACTTGGAGAGATATTATTTCCTTATTTGCTTTGCTGTATATCTCCACACGGAAAGAGATGCCCTTTATCCTGTATCTCCTGGTCAATGCAGTTTCACTGAGTGGATGAGAGCTAGGCCGGAGCTTTATAGTATACTGCGCAGGTAATGGCGAAGTTATAAGTTGACTTTCCTGGTAACTGCACCTCCTAAATATTCTGTTGTTAGAATTTGCTGTAGATATTATGTTGAGGAGATACTTATTCTTCTTTGTCAATGCAATAGCAGAAACCCAACTACGATTTTTCTAAGAGTCCAATATAAATCCTCGGGTTTTGTTTTCTAAATATGCATCAATTTTGTAGTGAAAGATAATTTATTTCAGTTGCCAAGACAGTAAAATCTATATCAGCAAGTCGCACATGAAACTTTGGTTGTGGTCAATTAATGTATCGAAGATCGCAAACAATTGACCAATCTCCCCATTTGTGGTTTGGGGTGTAGTGTATTAAGTTCCGCTAAAAAGATGTCAGGTTAAGAGTCTGTATCCACTGGTTGAAGGGGATGTTTAGGAATACAGATCAGCAAATACTTGCTAGAGGACGAGAATTAAAGTTGAATATCCTAAAGATCGAGAAAGTAGATTGGTTACTGGTAGTTGTGATACACTAACAGGGATAAGCGGATTAAAAACATTTACAATGAGCTTTCCTTTGGCAGAGCCTGTATTAGGATGTTATCAGAATTTTAAGTTATGTAGAGCTGAGATCGGAATTTTTGTACAGCTCATTTCAAGACCCTTATTGAGCTAAGGCAAGGTCCATCTTGCAATTAAAAGAAGTGTCACCATTGTGCATAATATGTTGATAATGGTATAGACAGAGATCCATAAAATATCAAAATCATGTGTCATCATCTCACATTTGCAGATTGCTGAGGAGAGATCCAATGGGAGCACTTGGTTATGCCAATCCTAAGCCATCTTTAGCTAACAGTGCTGGCTCTGCTGATAGGCGCCCTTTAGAGATGAGTCAAGTTGCTGCATTAAGGAATGGAGAGGTTCTTGGAAGTCAAACAGTTCTTAAAAGTGATCACTGTCCTGGTTGTCAACATCCTTGTTTACGAGAGAGAGTGGAGGGTGCTCCTAATTTTCGAGAAATTCCTGGATTTCCTGTTTATGGTGTTGCTAATCCAACTGTTGATGGAATTCGATCAGTCATTCAACGAATTGGAAGTTCAAAAGGTGGCCGTCCAGTTTTCTGGCACAATATGAGAGAAGAACCTGTTGTTTACATCAATGGAAAACCATTCGTACTTCGTGAAGTTGAAAGACCATACAAAAATATGCTGGAGTACACGGTACAGCATCATAATTTATGATTCCTCAACCAGGAAAAACTTGCTAAAATGTGAAATATTTTCTGGTCATGCACGTACTTCAAAATAAAATAACATGGCATATTGTTTTAACATGTATTTCAGTTCTGTTTAGTTTTTCAAGATCACTTGAGAGGATATATATAGACAAAATTGCTTGACAGTCTCATGCATTTTCTAAAATCCATCTATAGTTCAGTTTGAGCTCTCTCTCTCTCTCTCTCTCTCTCTCTCTCTCTCTCTCTCTCTCTCTCTCTCTCTCTCTCTCTCTCTCTCTCACACACACACACACACAAATACAAATACAAACACATAAATAGCTGAAGGAATAATACTTGTCATATAAAGATGTATGATTATGCATTGACTTAATATTTTTGAGTGACCTGCATTTGTTGTGCAGATGAAGTACCTAGTTATTGACAATGAATAGTGTTAGTTAGAACTCTCCTTCATCTTCCTTTGCAAGGAAGAATCTCTTGTACTCTGATGTTTATAGATAGTTGATCCCATTTGGCGTGCTACTTGCTCTATGTGCTATTGTGTGTTAGGCTTATCCCTCTCTTTCATCTTCCGAAGGATCTGATTTACTCTGAAGTGTATAGATATTGATCTCATTTGGGCGCGCTTGCTCTTTATGCCACTGCATTGGCATTTACTCTTGGCTTATTATTTACCTTAGGCGGTGATCTCTGAATTTGAATTGTAAAACATGGATGGATACCCTGATTACATTGTAATACCTTTTATTTCTATTTGTAATCTGTTCTAAGTTTGATTTGAAAATTCTTCTTTTGGAAAAACCATCTGATGCTGATATAACACTAAATACTTCTATTAATAGAAAAATAAGTTAGTCTTGCATCCTTTGTTCGCTTCTTTTAGTCTTGCATCCTTTGTTTCAATGTTTACTTTCTGTACTGTTTCCCTTTTATTACACAGAAAAATGACTTTTTATGATTTTGCATTTCTTAGGCATTCTACTAGTTGATTATTTCTTAAGAAACTGACGTCCTAGAATATCTGTGTCAAGGGGATTGATTGTGAAAGAGTTGAAAGAATGGAGGCTAGGCTGAAGGATGATATTTTACGAGAAGCTGAACGTTACCAAGGGGCTATAATGGTCATCCATGAAACTGATGATGGACAAATATCTGATGCTTGGGAACATGTGAGCTTGCATGCTGTTCAGACCCCACGGGAGGTATTTACTTGCTTCGAAGCTGATGGTTTCCCAATCAAATATGCCCGGGTTCCAATAACAGATGGAAAAGCTCCAAAAGGTTCTGACTTTGACACATTAGCTATGAATATTGTATCTGCTTCCAAGGACACAGCTTTCGTTTTCAACTGTCAGGTAATAATAGTTTCAAGTTTCCTCTCTCAACAATTTTCTTGAACTTTTTTGAATATATATAGAATCTACTTCTGCTGGCTTCCTTATGTTGTAAATTTTTGCAGATGGGGATCGGGAGGACAACAACAGGTACTGTTATTGCTTGCCTTCTGAAACTCCGTATCAATTATGGAAGGCCTATTAGAGTGGTAGTTGATGACCTATCACAGAAAAAGTTGGGCAGTCGCAGCGATGATAAAAGTGAAGAACAGATGTCTGCATCAATATCCATTCCTGAAAATATTATGACTGGGGAAGATTCAGGTCATTCATTTGGGATTAATGACATCCTATTGTTGTGGAAGATAACAAGATTGTTTGACAATGGGGTGGAATGTCGAGAAGCCTTGGATTCTATAATAGACCGATGTTCGGCCCTGCAGAATATACGTCAAGCTGTCTTGCAATACAGACAGCTGTTTAATCAGCAGCATGTGGAGCCTAGAGAAAGAAGAGTAGCGTTAAACCGCGGTGCTGAGTATTTGGAGCGTTACTTCCGTTTAATTGCTTTTGCAGCATATCTAGGTAGCAAAGCATTTGATGGGTTTTGCGGGCAAGGAGAGTCAAGAATGACTTTTAAGAGTTGGTTGCATCAGAGACCAGAGGTTCAAGCAATGAAATGGTCCATCAGATTAAGACCTGGGCGGTTCTTTACTGTCCCGGTAAAGCTTCTTTCTTCACACGGCCTCTAAGGTTGCATGTTTTCTTTATCTTTTGATTGATTGTATGTTAGATTTGTTAATACAGGAGGAATTGAGAGCACCACATGAATCTCAACATGGGGATGCAGTCATGGAGGCTATTGTGAAGGATCGTAATGGCTCAGTTTTGGGGAAAGGCTCTATTCTTAAGATGTATTTCTTTCCTGGTCAAAGGACTTCTAGCCACATTCCAATCCATGGTGCACCACATGTCTACAAGGTACCCAGAGATGTCACATTTATAGAATATTAGGAAGTGTGAGATTGGTAACAAATTCATCTTTTTTAACTATATATATCAAGTTTAGGTGATTGTCAAATATACATGTGACAATTTAACCTTCAATGCCAAGATGGCTCTGGATTGTTAGAAATTATTCATATTACCGAACAAATTATATTTCTCAATGAAGAATCTTAAGCCAGTAAAGTAAAGATGTGGATTGCTGATTTCTAATCTTGAGTATTTTTCAATCTCCTCAAACAATTGAACTATGTAATTAAATATTTTAGGCTGCACGAACCAATGAATAGATGAATTTGCCATGATGTTTTGATAGATGATCACTTTATCATATGGGAACTAGTTCATTACGTCGAGCTAATGTTTTGAAACTAAGCTTGTACTTCGGCTGCTAGTTTGTTTGTAACACTAAATGGAAGGATATCTCACTTTGAGATTTATGTTATCTAAGGTTGACGGATACCCTGTGTATAGCATGGCAACCCCAACAATTGTAGGTGCAGAAGAGATGTTAGCCTATTTAGGCGCCAAGCCCACGGCGGAAGGAAATGCTTCTAAGAAAGTAGTTGTAACAGATCTACGGGAAGAGGCTGTGGTTTATATCAACAACACTCCTTTTGTTCTTAGGGAACTTAATAAGCCTGTTGATACACTCAAGCACATTGGAATCACTGGTCCAGTGGTACGCCATTATTTTAAGATGTTGTTCACAAGATAAAACAGCTGATGAAATAAAACCCATTTCAACTCCCTCGTGTTATTCGTTTTACAGGTGGAGCACATGGAAGCACGTCTGAAAGAAGACATCATTTCTGAGATTAGAAATTCTGGTGGTAGAATGCTTTTACACCGTGAAGAATATAACCCTGCATTGAAACAGGCTAGCGTCATAGGTTACTGGGAGAATATTTTTGTAGACGATGTTAAGACTCCTGCAGAGGTATATGCAGCCCTAAAGCATGAAGGGTACAATATAGCATATCAGAGGACCCCATTAACTAGAGAGAGGGAAGCTCTAGCTTCAGATGTTGATTCGATCCAGTACTGTAAGGATGAGTAAGTATTCAATTCCAACATGTATTTGATCTGGTTTTTACTTCCTAATAATGTGTTCAAGTATAACTGGGTTCAGATGCCCATGACTGTATAAACCTGGACTACAGCTTACAAGATGTAGGCATATAGCATGGCATCACGGAGATAATTAAGCATATTTTTCACATAATAATTTTGAGATGATGCCATGCTATGACAGTAGTTGATGTTATGTCTTTGTCTCAAACAGTGATAGAATCATGCCTTGGAAAGTAAAGTTACTTGTATACTGAATAATCGTACCCTTACAATTTGACTGCATGGCACTATGGTATCAGCAATTTACTTCATAGTGAAGTCCAGAATTTTCATACTGCATATGCCAATTGATACATAGTATTTAAGATACTAAACTGCCTGTGTCATCCCTTCTTTCATCTGACATCATCCTGCCACGTGGACATCAAACTATCGGCTTACTTTCTTGTTTGTCGTGACAGGTCTGCAGGGTCTTATCTTTTTGTATCACACACAGGATTTGGAGGAGTTGCTTATGCTATGGCTATCATTTGTATAAGACTTGAAGCAGAGGCAGCATTAACATCAGGTGTTTCACGATTTATTGGAATTCCATGCTCATCTAATTCACGGGGAGAACTTTTTAATTCTGATGATGAAGCACGGAAAATGGGTGATTACAGGGACATCCTAAGCCTAATTAGAGTACTTGTCCATGGTCCTGAGAGCAAAGCAGGTGTTGACTCCGTTATAGATAGGTATGATCTTTTCCTGCACGTGTTCAAGTAAAATTATGAACTCATGCTTTGATCTGCATCAGAATTCAGAACTATAGAATTCTTTTAAAAATTGTATTCAGACAAAAGTGTACAAAAGAGTATAATAATTTTTTTTCCAAATAGCAGTAAGTAAGACCGATAAAATAAATCTAACTTGTGGTACAAGACCAGTACTTCCACTCAATACGTTTTCCCAAGTCTTCTTTATATTCTATAGATTGTTTTGGATTTACGTCTATAAGTATATCATGTGGGAACAGTTGTCCTTTCTATCAAACTTTTGTTGAGCATTTTGCAACCTAGGGTTAAATAATTCTTTACAAGCAATGTCATATATTTGAAGCATTTATTGATAAAGCATAAGACCATATGTATGCCCGTGAAATTACCAGTCGCATTTCAAGACTTAAAAAAATGGCTCCTAACATCATTTCAAATCACTGGGTATGATATTAAGAGTTGAGAGTCCCACTCAGCTAATTCTGAGCTAACTGCATTTGCTTGACCGTGATAAGTTGAAAGAATTAGAAATTACACGAGCTTGCAGCCCTATATTTACCATTGTCTTTTTTTTCGTAAATGTATCTCTAGTCTTCAAGTTGTTCATCCTCTCTTGTAAAGGTGTGCTGGGGCTGGACATTTGAGAGATGACATTCTTTACTACAACAAGGAATTTGAAAAGCTTTCAAATGATAGTGATGAATATCGAGCATATCTTGTCGATATGGGTATTAAAGCTTTGAGGTTGGTTTTCATGTTCCACAATAGTTGGTTATATATGTAACATGAAGAATTGTACCATTAATTCGTCTCACATTGTTGTTAACTTGTGTGCAGGAGATACTTCTTCCTGATTGCATTTAGATCCTATCTCTACAGTACTTCAGCAACTGAGATCAGATTCACCAGTTGGATGGATGCAAGGCCTGAACTCGCCCATCTTTGTAACAATCTTAGAATCGATCGATAGATCACACTTAAATAAAACAACGTACAACCAAATAATGTACATATCTCAATTTTTTCAGTGGGAATTTCATAAATGAACGATGTACATCTATACTACATATCAAATGTCTGAGGCTGACCTGGTATGGTGTATTGGCGTGATTTGGAGATTCTGTGATAAAAAAATCTAACTTGGTGAGATTTGATCATGATATTTGTTTTGAGTATATCCAAAATTGAAATGACAACGTTCCAAAATCATTGTATATGGATAGAAACAATTGGTATAGAGGGTGATTATTCTTGAATAGTTGTGATGATTACAAAAGGTCGTATACATTATATACATAGCACACGTTTCACGGAAAAAAAAATGTAAATAAAATATAATGCTTGTAGCACTCAAATTAAAATATTAAATAATTTTTTGGAGTTAATAGTATTTCGCCACCTGGACTTTGCCGTTTTTGCACTTTGCCACCGTAAGTAAAAAAAGTTGCAAGGGCACACCCAAGTTCATTTTTTTGACACACATAACCGCATAAGGAGAATATTCCGGCGAATCTTCTCATTTTCTGGCACACGTTGTTAAGTGTGTATTTTTACACTTTATCGTATCTTTTTATTTGAGCTTTTGGTGTGTTTTAACGATAATTGGTGCTTAAAAAGTTGATTTATTGTATTTTAGGTATAAATTGAAGAATTGGAAAAGTATGGGGTCAAAACTGCAATTTTGGAAAAAATATGGGTCAAAAGTGAAAAAGTCAAAATTCTGAAGATTTAAAGCTTGGACCCGTCCGAGTTTTAGTTCAAATTGTGGGACCCCCGTCCGAGACTCCGAAGTTGCGCAGTAAAGGAATTTTAATTGCACAAGGAAACTGCCTTCTTCCCCAAGTTCTTCGCCCTATATAAGACCAACCCAAACACACAATTGGGGATCTTTTTTTTTACACAATTTGGAGAGCAACAAAGCAATAACGAAGACGAAGAATTCGAAGACTCTAAGCATAGATTTATCGTTTATGACTTATTTTATTTGTGTTTTTCCTTTAATCATGAGTAGCTAAATTACTTATTTCTAGGATTTTATTTGGAACCCTATGTGGGATTTATGAACCTCTTTCTATGATTTTATGCAAGTTTTAATTCCGGATTATTTCTTCTACTTGTTTTATTAAGTTCATGAACCTGACCACTTTATGCGCTTTTATGTTATTGTTAATCGCATGAATCGGAAGATCGGGTTAATAATTAGAACTGTGGTAGATGAGCCTCACATGTGGTATTAACATAGGAATATAGTTAATCTCTTAGGTAGCCATTATTGAGATTTGTGCTTAATGTTGTGTTCTAGAATTAATTGCATAGGAATATAGTAATTGAATCTAGAGTATTAGAATCGTAATACACGCGAAAGCGGGTTATGATTATTTTAGCATCTCAGGTTAATAATCCGGGTTAATTGCTTGCATAATTGAAGGAATTGGGGGAGTAATAATCACATAGGGGGGAAAAATAAAATCCTAGGCTTGCTATCTTGATTGAATCTTCGTTTTAAATTGTTTTCTTGTTTTTGCTTGCTTTTAATTTAGTTAATTCTCTCTAAAATTCGACTGTGTAGGGTGGACTTGATAATAATTGGTAGAATTTAGCGTCTAGGATTAGATAATTAAATATTCCCTGTGGGTTCAATATCCGGACTTTTAGTCCACTATATTACTTGTACGATACGTGCACTTGCGTGTAGGTTTTCGGCCAACAAGTTTTTGGCGCCGTTGCCGGGAAATATTTTAATTATTTATTTTATTCTAGCTCTAGATTTGAACAATTTTCACGATTCACCCATTTAATTTTCGTTTTATTTTATTTTTGTTTTAGGTACTTTGTATGCGCAGGAGACTCGATCTTGCCAGAGAACCGTTTGATCCCGAAATCGAACGTACTTTTCGAGCCGTTAGAAGACTTCAACGCGCAAACAATATAATGGAGGACGAAGAACGCAGGGCAGCGGGAAATTTACTCAATGCCAACGGAAACCAAATCCAAGACCCACCCCCTCAACTCCCATTACAGCCAGCAGCTAGGCCACGGGCACTTCAAGACTACATAATCCCGACTCATGACGGATTCCGCCCGAGCATCCAATATCCACCCATTGAGGCGCACAATTTTGGATCAAGCAAGGCCTATTGACGATGCTCCAAAATAACGGGCTATTTAGTGGATTGGCGGGTGAAGATCCCCATCTTCACATTGTCAATTTTCTAGATACCTGTAATTCCCACCGTCAAAACGGCGTTTCCCAAGAGGCGCTTCAATTAATTCTCTTCAAGCACTCCTTACAAGGAAGAGCTCACTAGTGGTTGATGTCCCAAGCCCCTCACTCTATCTCGTCGTGGCCTCAACTCCTCAACCTTTTCATGAAAGTTTATAGCTCACCCGAGAAGGACGAGAGAATCCGACGAGAAATTCATAATTTCGTCCAAGAGCAAGGCGAGCAATTGTACGAGGCGTGGGAGAGATTTAAGACCCTTTTGAGGCAATGTCCAACACATGGAGTCGAACAATGGCGGCAAATCCACATCTTCTACCAATAGATCAACGAGAATGCACGAACCGTTTTAGATGCCTCAACCGGAGGTAATTTTATGAGTCAATCGATACAGGATGCATTTATCATGTTGGATCAAATTGCACAAAATCGGTTTGCCAAGTCAAGCGAAATGACGGTTAGTGGAGCCAAGAAAATTCCCGGAGTGTTGGAGTTAGAAGCAATTACGGCCCTTCAAGCTCAAGTGACCCAAATTGCTCAACAAAATCAACTCCTTCTACAGCACATCAAAGCAAGTCCACCACAATAAGTTCAAGCCGTTGATTCTCCATGTTGTGAAATTTGCGGTGGAAATCATTACACGCTCCAATGCCAACAAGATGTGGAATCGCTCAACTACGTCAACAATGCGCCTCGCCAATTCCAAAATCAAGGGTGGAGATCACAAGGGCAATATGGAGGAAATCAACAAAGCCAAGGATATCAAAGACCTCAAGATCAATTCCAAAATCAAGCCCCTCCTCAACAAAGCTTTCAGGCAACAATCCATACTTGGCCAAGACACAACACTAGCGACGAAAAATTGCGACAAAAACAAGAGTTTTGCGACGAAATTTTCATGATTACGACGAATCAAAATCGTCGCGATGGTTGCCCAAAATCGACGCTCTGGGTGTCGTCGCAAAATCTGCGACGAATATGTTTTTCGTCGTACATACTGCGACAAATAATCCATACCGTCGCAATAATTAACTCTTCCAAGAAAATTGATTTTGTTTATCATTGCGACGAAATAAATTATTTTCGTCGCACGCCGTTGTGACGTTTTAATATTTATCGTGACAAAATATTGCGACTTTAATGTAAAAATCGTCGCAAAAGTTTTTAATATTATTGCGTCGAAAAAATGGATTTCGTAGCTACACCAAAGTTACATTGCGACGGTTTTCAACATATATTTAGTCGCAAATATAATATTTCTCTTTTGCGACGATTCATATATTCGTTGCAGCTGCAACTGCCGTTTTTTTTTCTAATAAATTCAATTTTTCATTATTTCTAATGACAAATTAAACATGTCTTATCAATTGCAATAAATCAAAATTAACTATTACATCAAATATCAAAACAATTTAAAATTTATGTCTTATATTAAAATTAAATATTAAAGTACCACTCAAACATGAATTCAAAAAATACATAAAAACTTAAGTACATAAACACGAATTAAAGTCGCACACAAACATGAATTCCAAATGCGAGCAGACCATTATTGTATGCTCTTGTATCATAGAAAACCGTATGTTCTTCATTTAGAAGCATCCCCTTGTAGTGAACATGTAACAGGCTTTCTCGAAGAGGGCAATCCATTGAAATTCACCTAATTATTTGCAATGAAAACACATAGCATAAAGGTTAGCAAATTACGATCGAAATAGTTTATTGGTAACTCACCTAATCATTTTATTCTACTGAGAAAGTTAAATTATCACACATGGATACAAGCCTAGTATGACAAATACACATCCAAGATCTAACTTGTGAAACTTCAACAAGCACATTTTGCTAATAGATAAATCGATCATGGTAATTAACGAGCTCAATGCCACTGCATGGCATACAATATGATGTATCTCCCTTTTCTTTATGATTTTTTTTCTATTTACTCCTCTCAAATATTATTAAATACTCCAAACACATTTTAATCGTGATAAACAATATGTTTTATCTAACCTCCAATTTCTGCCCGCGTAGACTCAACAACTCCATCTAGTGTACGAATTGTACACTGATATATAACCTGCACGAACCATAAGACAATACCATTCCTCATATGTTCATGCTAATAGCAACAAAGGAATTGGCTAAATATAACAGTGCCAAACTTGATTGTCGTTGCTAGGTGTTTTTTCACCAGCTCCAAGCCTTATCAGAGCTTTCATCAAACTACCAGGCGTAATCTTCTTCCTTCTAGATATATCAATATGGATTCACAGAACCTGAACGAGATTTAAAAATATATAGCTACGAAATAATGTAAAAATGGGTCTGCCTTTTGTCATCTTCAGAAACTGAATTTTTCTTATGGGGTTTAAATTCTTGCTCTGACTCTTCCACTACATCCATGTTGTCACTCCACTGTTCATCAGAGATTACAGTTTGTAATTAGCAAATTATATTTCACTTACTCATTTTTCCTTAAGCAGTAGAACCGGAATGTCGGAGAACCCACTGATACACATGTTTAGACGAAAAAAAGTTGATTGTAAATTTGTGAAAATTGTCCATAGCAACAACTAATTCACGCTAAACTAACCTTTTAAATTAGAAACTCTGTTAAATCATTGAAGTGGGAACAAACACATAAGGAACATAAGCCAAGCCGTAAGAGATAATGTCTGTAGTATACTTTCAATTTTTTTTTTTTTAAATATCAGCGCATCCACAACAATTATTTCTTATAGGTGAGGTCATCTTCATTCAAATTAATATTTGGATTAGGAAAAGGACGCCCACATTTGTAGATTGCAAATGTTAAAAAGAATGTATAAGATTAAAATAAAGTGAACAAAGAATTCATAATTATTTAGATACAACATCAAACAGCGAACACACAACACACACAAACATATATGTATATTAATAGATATATAGATA